CAAAATATTTTCTTTTTTAGACTACATTAATCAGAAATGACATGTAGCAAAAAATATTGCAATTTGCTGTGTTTATCCTGCAAGAGACTAAAGTGTAAAGACTGGTACTGAGTTTGTACATCGATAATGCCTTAATGGTATTTTTCAATTGAACGACAAAACATGGCGGTTGGGCGAGTCCATTTAAGCATCCCTCATTGCGTCCATTATGTTATCATTGAATTATTCGCATTGATTGGCTAAAGGCAGGCGGTGTACAGGTAGAACTGTTCAAATCTTGTCAGTTGTATATATTGCCGTCCCGGAACAGCGATAATTATCTCGATTAAGCATTTAAAATTTTAACTTGCTAAACTAATGAATAGGCCAACATTTCATTGCATAAAAGTACACGTTATTTAAACGTTATTTTGTTTGAATATTTTTATTTGGATTGAATTTGCTTGTAAAGCCACGAATGACATACTGCTGAAACATCTAAAATCTACTTTACATGTCATATTTGATTTTAAAGATAAAATGCAAAGTTGTAAATGTCATTACATATTAATTGAAAAAGAAATAAGAAATGTTCTTATTTTCTTATATCTGGGTAAGTGAAAGACTGTTTGAATAAACATACAGTTATACAATAGATATAGTATTCCCCGCAGGTCCTTGCCCATTCCGGTGTAATCAGAAAATGTGTTTACACATTGAACACCACCGATAGACTGTTTTCACCATTTAAGTGAAAGTGGTAGTGCTTCTTTTTTGAAATCGGATGAAAAACTGTTAGAAATATTTTCATTTCACAGGGCATTTTTTGTCAAAATTGTGAAGGGGCCTGGGCCTGCTCGTTTTGTGAAAAAAATCTCAATATGTCATAAAATTGTGAAAAAAAAAGAAAACATATTACTTTGCCAGGGGCGTAGCCAGCTTTTTTATACCCCCACCACAAAATGTGGGGGGGGGCTATAATGGATTCGCTTTGTCGCGTCGGTCGGTTGGTCGGTCAGTCGGTCGGTCGGTCCGTCCGTCTCCATTTTCGTGTCCGCTCTATAACTCCTATACCACTTGAAGGATTTTCTTCAAACTTGGCTCAAATATTCACCTCAGCAAGGGGATGTGCAGAACCCATGTTGCCCATGTGTCAGCTCAATGTCAAGGTCACAATTGAAGGTCAAATATCAAACACAATCATATATTAGACAGTATGTCGTGTCCGCTCTGTAGGTCCTACAATAATTGAAAGATTTTCTTCAAACTTGGCTAAAATGTTCACCTCAACAAGGGGATGTGCAGAACTCATGTTGTCCATGTGTCATTTTAAGGTCAAGGTCACAATTGAAGGTCAAATATCAAACAATCAAATATTACACAATATGTCGTGTCCGCTCTGTAAGTCCTACACTAATTGAAAGATTTTCTTCAAACTTGGCTCAAATGTTCATTTCAACAATGGGATGTGCAGAACCCATGTTGCCCATGTGTCAGCTCAAGGTCAAGGTCACAATTGAAGGTCAAATATCAAACAATCAAATATTACACAGTATGTCGTGTCCGCTCTGTAAGTCCTACACTTATGGAAAGATTTTCTTCAAACTTGGCTCAAATGTTCACCTCAACAAGGTTATGTGCACACCCCATGTCACTCTTTTGCCGGCTTAAGGTCAAGGTCACACTTGAAGGTCAAAAATTGACTTAGAAAATGTTCTTTAATTTTAACATATATCTGAATATTTCTGAATCTAGGAAAGGTTTTTGCTTGAAACTTAAAATATAAATGAAGTGTCACAATTAAGATATGCTGGTCAAGTTTCATAACTCTGTATTGCATTTTAACAAAGTTATGCCCCTTTTTAATCTTCAAATTTACATACAATCACATATTAGACAATATGTTGTGTCCGCTCTATAAATCCTATACTAATGGAAGAATTTTCTTCAAACTTTTCTCAAATGTTCACCTAAACAAGGTTATGTGCAGAATCCATGTCACCTTTGTGCAGACTAAAGGTCAAGGTCAGACTTGAAGGTCAAAAATTGACTTAGAAAATGTTCTTAGATTAAAACAATCATGTTCTTGAATATTTCGGAAACTAGCATAGGTATTTGCTTGAAACTTAAAAGATATATGAGGTGTCACAATTACAATATGCAGGTCAAGTTTCATAACTCTGTATTGGATTTTGACAAAGTTATGCCCCTTTTTAAGTCTTTAAATTTACATACAATCAATACTAGACAATATGTTGTGTCCGCTCTATAAATTCTATACTAATGGAAGGATTTTCTTCAAACTTTACTCAAATGTTCACTCCAATTGGGCGATGTGCAGAACCCATCTTACCCTTGTGCCAGCTGAAGGTCAAGGCCACACTTGAAGGTCAAAAATTGACTTATAAAAAGTTTAGTATATTGGGAAAATGAAAGGTTATTTGTAACTGTTTCGAACATGATTTGATAATAGATATTTTTACTATTACCTGTACAATTAGTCTTTTTTTCACCAGAGATAATTTCTTTTTATGTATTTGTGTCACTAAAGTTATTCCCTTAACCACCTTTCCAAGTTGTCTTCTGTCAAGGACATTGGTGGGGGTATGAATCGCATTCAGCGATAGTTCTAGTTCAACTTGTAGGCCGTTAAAAGGGGGTCTGGGGGTTAGCCCCCAGATGCCAAAAACAAGTTCAGTTTTAAAAGAGCAAAACGCGTTCCAAAGGATTTTCAAGGAAAATAATCAAAACAATAATTTTGAACTATGAATTTGATAAGATGTAAACTTTACTGCGGACAGTAAATCATGCAATAGCCTAAAACACACTTGAATTGACCATACGGCTTGAACCTACTACCACCCTCACCCCGCCTGTTTTTATTGTGTTTTAGGACTTTTGAAAATGTCAATTTCTTGAGCAACTTGTAGGCCCAGGCCTACATGGCCTAATAGTAGCTACGCCACTGTTTGCATTTCACAACATTTTGAAACTGGAAATGGTTGATTATAATTTCTGACCAGTGTAAAATCTGCTAACCCAGTTAACATGCCCAAAAAACCATTTTACTTGCTTAAAACTACTTCTATGTTATTGCAATTGGTGTAAATCAAGTTTTACCGGAAGGTTAACAATGTCTTTCGAGGACAAAGTCCCAATATTTTGTGAAATCACTTTTGAAATTATGAATTTTCCCCCCCAGCTTTGTGAAAAAAAGTGCAATTTTGAATTGTGAAAGGGCCTTATATCGGCCCCTGTTATAGAAGGAAAAAAAGCCCGGTTTCAAATAAATTTCTGTCATTGATATGAAAGTCCAAAGCTGTGTGTTGAAAATACAATGTACTTCTTCTTTATTGTACCCCATATTTACCAGCTGATTACTTCATGTTCTGACAAGTGAAGGTCGTCTGCTGAAACTGTAGTGACGTCATATTCTGTTGGAAAAAATTCTAATGAAGCCAAAAAAGGCCATCAATTTACATACCACAGTATCATAGTGCTCTCCGTTTAAGCTCCCGTTCAAAATATTGCTGACTGATCATAGATGTTTCCAATTTAAATCATTGAGTGTATATTGAAGTCAAGATGCAACAGTAAAACACAATTTAATAAAATAGTTAATGTAAGATCTTTTTATAGTAAAATTTATGGAATTTCGGGAAATAATAAGTACAATGGTACCATAGGGGACCATCCTACATGAATTTTTGTAAATTTGTTTATTCATATACCGTAGATCTTATTCATATACCGTAGATCGACATGTAGTTCTGGCTCAATAAATGACTACGAGCGTGTCGCAGCGTGTCAGATTCCTGGCACAATTATTGGTAGACTTTCCCTACGGGTCTGTCTTAAGCAGTTAAAGAGTTCACATCATGTCATAGTGTAGACCTTTGTAAACCTGTTTATATTAAAAGGCAAAATCGGACAAGTAACCAATATATTACATTATGTTTTATTTGCATGCTGTTTATTAAGTGTGCGTTTTCTCAGGGACACTGTCATAGGATAAGCTACCAGATATAAGCACAGGGTCATTGATCTACCAAATCTGCTGCTAGATATCAGCCGCAATCCCCCACAAAATAGTATGTTTCCCCCCCCCCCCCCCCTTAACAGACTTACAGAACATAAAACCTCCAATGGAAAAAAATGCTGATTTTGACAAGTAAAATCAATCTTTCATGGTGTTTTTGTCAGCGTATTATTGTAAAACTTTTATGTCTGCACCGTTTCCGTTTCGACAATTGTATGGATGCACTAGGAAGCCTTTCGTCCCCAAAATGTTTCACAATAGCAAGTCATATTGAAAACTCACTGATATTTAAGTGGTAGTTTAGGCCATCCTTAAAAAAATGTTTGTTTGCAGTAATGCGACCGACTCAAAAAATTTGCCCCTACTCAAAATTTTTTTTCATGGTCTGGATAAAAAAAATTTTTTTTTGAATCAGAAAATTATGCCTTGTGCTTTGTTTTCGTTCTTTTAAAGGTTAATAGAAGAAATAAAATGTAGGTCTTATTAAATTAGAATTCAGTTATCAATTTATTAATTGTTACCAGATTATCAAAGCATATATTGTCCAGCATTTTGAAATTCCATGTTTATTTGGGAGGACAGTTCAATAAAAAAAAAAATCGACCTACCTACCCACCTTGAAAATTCTGGGTCGGGTTACTGCAAACAAACATTTTTTTAAGGATGGCCTTATTGATATTTGATCAAAACAGAAATGAAAAAAATTCCCCCATACACTGAAATTCCTCCTGCTGAGGGTAGCAACCCCCTTCCACTATATTGGATTGAGGGCCCTGAAGCACCTGACATTTCCTTTTTGTTTAGTTAGGCAAGTCAAAAGGCTGTAAAATATGGAGAAAAAAATCACCTGTAAATCAATGCAGTTTCACAGTAGTGTAGTTTTTGCACTCAAATATTATTTTTCTTACCTTTTCTGCCATGCTATTAAAAAAATAAAATATTTAAGGTAATATTTAAACAACTACATGTATGTTTACTTCAGATAAGGCACAAGATGGTGACAGCTCGCCAGTCAGAAAGTATTTCAATGAAAAACTTGCTAACAGAAGTGCATTAACATGGGTTTGTATTTATTTTATAATGATTATTTATGAAATGAATGTATAATGAAACATTTTCCGTTGTCTACTGAGGTTCATTTCACAAATTTTGGTGCCGATAAAAATAAGTATAAATTATATAGAAATCTATAACGTATTTTGAAGAAAAAAAAATCCTGCAATTTTCTTACAGTTTTTTACCATCTATTGTCTGTATATGCCAAAAGCATTCACATTGTTATAATTGAAATTTGCTTTTTTATGTAAAACTTAACAAAATTTTGATACTGTTATTAAAATCACCAAAACTTTGAATGGATTTCCAAATTCAAAGCTCGGCAAATTTATTACACAAATTCAACAAGTGATTGGTTGACAATTTGAATATTTCAGGTACCCAGTTTGAATGATACCAGTATGCACGATTTGAAAGCAAACTCGCTGGTGAGATATCGTTGTATGATACAAGATATGTATGACCCTGAATTTTACCTTGGCAAGTACGAGGTGAAAGATACTGTAACAGGCAACACATTTCTGAGGAGTGGTAAATACAAGGACGTGGCTGAATGTGGGGTAACACTTTTATTTATAATTATATTATTATCCCCCGCCGATGGAATCGGGAGGGGGATATAGTTTTGGCATTGTCCGTCCTTCTGTCCGTCTGAATTTCGTTTCCGAAGTAGTTCTCTGCAACTACTGGCTGGAATTCAACGAAACTTTATGGGAATCATCAATATCAAGAGGAGATGCGCATATCGTCGGCTTGTTCTGGTCCGACCCTTTAACTCAGAGTTATGGCCCTTGATTAGTTATGGAGTATGCATATAGAGTAAAAATCGTTTCCGGAGTAGTTCTCTGCAACTACTGGCTGGAATTCAACGAAACTTTATGGGAACCATCAATATCAAGAGGAGATGCGCATATCGTCGGCTTGTTCCGGTCAGACACTTTAACTCAGAGTTATGGCCCTTGATTAGTTATGGAGTATGCATATAGAGTAAAAATCGTTTCCGGAGTAGTTCTCTGCAACTACTGGCTGGAATTCAACGAAACTTTATGGGAACCATCAATACCAAAAGGAGATGCGCATATCGTCGCCTTGTTCCGGTCAGACCCTTTAACTCAGAGTTATGGCCCTTGATTAGTTATGCAGTATGCATATAGAGTAAAAATCGTTTCCGCACTACTTCTCTGCAACTACTGGCTGGAATTCAACGAAACTTTATGGGAATCATCAATACCAAGAGGAGATGCGCATATAGTCGGCTTGTTCCGGTCAGACACTTTAACTCAGTTATGGCCCTTGATTAGTTATGCAGTATGCATATGGAGTAAAAATCGTTTCCGCGCTACTTCTCTGCAACTACTGGCTGGAATTCAACGAAACTTTATGGGAACCTTCAATACCAAGAGGAGATGGGCATATCGTCGGCTTGTTCCGGTCAGACACTTAAACTCAGAGTTATGGCCCTTGATTAGTTATGCAATATGCATATGGAGTAAAAATCGTTTCTGGAGTAGTTCTCTGCAACTACTGGCTGGAATTCAACGAAACTTTATGGGAACCTTCAATACCAAGAGGAGATGCGCATATCGTCAACTTGTTCCGGTCAGACACTTAAACTCAGAGTTATGGCCCTTGATTAGTTATGCAGTATGCATATGGAGTAAAAATCTTTTCTGCGCTACTTCTCTGCAACTACTGGCTGGAATTCAACGAAACTTTATGGGAACCTTCAATACCAAGAGGAGATGCGCATATCATCGGCTTGTTCCAGTCAGACACTTTAACTCAGAGTTATGGCCCTTGATTAGTTATGCAGTATCCATATAGAAAAATATTTGTTTCCTCACTACTTCTCTGCTACTGCTGGCTGGAATTCAATGAAACTTTATGGGATACTAAGAGGAGATGTGCATATAGTCGCCTTGTTCCAGTCAGATACTTATAACTCAGATTTAAGGCCCTTGATTAGTTATGTAGTATGCATACATCTCATTGGCATTTCTAGATTTTACTATTTAACACAAAGTTATGGCTCTGTTATTGCCCTGAATATTTATCAAGTTCAAAGAATATTACTGATTATGCCATGATTAATATATAAATAAAGCCTTATGTCTTCAGTTGTTGTGTTAATAATAACCAGTACTCGGCGGGGGATATAAATTCAACGAATTTGCTTGTTTAAAACTATTTCATTTAATCAGAAATTTATCAAGACTGGCCACTTTTTTCATCCTTATTCAGTTGCATCAAAAACATTGTTTTTAGCTCGACTATTCGCAGAATAATCGAGCTAATGCAGTCACCCATTTGTCGGCGTCGGCGTCGGCGTCCCTGTGGTTAAGTTTTTGTATGTAAGCTGGTATCTCCATAACTACTGAAGGGAATGGATTGAAACTTCACACACTTGTTCTCTGTGATTATCTAAGATGATTGGCACAAGTCCCATAACTCTGATTTGCTTTTTTTTCATAATTATGCCCCTTTTTCGACTTAGAAATTCTTGGTTAAGTTTTTGTATGTAAGCAGGTATCTCCATAACTACTGAAGGGAATGGATTGAAACTTCACACACTTGTTCTCTGTGATTATCTAAGATAATTGGCACAAGTCCCATAACTCTGATTTGCTTTTTTACATAATTATGCCCCTTTTTTGACTTAGAAATTCTTGGTTAAGTTTGTGTATGTAAGCTGGTATCTCCATAACTACTGAAGGGAATGGATTGAAACTTCACACACTTGTTCTCTGTGATTATCTTAGATGATTGGCACAAGTCCCATAACTCGGATTTGCTTTTTAACATAATTATGCCCCTTTTTCGACTTAGAAATTCTTGGTTAAGTTTTTGCGTGTAAGCTGGTATCTCCATAACTACTGAAGGGAATGGATTGAAACTTCACACACTTGTTCTCTGTGATTATCTAAGATAATTGGCACAAGTCCCATAACTCTGATTTGCTTTTTAACATAATTATGCCCCTTTTTTGACTTAGAAATTCTTGGTTAAGTTTTTGCATGTAAGCTGGTATCTCCATAACTACTGAAGGTAATGGATTGAAACTTCACACACTTGTTCTCTGTGATTATCTTAGATGATTGGCACAAGTCCCATAACTCGGATTTGCTTTTTAACATAATTATGCCCCTTTTTCGACTTAGAAATTTTTGGTTAAGTTTTTGCGTGTAAGCTGGTATCTCCATAACTACTGAAGGGAATGGATTGATACTTCACACACTTGGTCTCTGTGATTATCTAAGGTGATTGGTACAAGTCCCATAACTCTGAATTGTTTTATTTCATAATTATGCCCCTTTTTCGACTTAGAAAATCTTGGTTAAGTTTTTGTATGTAAGCTTGTATCTCCATAACTACTGAAGGGAATGTATTGAAACTTGAAGAGTTTGTACCTTTTCGGACAATTTTATGTATTCATATAGGTAAGCATTATTATACTCAATGAAACACCCTTGTGACAAATTTTCGAATAGTCGAGCTTTACTGTCCTCCGACAGTTCTTGTTGGAAAATCCTGTTAGATGTTGTCTCATTTAAGAATTTTATAATGATGGCAGATACAATAAAAATTGTTATGTCAAATGTTTTACATTTTCTCGACATGTTTTTCTAAGCATAAAAGATATAAATGTAGAAAATTGCATGTTTTTTTGGTGATTGATAGAGAAAAATAAAGCTATCCAGAAAGAAACAAGTAGTAAATTTTTACTTTACAATAAAGGAATATAATTATACTCTATTTGATTTTTAAGATCATGACTGGTTGTAAAAATTATGTAGGAAATAAGGTCTGCCATATGAATGTCATTATTTAATGTACTTACATAAAAAAACTTGTCTTTGAAGCAGTAATGGACTTTATTCAGTGTAATAAATATTTTATAATTTTGCTAGCTTCAGGGACATCAGTTGCGGAATAGTAAGGGATGTTGTCTCCAACCCACTAACTTGCCTCTAACTGCTGTGGGTTTTTGCCGCACTAGTGTCTTCCTCAGATTTTACATGTTAGAAAACTATCCAGCTAGCTTATGGAATGTCAGTGGTTCTACTCGGGTGCCTGTTTGTGCCTAAAATAAAAATAATGTACAGAGGGGCACCTGAGGTCTTCCTCCACCAGAAAAGCTGGAAAGTCGCCATGTGACCTACACTGTATTGGTGTGACATTAAACATGATATAAAAAGAAAGAAAAAGAAATCAATCTTCATTGCTTGTGATTTTGTCAAAGTGTTTTAGAAAACTCAATTTTTAAGATGCTTGATAAAAATCCAAGTATCCTTGTTTCTGTTATTATCAGTACAGTTAGTTCTTTTCTTTTGTTATTACATATATAACATTAAATTATAAAGTTTTTACAGATGATTAATATTAATTTCTTAGTTTTTCTTTCAGCCCAATCAGACAATAGATGTGGACTCTAGAAACAATGTTACTATGGATAGAATGACACTGTATTGTGTACCAGTGCCTGGTGAATCTGAATGGGTTAAAAAAGTATCCTTTTATTTTAGTACAGTACATGTTACACACTCGTGACCTGCACATGTTACCTGTATAGAGTCAGACTAGTCTGTACAACCAGTATTTACTATATATATAATATTGTTGTTTAAATCCCTAAAAACTGCTCTTTTTCAATTTCAAAGCAGGGCTTGCCCATTTTACAAATTTTGGAGTAGAAGGACGGCATAAGAAAAGCTTGATTAACCATTATAACCTTAACAGTACATGATGAGATTTTACAGTTGTTCACCTATACTTCTATAATTCAATTTTAAACAAAAACAGTATTTTTCCTGTCCTTGTGATTTATGTGTGTGTGCAGTATACAAAAAAGTTCCAACAGGTGTGAACAGACCATAGAAGTAGGAAAACTTTGGCCATTAGATTAGGCATGGCAGTAATTATACGAACAATTATAAACTGCTTCTTACTGTTTGTCCTTTAAATTGAGAATGTTGTGAATGAAATTTAACATTTGTTAAATGTTAAATCATAATTTCTTTATTAAAATAGAGTGCTATTAAACTAGTACTGTTGTAAGTTAAGGAAGATATAAATGGAAATTTCTTTCAGTTACAGTATGGTAAACAAATAGATACACTTATAATCCTTCACTGCCGAAAAGTCATTCGCAGATATGAGTAAGGTTAAAACACAATGTTATCCCTCAACGTCTTCAACCAGGGCAAGAGGTAAAAGAAATCTCGAGGATGAATCTGAGGTGACAGACGAACCTATGGAAAGTCAGAATGTGGAGACGGGAAATAAAAGTGGAGATGTTACCATGGAAACTGATGATGCAAAATCCAAACGTCAACAAACTACAAAAAGAGGTGGTGAATCTTTGTACAAAGAAATTTCATTACTAGAAATAAATTGGCAGAAATATACATGTAGTTGCAACCATTTTGAACTTGTCTGTTTCGAAAGAAAAAGTAGAGCTATTATGGTACTGCTTCATCATCGTTTAACAAAAACTTTAATGTAGCCTATTACCCCAGTATTCAAACATTTTAAAAGTTCTCAATGCCTACTTATCATGACAAGGTACAGTTGTTAGACAAAGAACATTATTCTGAAAGCAATATTTTTTGGAGTTATAATGCCCCTTTTTAAACTTAGTATTTTTTAACAGATGAGCATTTAAGACCGCATGCCAGTGCTCTTGTTATCAAAGCTGGTTTTCTATTCCACAAGGATAAAGTATGGCTACTTTACACTGTCTTTGCAGTTTAACAAAACATATTTGCTGACAATTTTGAAGTTCCTTTTCAATTGGCAATTTATACAGTTTGAAATCAAAGCAGAACTAGGTCCATTTTGTTAAAACTTTAGTTTAAAGCATGATTTTATGTTTAACTTGATTTGTGGGAAAAAGATTTTTGATTTTTTGTTTGATTTCCAGTTAAGTCCACTTTCCTGGACAACTGGGTAGTTGTACCATGTTCAGTAAAAACATGTTATTTGCCTTTTAAGTTACTTGGATGAAAGGCAAGGCATACTTACTTGAGAAATTCCTGTTTCAAGTTTAACATTTTCAGTTCAATTGTTGTGAAAATTCACTTCAATCAGTTGTTTTGAATTTTTAAGATTTTCATTTTTTTTTTTTTAATTTAACAGTTGAAGGTTGCCAAAATGATAAAACGGAATCTCAAACTTTCCCACTTCCTGGAGAAAAAGGACCAGCATGTTTAGTAAAGGTAACTTCAGGGCAGTTTCTTTATGATCTATGAACTGTATATCTGTATTTTCTAGGGGTGTAATCAATTCAATCGATATCGGTGTATCAACGATCTTTGTTATCCGATTCAATATCGATTCCATTTTTATGCCACCGCAGCATCTGCGATGCGGTGGCATATAGTGATTCACCTGTGTGTATGTGTGTGTGTTAAATAGATTATATAGTGAACTTAAAAAAAAATCTTCTTGTGAAAAACCACTAGTCCAATTTTTCAACCAACTTGGCAGGATTATGATCCTTGGGTGAAGGGCTTCAAAAGTTGTTCAAAGAATTTTCATTCCATGCAGAAATCTGGTTGCCATGGCAACCAAAAGGAAATCATAAGAATAAATTTAAAAAATCCCTTGTAAAACCCCAAAAAGGCCATAGAGCTTTTAAGGATATTTTTGCATTAAAAGGATTGTCTTTGGTTAGGACCTCTTACAAGATTATTTCAAATTACTAGCTCGAGGTCAAAATCGGCCCGCCCAAGTTGGGTATTGATTTTCACTTATATGTACATAATTAGTAAAAACTTTTAAATACTTCTTGTAAAGACCCAAAAGGCCCTAGAGGCTTAGATATTTTTGCATAAGGCATTGTTTCTGGGTAGACCCTTACCAAGATTGTTCAAAAAATTTAGCTGTTAGGGTTCAAAATCGGCCCCGCCCCAGGGGGTCATTGGTTTTCCTGATTTGTATATAGTAAAAACTTATAGTAAAAAACTTTCTAAAAAAATTTTTCTTAGCAAAATTAACAAAGCCTAGAGGTTTAGAATATTTTGCATGAAACATTGTGTGGTGAACCTTCTAGCAAAAGGTTGTTCAAATTTAGCCCTGGCGGTCCAAATTGCCCCTGTCCCCGGGGGTTTATTGATTTTAATTATATACAATATAGTAAAAAATAAAAAAATTCTTAATTTGTCTGAAGGTACAAGGCTTAGAGCTTTAATATTTGTTAAATGATATTATCTTTCTTACCAAAAATTATTTCAAATTTTGCCTTCTAGTGTCAAAATTAGCCCTGCCCCGGGGGCCATAGGTTTTTTCCTTATATGTAAATAGGTAAAAACTTTCAAAAAAAAAAATCATTCTTCTCTAAAATTTACAAAGGCTAGAGTTAAGATTATTTGCATGAAAACATTGTGAAGTAAACCTCTACCAAGATTGTTCAAAATTATGGCCCTGGGGTTCAAAATTGGTTCCGCCCCGGGGTTTCATTGATTTTTCATTATGTACAATATAGTCAAAAAAAAAAATATTTTTGTCTGAAGGTACAAGGGCATAGAGCTTTGATGTTTGCTATATAATATCATCTAATAGGTCCTTACCAAAGTTGTTTCAAATTTTTGCCCTGGTGTCAAAAATTGGCCCTGCCAGGGGCAGTTGATTCTCATTATGTACACATAGTAAAAACAGAAAATAAAACAATTGTTTTCTGAATGGGAGAAAGCCAAACCACCAAATTCACTAGACTCAAGTGCATTGATATATTCCTACTCTGATCTTTTATTAGAATAACAATAGATTTAACCACTAATCTGATAATAAGAATTAGATAGGTCAGGGATTATGACAATCTTCAATTGTAAAGAAACAAAATAAAATCTATTCCTACACTACTATTTAGTGTTGTATTAATGCGGTGGCATATCATTTTTCTCAAATGCAATCTTGTTTAAATATCGAATATCGAATGCACACATATTTCTAGCTAAAGACACTTCAGCAAACAGGTTTTATAGTACCAAACGTCAAAATAAAAGCGACATATAAAGTTATGGAAGCCAGAACTAACTTATTCCAAACATTTATTTCTAAAACTAGAACGGAAATCAACACCAGAGTTACCTCCGAGTGTCTCCTATGAATGCTGCCGAATTTCGTTGTAATCTCGCATGTCTGCTGATAGGGAAAATGCCAAGAAAATTTTCTTAAGTGTTTCTTTGTAAAAATTATGATTACATAATTATGTTAAACTTTAATAATTATTCGGGTTCGAAACACTATAATTTGCCAATTTAACCCCGGCTAAGTAATAGAACAGCAAGGCAGGATTTAGCATAATCCCTAACGGTCGTAGGACAGGGCGGACCGTGGGACTACGTAATAGCAACAACAACAACAAAAGTAAAATGGAAAAGGCTTTAAACATTATATTTACTAGTCATTAGTTGTCATTAAAAGTTATAATGATAAAAAAGAAACAAATTGTTCACTTTTCATAATTTATCTTTTTTTTTGCATGTGTTTAAATGTAACTGCATAGTAAAACAAATTAAAAAGACTTGAAAGCTTAATTTTGCCTGGCAATCAATGTATCGCTGTATCGCCGATAATTCATTACAAAAATCCTTATCAATGACACCCCTAGTATTTCCTTGCCAATACTTGTACATTTTTAAAGGGTATATTAACCAGTCAAATCATCATTTTGCTGTTGTTAACACCTACAGGATCAGCTCTTTTTTTTTTATGTTTTACCTTGTCTCTAAGTGTTTTTAATTGATTGACTAACTGATTAAATGTTTGATTGCAAAGATTTATATCATATTTCCAGGTATACGATGATATTGACAAGTTTAAAGTAAATGACATGGTCGAATTTGTTGGTGTGCTGTCGGTCGACCCTTCCTTGGCAAGATTTGATAACACGTAAGTCTGGAAAGGTTTGCAGAAAGAGAGAGACGATGAGATCATATGTTGCCACCTTAGTGCAGTAATTGGTAAACTCCTATTAGATTATATAAGAGGTTAACTCATTACTGCGCTAAGATGACGAATTCTCCCAAAAACTGTTGGGTTTTTTTTCATCTTGAAAATCTCTAGTACTTTATATTGTCACCTAAGTGCTAAAATGGGTTAAGTCCTAAATTTGATAGGAGTTAACCCGTTATTGCACTTAGGTGACAATATATTTCCGTAATTATGTCTACTATAAATTGATATTTCTTAGTTTAGTAGTTAGAACAGGTGTTAAAAGTTATAGTAAGAAAATTGAAATAACATATTTGTTTATAATGGTTATCAGTATAGTACAGTTAGAAATTTAGGGAATTTTACCATGTGAACTATGATTATAATATATAAATTTGCTTGCTTAATTAAAACATGGGTTCCCTCAGTTAAACTTTTTACCTCCGGAGTTTCTGTTTTCTTGCATTTTCACTTTGGCTTAACTAACACTGAGAGCAACTCTTTTTCAGTGAGGAGGATAATTCGATGATAACTGTACATGAAGAACCACAGGAGGAGGTGAATGCTCATTCCCCGCCCCCATCACTTGTGCCACGCCTTCATGCAGTGGTGTGCAAGCCACTCAAGCATGTAAACCCTTTGGTACCTGAATTAGTTGAAGATAAGATACAAGGTACATGGTGATAAAATGTTTCTTGTTTTGCAGTCAAAGATTGAATAAATTGGGCGTCCATGGTTGAGTGGTTAAGGTGGTTGACTTCAAACCATTTTGTCCTAATTGTTAGAATCCTTACAGGGGTTTTAAATTCTTTATTGAGGAAGCCATTCAGTGTGCTTATGGAATATTGGTTCTTCTCATGTGCCCATTCATATCTGAATTATTGCACGGAAGAGCACCCGAGGTCTACCTCAATCAGTTGAGCTAGAAAGTTGCCATGTGACCTATACTGTGTTGGTGTGTCATAAAACCCAACCAAAGTTAGAGAAGGCAGAACATAAACATACAGTAAAATACCATCTTTCAACCCTAAAGCTATGAAGGCCATTTATGAATTGTACAAAGTATTTGCCTTCTTTATTCATTGAGAAAAATGATCAGTCTAATACATCATGGCCAGCACTTCTCTCGTCAGACAATTGTGTGTTTATGCCCCCATTGTCATAATCTTGTCTGTGGCGTAAACAAACACACAATGTCAAATTAGGTCTTTATCTGTGTAAGTCTATCATACTCTTGATTTACAATATAGTAATAGTATTTAAGCATCAGCATGATTGAGACTGAATTTCTTCAGGTTTGGTGTTAGAAACAGTTTTGTCGGTAATCAACTGGTCAATAGCATTTAATTGAGCAGCGCTATGACAAAACCAACATAATACGTTTGTGACCAGCAGTCTGATCAGGATCCATGCTCATTGCTGTTCGCTATCAGTTTCTCTACTTGTATTATAGTTTGTAAGCGAACAGCATGAATCCTGATCAGACTGCGGGGATGCTCGGGCTGGTCTGGATCCATGCTGGTCGCAAACGCATTATGTTGGTTTTGTCATGGCGCTGCTCAATTGTTTTGTTGATGACAAGTATGGTAAAAGATGCTAATTGCACCAAACTATCAATTTAAAAAAGTGCTTTATTTAGATATGCAATTAATGTTTAAATCATAATGAGAAGTGTAACAGGCTGTCAACCAATTCCTATATTCCTATAAAACTCCTATATTTTGGGTTGGAATCCTATATTTTAAAAAGCCTCCTATTTTTCCTATATTCTCCTATATTTTGAATATTTTTCCTATATTTTTTTAAAAATATATTGCCGAGGAATTCAAAGAGATTTAAATTTTGGTACTGCTTTTGTATTTTACAGGTAAGAGAATGTGTATGCCTGCATCAGCATCACATTACTATGCTCAAGGCTGCTGTGCTCCACATAGCAATCTGCATGGTCACCATGAAAAGCAGTGCATCAGTATGTCAACTTTATTTCAGGTGACCATTCAGATGATGGTCATGCATTGCTGTAACTTTCTGCCAGGATGCTGATGCTGTGGTTTAAAGCTAATGCAGGCTGTCCGCTGTGTCCCTAAAATTCTTAAAAAAATCCTAATTTTTTCAGTTTGGCTAAAATTCCTAAAAAAGTAAAAATTCAAAGGGAGTTCCTAAAGATGCCCTATTTTTTCACTGAAATTCCTCATTTTTTTTATCTTTTGTTATAAACATACTTATAACTTGTAACCCTGTCAAAATAATCACGGACATAACTAAGTCAACCATGTTTTGAACATGGTCAAAAATGATTTGGCCATGATTTGCCAACTCAAAATTGATGACATTGATCTGGTTTCGTTTTAACTAAAAGTTATTTTGACTATGTCAGAAACATTGCTATTTCATAATCAAAGCAGTTGTTGATAATCATGTTGACAGCAAAAATACTACCATATCATGGTCCTGAAACTCAAATCATAACCATAAGAGTCCACTTATTCTGAAATATTTTGACACTTTTTTGCCAACTCCAGATATCTTGAATTTTATGTTTGTTCATTTTATCCAAATTTCTGAAGTGGTCCATTTATTTCATATCATATTTAAAAATGATCATTATGAAGCTGTTGTAACACAATCTTAATTAAAAACATGTATAAATAGTTGTCAAAAATTAATGTACAATTTGTTTACTCACAACTCTTTTATATAAATCTGCATAATATCAAAACAACATTGTAAAGTACTGAATGGGTTAACATAGACTTTGAAAAATTAATTCTTTCCCTCATACTTATTTATCCTTTTCGATGTCTTTGTAGGAGAAATTGCTTATTTTGCCACAAAGTTTTCAATTTCATTCAATTCTTGTTCTTTCATTCATATGGTACAATTTAGGAAAATGCAGACTCATATAATTAATCACACTCAAAAATAATTTGGCAGTTCAGTAATATAAAGCTCATTTCCAATTACAATGTACACACATTTTGCAATTATGTGATCTAGATTAAACTGCAATTGAATGGTCTGTGTGATGAACTTTTTTGATGTGCAATTCTTTGTGTTGATTATAGATGCTTCCCATTTATTCAAATGACTGTACTAAGGCAAATGCCTTTTTACTTCCTACTTGTACAAAAAATTTCATTTGTCCATATTCAAAAGCTGCATTGTGCAAGAATTTTACTGTATAAGAATTCCTTTATACACTTGTTGTTATAACATTCCCAAAACATATCGGTAGGTAAAACATGTTCTTTTTGACATGTTCAGCCAATTTAAAAAAATATGGTTTGAACATGATTTGACTAAGACCATTTCCACAGGGGAGGCAGTTGACCAGTGAGTCCACACTGGTAGCACCTTTGCTCTAACTAAACTAGAGCATTATTTGTGAGTTACTTTTGTGTCAAAAATGCAAAGATTAGCCCTCATCATGGTCCTTTGGGACCTTGGTTTATTTAGTTATAAAATTGCAAATTTTAGCCCTAAAATTTCGATTACGTACCCTAACATTCCTTATTTTAGCCCTAAAATTTCTGAAATATTACCCTAAAATTCACCCTAATTTTATGTCGGAAGGTGCTGGACAGCCTATTAATGGTGTCCTTCACTTATACGGTAGACATTTTATTGTAGAAACATCATGTGTAAAAGTAAGAATAATTTACATTTATATAAGCATTGGTAAGTTAAACAATTTAAGTTGAAAACTCCTATTTTTTGCCTCTAAATGGTCCAAAAACTCCTATATTTCCTGCAAAAATATTCCTATATTCCTCCTTTATTTTGGATAAGACCTGGTTGACAGCCTGGTGTAAGTTTCTTAAGATCAAAAGTTTTAATTTACATGTGAATGAAATTTATTAAATGTGGTTATGCACCAAAAAATGTGCATTATTACAGCTAAACCTCATTCTTTAGTTTGTAATAACACTTAAAATAATTGTTACCTTGGTCTGTCATAAATCGTTTTATGAAATAAGAAAATGAACCAATTAAAAAAAATCGAAAGTTTAACATCTACAGAAAGAGATAAAACCTAACTTAAAGTTTGAGACATGGGTACTTATAAGTTGGACTGCATAAGTTGTTAAGGTTGCTTATTCACTATTAAGACCAGTTTACTTTAAAGATCACTTAGAGTCAGTCCTATTTGTGGTCTTGATAGAAAGAATTTACTGTACATAGTTATTCCAGTTGAACAAGTTTGTCGTTTCATTCTAATGAATTTATTTTCATGTTATCTTGTAAGGTGCGCTAGATATCTTAAAGGACTTGTAAATGAACTCCATCTATCTTAAATTTAGAGTCCATGACTGGTCTCCACACCAAATCTAATTATTTGTACATTTATTCAAATCACTGATGCAAAAAACATACTTTACACAACTTTGAATTCCATTAAATTTTCAAATAAATAACACTTAATTGGCAAATGCTAAGGTATGAAGAAATGTTAAAATAAATAATTTATATTGTTGATCTGGCATTACATTAAAATGCAATAATGTAATGCAAAGTTAGTGAAAAATCTGGAAGTTAAGTTGTTTCACTATATGATAATTGTGATATTTGATATTTTACAGTATTGGAGAATATCCAGGGTGTTTTGATAGCTTTGAAACAGGAATTGTTGTCTGTACTGGAGCATGCTTTACTTGGAGATAAAATGGCTGCCAAATACCTACTGTGTCATCTTATTGCCAATGTGTAAGTTTTACTGAACATTGACATTTATTAGGAAACTTACAGAGTGAACATTTTGTGCCCACAGGCATTTTTGCCATAATCTGAATCTTCCGCAATGGGGAAAAATGTATGTGTTAAGCATAGGGAAAAATGTATGTGTTAAGCATAGGGAAAAAATGTATGATAAATTATAAGAATAGAAATTTTTAGAATATCACAAAAGTACAAACAATTATTGGAAAGGAAATATTGTAATGCTTTACTCTTTTAAGTAAGAGTCAATTAACCATAACCACTCTAAATACTCGTATATTTAATGGACTTGTCCACCTTACAATCTGGAGTTAACCGGGAAAACTTCAAAATGTTATACTTACTAAACAGCATACAAAGTAGATCATGATCAAATGGCAGGGGTGTGCCAGTTGATGTTGGTCTAATGGCAAAGGGTTGTGAAAAAAGTTTTTCTGCAAGAGATTTTAAAATGCTATCAGATGCTGAAGAGTCTTCTAAGAATCCCTATACATGTGACATTATAGGAAAATCTTTATTTGCCACAACAATTGTAAAAGATACATAGGGAATATTATGTTGTAGTAACTTTCTGAGGCTTTGTATTTTGCTACGAGCAGCGGTGGAAAAATGATATCACGCGAGACGGAATAATTTTGGTTCCCGTTTCCAAATGCAACGTTATACACAGCTTAGATCGGAACCAACGTCAAAAATAGTCTGGCACTTCCATATTTGGTACCGTATTTGTCACTTACATAATACGGAATTTTCTATCCATTGAAGCGTATTTGCGCTTCAAGATTTGCGTGTATTTAGGGAGAAAATTTATAGGTATATAAGAAAATTAATTATATGTTCTTATTATGACTAAAACTTCAGATATGGTAGAGCTGATGCTATGGCACTGGGAAAGTTTTCCGTGAATTTCAGCAACTGTCCCAACTCTTCATTATACTCTGAATTGTTACACCATTTACTGTCCAATCTCGTCACACAGGTATCTTATTTGATTTCCTTATTTGACAATCAAATTATGATATAACTGCCTATATTTATCAACAATTTATACAATTTTGTATATATGCACATCTTATAATGATAAAAATATTTTTCTATAATTACACATCTTATAATGATAAAAATATTTTTCTATAATTATTCATTTTACCTTGAAAATTTACTCTCTTTTGCCTAGAAAGTTTTTCTATATGAAAGTCAGAAGTTTGATTAGTGTATCTTTTGTGTGAAGTGTCATTTTAATAAAGAATAGAATTACCAGAGTTTCAAGCTTCTTTATATTTTTGTGGACATATATGGATCACTTCTCCATCGTCTGTCCGTCCGTTTGTCTCAATACCTGCCCAGACTACTGCTTAAAAACTGCTGGTGTAATTTATTCCAACTTTATTTAAAAATGTTTTTTTCCCTGTTTATGATATTTGTGTGTCTTGCTGCACAGTAGCTACAAAATATCTGTGACACATATAAGGGAACAAACTGGTCAATCACCCCTCAATACAACTGCTAAATTGGCTATTATTATCAACACATGAGATCATTCTTTGTGTTATTCATCTTATTTTTTGGAATCACTTGTGCCATTTGAAAAAACGGGGTATTGACTTGTGCGTGTAGTGCATGCGTGATTTAACTACTGGTAAATCACCGACTTGCGGGATATTCTCAAAGTTAACAAACAAACAAACAAATAAAATAATCCATTACTCCCATTAAGATATTGTCATATTTTGGATGTATTGGTAACTGCCCATAACTTACAATTATTATTTATTTTACAGTCTCATTTACTGCACATGTCTCTGGACAACATGAACAAACTTCCATTCTCACCAAAGAAAGATTACACTGCAAACAGGCTGCGCTCTGGTATTTTACAGCTAGCAGAACATACCAATATGACTGTAAATGAAATTGCTCTTGAACCAGGACAGCTCGATGTAAATGGTAATTTTTTATTTTCACTTTTTGGAAAAATAATGGGACTATTGTACCTGCCCATGTTTCAGTGTCTGTGACATATTCAGTGATCTGTAAAATATTTAATGTTATTTTAAATGTCATTAACCACTGTTTTGTTTCTTGTTGATCATCATTGGATTTCAACTTCACATGTGTCTGTGAGATTATAGTTGAAGATTATTATTCAAGGCCTATGAATGAAGAATTGATTTTTACCAACTTGAAACCCTATGTTAAGTTTTGCCTGCAAGATGAATCTCTGGATCTACTGAATGTATTCTCTTGAAATATTTTACATTTCTTCAATACTTTATTAGGTCACAGTCCTAAGGCCTTAGTTTATACATGGATTTTTGCTGAATTTTAATAATTTCTGACTGTTTTTTGTTTAGTTTTTTTTTTTTTTTTTTTTTAAATCTCATTTTGCATGCAAATCATGTTTTTTCCATGACCCAGAACTGTTGCATGAATTTTGACTGAATTATAGCTATTCTGAACTTAAAAGGTTTCTGGTAAAGTTTTGAGAACAAGATAAATAATGTTTCTGATAAAGTTTTGAGAACAGTATAAATAATGTTTCTGATAAAGTTTTGAGAACAAGATAAATAATGTTTCTGATAAAGTTTTGAGAACAGTATAAATAATGTTTCTGATAAAGTTTTGAGAACAAGATAAATAATGTTTCTGATAAAGTTTTGAGAACAGTATAAATAATGTTTCTGATAAAGTTTTGAGAACAGTATAAATGATGTTTCTGATAAAGTTTTGAAAACAAGATAAATAATGTTTCTGATAAAGTTTTGAGAACAGTATAAATAATGTTTCTGATAAAGTTTTGAGAACAAGATAAATAATGTTTCTGATAAAGTTTTGAGAACAAGATAAATAATGTTTCTGATAAAGTTTTGAGAACAAGATAAATAATGTTTCTGATAAAGTTTTGAGAACAAGATAAATAATATTTCTGATAAAGTTTTGAGAACAAGATAAATAATGTTTCTGATAAAGTTTTGAGAACAGTATAAATAATGTTTCTGATAAAGTTTTGAGAACAAGATAAATAATGTTTCTGATAAAGTTTTGAGAACAAGATAAATAATGTTTCTGATCAAGTTTTGAGAACAAGATAAATAATGTTTCTGATAAAGTTTTGAGAACAAGATAAATAATGTTTCTTAAAAAGTTTTGAGAACAAAATAAACCATGTTTCTGGTAAAGTTTTGAGAACAAGTTTAAGGTATCACTTGAAGTTTCATCTTTATGGGTCAAAAATTGTATTTTATTAATTTTCAGGTGTGAAAAATATACAATCACTTGGAAATGTTATAAACTGGCAAAAAGTGGAATATGATTTTGAATTTCACAGACAAGACTTTCCATCCAACATCTCGGCCCTCATTATTTCAGAAGGAAGATCTATATTGCCTGTAAGAATAACTTTATTTTTAACAGATTATGTTAGCTTACGGAACGTCGGTGGTTCTACTCAGGTGCCTGTTTGTGCCTGAAATAATGCACGGAAGGGCACCTGAGGTCTTCCTCCACCAGTAAAGCTGGAACGTCGCGATATGACCTATACTGTGTCAATGTGACGTAAAACCCAAAACAAAAACAAAAAACAGATTATGTAAATGTTCACTTGAACTGTGCACTATAGTTGAATTATGCACAAGAAGCAGAGAGAGTTGTGTCCAAGCTTTTTGGTTTTAAATTGACTTTTTAGCTCTCCTGAGCTAGTTCAGGAAGAGCTTTTAGGATCGTTGAATGTCCGTTGGCCGTCCACACTTGTTGGTTAACACTAAAGCGGTCACATTTTTTACTCAATCATCATCAAACTTGGTCAGGAAGCTTGCCTAGGTAATAGCTCGGATGAGTTCGAACATGGGTCATCTTGGATGAAAAACTAGGTCACAGGAGCTAAAAATAGAAAAACCTTGTTGACACTAGTGGTCACATTTTTGACTCAATCATCATCAAACTTGGTCAGGATGCTTGTCTAGGTAATTGCTCGGATGAGTTCCAACATGGGTCATCTTGGATGAACAGGAGCTAAAAATAGAATAACCTTAATACTCTAGTGGCTACTGTTTTAATCCAAATATCCTGGAAGTTTGTCTGAAAGTTTGTTTGATGATTTTTAGGTCAAGTTCAAATATGGGTCACCTGGGGTCAAAAACTAGGTCACACTGCTCAAATATGGATAATCCTTGTTAACACTCTTGTGGTCACATTTTTGACTCACCTGTTATGAAACTTGGTCAGAATGCTTGTCTAGGTAATTGTTCAGATGAGTTTGATGGGTCAGGTGAGCAATGTAGGGCCATCTTGCCTTCTTGTTTGTTATGCAGTTGAATGCAATACAAGAACTGCAGCTTTTTGTTTCAAAAAGTTTGAGATAATTTGCAATGAAAACAGGCAAGAACTGGATAAGGAAAAAGATACCTTTGCAATTGAACAGGTGAAATTTTGTTTAAAAAAGAAAATGTCCTGAACGTCTTCAATACAGAGACACATTCTCAGTAATTCCAAAATGTAGAGTTGGACATTTCATTAACTTGTGCACTGTTCATTAAAAAATCTGCTGGTAGACTAATTAGTCCCCTACCGGTTTACCGGAGGGGACTTTAGGTTTACCCTCCGTCCGTCTGTCAGTCCGTCCGTCCACAAAACTGGATCCCGCGATAACTTGAAAAGTACTGAAAATATTTTTATGAAACTTGGTATATGGATAGATGGCAGTATGGAGATTATGCATGTCTTTTTCTTTTTTCCTATGTTGAAAATTCTGGTTGCTATGGCAACAAATAGGCTGAAAATATGGCAAATTTTACACATAAACTGGATCCAGTGATAACGCAAAAAGTACTGGAAATATTTTTATGAAACTTGACATATGGGTAGATGACAGTCTAGCAATTATGCACGTTTTTTCCTTTTCTTCCTATGTTGAAAATTCTGGTTGCTATGGCAACACATACATAAACTGGATCCAGTGATAAAGCAAAAAAGTACTGGAAATATTTTTATGAAACTTGACATATGGGTAGATGGCAGTCTTGAGATTATGCACGTCTTTTTCTTTTTTTCCTATGTTGAAAATTCTGGTTGCTTTGGCAACACATAGACTGAAAATATGGCAAATTTTACACATAAACTGAATCCAGTGATAACTCAAAAAGTACTGGAAATATTTTTATGAAACTTGACATATGGGTAGATGGCAGTCTTGAGATTATGCATGTCTTATCTGTTCTTCCTATTTTGAAAAAATATCAGTTGCCTTGGCAACAAATAGGCTTAAAACATGGCAAATATAACAATATTTGTGATTTGTCAAAAAGAGCTGAAAATTTTTATGAAATTGCATCTTTAATTCAAGAGTTATCTCCTGTTTAAGAATTTTTCTTTTAAAATGTTATATTTTGGTAACAGGGATGTTTCAAATATTAACTTTAGAGTGTCCTTCAGTCCGTCTGTCTGTCTGTTCATAAAAACTGTTTCCTGTGATCACTTTTAAAGAACTTTTCCAACAAATTTACTTAAATAGAGAAAAATTGAAACATTAATGAATGGCCCTTCAGAATGTTGATGGGGTTCTAACCGGTAGGGGACTTATGGATTGCTTGCAATACTATGATAATTGCTTGTTTATATATAATCCTTATTTCTCAATTCAAATTTCAAAATTCTTAAAAGTTTTAAGTGAAATATGATATAAAGCCATTTGTTTGACACTTACAGACACTAGTGATGTTTTTATATCACACTTTGATTAGGTATGAAATGTTAAACCTTGAGGACATGTGTTAGAAAGGTCAGTTGTTTAAATAATCCTGCTTCATCACTTTATATTTTAGAGGCTTGTAATCTGTCTTAACTTAATGTTCTGTTTTCTTTTTCAGAGTGATTGTTTTGTTCCTCTGCAGTGTAAGGAGCAACCAAGTGACCTAAGAAATTACTTTCAACAGTTAGATAAAGTACTCACAGATGATTTTCTCACGAAATGTCGGACATATATAGGCTTAGCTAAACACATGGACTACAGTTTATCTGACGAGATTCAAAAGGTAAAATTGAAATAAATTGTTGTTTTTTCTTTGTTGTTGGAGCATACTGTGAATTGTCTTTAATGGATGGTTTTGCTTCAGGCTCTATTCTTATGTTATTATAATGTAAAAGGTCTCCAAATAGGGGTGTAGTTAATAAGTGAGGATATATCATTGAGGATGCTGCTTCATGCAAGAAAATAGGAATTTGAGACTTTCAGGTCTTGAAATATGAACATCTGACCTGAAGTGTATCTTAAAAATACAAGAAAACTTACATATTGCATCAGTCTGCCATTTAAATATTTATATATATGAATACTGTAACAGTTTGTATCATATTTAGCAAGTAAATAAAGTAAACTTTAGTTTGCCATGTATATAATTGTAAACGAATACAGTTACACCTTCAGCATGTAAATAAAATAAGATATAATGTACTTTGGTAGCATAAGGCAAAAAGTTGTACTGAAGGTCTTTCCACCTGAGAATGGTTATATGACCTCGGCAGTGTTGTACATATTAAAAGCCCAGCAAACGAAAGAACACAGACAACAATAGGAAATTAATCTGTATGAAATATTTCATTACTGTGACAATCTTGGTATTCTTTCAGAAAATACAAGATGACTTTGTAACTCTCAGGAAGGATGATCCAAAAAGTATGACAGTAGATGACTTCCATGCCTTGCTGTCTTTAACCAGGTATTTTCACCTTAGTTTGTACATATGAGCCGTGTCATGACAAAACCAACATAATGGGTTTGCGACCAGCATGGATCCAGACCAGCCTGCGCATCCGCGCAGTCTGATCAGGATCCATGCTGTTCGCTTACAAACTCTATAACAAGTAGAGAAACCGATAGTGAACAGCATGGATCCTGATGGAAAAGTAAAGCTAAATGCCACTAAATAGTTTCTTTAAAAAAAGAAAAGCCAAAAAATGCCCTTAAAAATACTATCCTATTGTTTAGAGTTGTACATCCAATAATGAAAGTATTCAAAAATATTCCTTATTTCAATTTGTTTCTTAAAAAAAAAAAAGAAAGAGAAACAACCATCTTTTACTACACAACATTGTGAACAAAATCAGTAAATCCAGGATTAGTGAAATTTTGAAATTATTGAACTATATTGGTTTACCTTTGTTCACACTGGCTCAAATTACTAGAAAATAATCTTCTGAATTCATATAGTACATGTATTAATATTAAAGTGAGTGTTTACCTAACTGGCCAAAACGTTAAGGTCACTTTCACATCTGTGGATTTTAAAGCATTTTATTTTAGGAAGCTGTTTTGGGGTTTAAAGCCATAGTTTAATATGTCAAAATAAAGTTTTTGTCATGTGTGATGTTCTTGCTTATATAGAATAAATGATATGGTCAGAGTTAGAATATTTCTAGCCAGGTATTGGGATATGTTTAAATCATTTCACTGACAGGGCACGTGTTGTTTTTCCCTCCACTGGTATTGCAAGATCAGAATTTGCTGAATAGTAATGGTGTGACTTTGTAACTTGTAAGGCACAGTTGCAGACATTTGTCAGTATCCAGTCACCTTTTATGGTCTCTTCTTAGCTGATAGCAAAATACTGTGTGCTGAATTGCATAATGAACTACATGTACATTTATTTAAATAATGAAGCTTTAAATGATCAATTAACATCAATATTCAACACAAACTGTTAACTATGTAATAAGACTGATATTTATACACATAAAACATACTTTGATTTGACTTGGAATTGGTAGGCTTTGCCGAAGATTCAACTTCTGATTGTTATTTCAATGTTTGAGACTTTGTTTTACAGATTGCTGAGTTTAACGGATTTGAAGGAATGTCCTACACTAGAAATATGGAATATGGCTAAAATTATGGAAAACTGTCGCAAACAAAGAGTAGCTGAACTGCCTGAGAGACAAAATTGAAAACGAACATCTTAACTTTCTAAAGTGAAAATTGGAAATAATGTTTGGTCAATGCCATCTGTATAGTGTCACTGTTCAGTCTATTCATATTACAGTGTTGAATTCAGTTAAACTTTCAACAAACAGTTTAAAACTTAATTGGGTTTATTATAAAAAGTAAAAGGGAATTAAAGTTAAATTGATTTGAAAAAAATGAACTATTGCCACAACAATGATAAACATGTATACATGTATATATAAACAACAGAATCATTCATGTTTTCATTATTTAACATTGCTATTTTTTTTGATATGCATGTTAGTTTTGGATAAATTGTTTTATGTATCATATTACAAATATACAAATAAAATATGTAAAATATTCAATTTTGCATTCTTATTTAGTAAACTTTTAGAGTCTGTTCCAACAAATCTGAACATATCATTTCATTACACACATTCCACGATTCCATTGTAGTGTACAATGTATTTGAAAAAACAAAATCTGCAACAGGTTGAAAAATAGTAAACTAATTTGTCAGAATTATTGCTACAATAATATGCTAATACTCTATGGTTCATTTCCATGAATACTTGTATTCTATGGTTCATTTCCGTGAATTCTTGTACTCTAGTTCATTTCCATCAATACTTGTCATCTATGGTTCATTTCCATCAATACTTGTCATCTATGGTTCATTTCCATGAATACTTTTACTCTATACATGTAGTTCTCTTCATTTATACTTGGTTTTTCATGAACACTAATACTCTATTAGTTCACTCTCACATGTACTTCAATAAATTTTGATCTGTTGCAATATCTAGGACTAACTGTTGTTACATGTAGCTGACAAAGGGTGCATTTGTCCCCATGTTTTACCAACACTTATAGACACTGGTATAGGTACCCTCAGACTGACAACAGAGCCACATAATTTCTCACTCTCCATTACACTCTTCACAAGTCCTGAAATATTTCCAACTAATTGTTCAGTAAGAAATGAAAGAAATAACACTAATGTATAATTGGACAAATTGTTTAAGCTAATAGATTTTATCTCTAATGACCTACACAATTTAAATTACCTAGCACACACACACATGCTTGATAAGAAATGTTCTTGTTTTTTTTTCCTGGAAGTATCAAATCGGGAAATTTACTGATGAGTACCTTGGGATATTTCAATATTCCAAATAATCTACAAGTACGATAATGAACAAATTGAGAAAATTTAAAAAGTAACAATACATTTTACTAGATGATGCAAACAAGCATTGTCTCTACTACATCCAGGAGTATTTTTTCATGACTTGGCTGATTACATTTATATAGAGAAGTTTTTTATTCCATCCACTGTCCGTAATGCAGAGTAAATCAAGTATTCGTTTCACCCAGTTCATTCGGTAAAGGTTTTATCATTTAATAATATGTTTTTCTATTATTTATAACATATTTATGTTATTAGAAAACAGTAATTTAAATTAAAACCGCAACACGCACAATGCATACAAGAAGTGTATTACATGCACTGGTTGAATACATGCACTGGTAAAAAAAAAAAAAACACTTTCCACAAATGAATGGCTTTATAGTTTACACATGAACAGAATCCTTAAACTCCGGTTAGGTAACTCTTGTCATATTTGCCTAGAATACTTTTGATCGGCTGCTAAAATGACACAGCAAAATAACATTAACACATTACCTGAAACTGTATTCAGGTCAGAATCCGCAACTTCTAGAAGGACCTCATCATGGATTTGGACAAGAAGTCTGTTGAAAATGAATAAGGTAGACAGAAGTATTGATTAATGTTAGGTTGCAGGATGTAATAGATCTTGTACAAATAAAATTTAATAAATATAAGCATAAGGAGTTGTCCAAGAGGAAGGGAAACCAAAAGGTTGCTGCTACCACTGATTGTTCATAATCCTGGTATCTTGGGCTCAACCTCAGCTGCACAGTGGATAAATTAATTTACTTCCAGTTTCAAAATACATGGGCTACCTAGAATGTACAGTGATTGGAAGTAGTGGGTGCTTGAAATCACAAGATATGGTACATAATGAATTGTATGACTTGCAAGACACAGTGCAGTGATTTCATTTATCCGGTCATACCAGACAAATATAAAAATTACACCCTTGCACATAAAAGGACATGGCAAAAGTGTAGACAAGGGACTTTTATATAAGGTTAATTACATAATATCCAACTTTATTTGAGAGAGTAAACTTCCCATTTAGTATATACATATTTGCACATAGACAGAAATATATGATACAGTTCAAAACACCTTCTACAGCTTATCTTGTAATTGAACATACATGTATAATGGGAATATAAAATCTAAACTATCAACATAGTTGTTTACCTTGCCTTTATGTCTCTGTTACTAGCAAGGGCATTCTCTACTTGAAGCATGGCAGCCTTGCAAATATCTGCTGCCGAGCCTGATAAAGAAGGAACAATATACTTTAGAAAAATATGTAAATAACTACATGTATGTAATAAGTATCTGGCTTTTGTAATTATTTTATTCCTTGATAAAAACTGGATATGGAATTCTATATGTTGTAGAAGTCAGTTTAAGATTACCAATTTTAACAACAATCAAATCTGGATGTCTTCAGTAACTCCTCCCAAGTAAAAAGTAGATTTTTGTCACCACTGGAAATTTGTTGGTATAAATTAATTATATTTCAAGTTGTTGCCCTTTAATGATGTCATTTAGGGATGTGGACATTGCCAATAATGACTTGATGAAGTGTTAATGAAGTGACATGATGATCTAAATCCTATCTCTTGTTAAATGTGCAGATTTAAATAGCCAAAATTTTGCATTATTGAAGAAGAAATTACATAAATTGATGGTCAAATGAATAAGATGTCTACCAAAATATAAGTTTAAGATTAAGTTGCAATGCTAGATATTATATCAATCAGTGTATACTTTAATTATGATGAATGTATCCATTTTACATAATATTACATTTACTGACCAATTTAAAACTAGAATCACAGGTACAGCTCAAAATACATGTTTGATAACCTAAAACATAAATCCAAAGTCAGACATAAATTTTAATGGGAATGGCTTCGGATTTATATTTTAGGTTATCAAACATATATATTGTGAACATTCAACGAGCTCGTAACCCAATACTAATTCAGCACAAAACATATCTAGAGATATCACCTTGCACACAGAAGTTAACACATTGTCTCTCAGCTTGTGCTCTCAATGCACCATTCCTGTGTGTGATGTTTGGAAACAGCCTTCGTCTCTTGAAAATAGTCCTGGTATAACCTACAACAATTACCGAAAAACAACATTTGAGCCGTGTCAAAACAAAACCAACATAGTGGGTTTGCGACCAGCATGGATCCAGACCAGCCTGCGCATCCGCGCAGTCTGATCAGGATCCATACTGTTCACTATCAGTTTTTAACCAGGTTTTCAACGAAATCCGGGTTGTTGTAATGTCGAAGTCGGCTGGCGGGCGGGAGGGTGTCAACGTTTGGTTTCCGCTGAAAAACTTGAGTTTGCTTTGGCCTATTGACACCAAACTTGGTGTATGGATAGCTTATATCAAGAGGCAGCTTGGGATTGCTACCCAGGTGTCTGTGATCAAGGTCAAGGTCACTGTTACTAAAAATAGAAATTCAGTTTCCGCTCAATAACTTGAGTTTGCTTTGACCTATTGACACCAAACTTGGTATATGGATAGCTTATATCAAGAGGCAGCTTGGGATTGCTACCCAGGTGTCTGTGATCAAGGTCAAGGTCACTGTTACTAAAAATAGAAATTCAGTTTCCGCTCAATAACTTGAGTTTGCTTTGGCCTATTGACACCAAACTTGGTGTATGGATAGCTTATATCAAGAGGCAGCTTGGGATTGCTACCCAGGTGTCTGTGATCAAGGTCAAGGTCACTGTTACTAAAAATAGAAATTCAGTTTCTGCTCAATAACTTGAGTTTGCTTTGGCCTATTGACACCAAACTTGGTGTATGGATAGCTTATATCAAGAGGCAGCTTGGGATTGCTATCCAGGTGTCTGTGATCAAGGTCAAGGTCACTGTTACTAAAAATAGAAATTCAGTTTCCGCTCAATAACTTGAGTTTGCTTTGGCCTATTGACACCAAACTTGGTGTATGGATAGCTTATATCAAGAGGCAGCTTGGGATTGCTACCCAGGTGTCTGTGATCAAGGTCAAGGTCACTGTTACTAAAAATAGAAATTCAGTTTTTGCTCTATAACTTGAGTTTGCTTTGGCCTATTGACACCTAACTTGGTGTATGGATAGCTTATATCAAGAGGCAGCTTGGGATTGCTACCCAGGTGTCTGTGATCAAGGTCAAGGTCACTGTTACTAAAAATAGAAATTCAGTTTCTGCTCAATAACTTGAGTTTGCTTTGGCCTATTGACACCAAACTTGGTGTATGGATAGCTTATATCAAGAGGCAGCTTGGGATTGCTATCCAGGTGTCTGTGATTAAGGTCAAGGTCACTGTTATTAAAAATAGAAATTAAGTTTCCGCTCAATAACTTGAGTTTGCTTTGGCCTTTTGACACCAAACTTGATGAATGGGTAGCTTATATCAAGAGGCAGCTTGGGATTGCTACCCAGGTGTCTGTGATCAAGGTTAATGTATTTAGTTTTCATGTTATAACTTGAGTTTGCTTTGACCTTTTGACAATAAACTTGCTGAGTGGCAGCTTTGGATTGCTACTTAGATATCTGGGAGCAAGTTCAAGGTCATTTGCTTACAATAGAATTTTCAGCTTCTACTCATTAACTTCAGTGTACTTTGACCTATTGATTGCTATCACATCAAAATTTGGTCGTTGAAAACCTGGTTTTCGTCGCATTGCGGCGCTTCTTGTTCTAATTGTAATAGAGTTGGTAAGCAAACAGCATGGATCCTGATCAGACTGCGCTGATGCGCAGACTGGTCTGGATCCATACTAGCTGCAAACGCACTATGTTGGTTTTGTCGTGACACGGCTCATTTAACCTTGACATTTTATCAACATAATATCTAATCATGTATTTTTTCAAATGGTTTCTTTCACGATGTTCTGTTAAAGTCACAGCCTTTGATACATGTGTAACATATAAACCAGGTTTGAATCCCATAAAAACATTAATTTTCCTTGTAAAATCACTTTAATGTGTCACTTAATTTAAAGGTAATGGTTTCAAAGGTCCTCTTTTACCATTATGGCTTGAAAGTTGATTATGTGATTATGACCTTGTCAAATTTGTTTTTGTCATAAAAGTTACAAAATATTTCTAAATTTCAACTATAGATATATTTTTTACCATATTTTTCACAAAACTCTACACAAGATTTTGTGAATTGATTCACGGCTGGAAACTTCACTGTAAAGAAAATAAATTTCTTAAATTCAAAAAGATCATCAGATTTGTAATACATGTAGAATAAAACAATGATATATTGTATGTAATGTAATATTACACTAAAATTTTCTTTGCAAAAACATTTCTTAAAGCTAGAATGGAAAATTTTACACACCATAATTTATTGTAGATAATCTTCAGAAATAAATATTTTAATTGAACTACAGACATAAAATAGGTAATCATCTGTACATAACCTATAAATTTCAATTTGATTGTCATAGCATATTTATTTGTAATACTTACATAGAAAACTTGCCATAATGGCTTTAGCTGTATCTGTTGTGCACTTCAAATAACTAGCTAATTTCTCTTTGCCTGAATAAAAGGAAGACATTTTTGAATAAATAATCATGAAATTTAACAAAATGCTTTATTCTTATTATAGAAATAGAACAATTTTAATACTTAGTTTAAACATCTAGTTTACTGGAGAATCATGGTCGTGACCACAGTAGGGTCTGAACCCACAATCTCTAGGTTTAGGTTGAGAGGCAAACACCCTAACCACTCAGGTCATCGCTCCCCTGATAATGTTTATACTTTGAAACAGAATGTCTATATTCTATATTGTTTTCATACATTTTTTGATGGGTATGAGGGGTAGAATGACTTATTTTACTTCATCTTCAGATTATACAGGTGCTCCTTCAAGAAATTTTTCAGGGTTTGTAAGGCCTATGAACTATTGGTATATTTTGCTAGCTAGATGGATTTAAAATAGTTACCTATACCATACATGACAGAGTACACAACTCGTTTTGTTTGCTCCCTGTCAGCCTCACTCACATCTTCCACACATTTACCCATCCTGTTTATATCATAAGAATAAATCAGAGGATTTTTTTAAATAGAAAACTTATCACCTCAATGATTTCAGTTTGAAATATTCCTTTAAATGTAAGAAATATAAACAAATCATCACACATCAAAAATATTTTATTGCTAGAATTACAAAATACAAATTTATATCTGTCATTTTTAGCTAATGACTTTACAAAATATATGGAGAGCTGTCCTACTCACAATGATGTCTGTGTATGCATCCAGATTTCTGATTAAAGTTTTTGTGCAGAACTTTTTTTGCTAAAGCATGTTTTATCTTAAGGTGTGTGACAAGGTTCATAAATATAAAAGCAGTATTTCCAGAATTATCACCCCTTTAACTTACATTTTTCCTTATTATTTCTGTAAGTTTTTATTTTTTTTAGGGGTTTAATTCAAAATAAAAGTTATCAACACCTACATCATATGCCATTAGATTTTTAAGTCTAGCTCCTATATTTCCAGAATTGTCTCCATTTGAAATTAATCTGAAAATTGTTATATTTTATTTAACTATGATCTTTGTTACTATAAATGATATCTTTAAACTTAGGATAATTGTTCATTGTTATAACTCACATCATGTATGACAAGTTTCATAACTCTAGCATCTTTATTTCAAGAGTTATTTCCTCTTATAATTTTACTTTAAAAGCTGTATACAACTTTTGCTCTTATCATTATGTTTCTGAAGGGATTGACTTCAGATTTTAAATAGTTGTCCTTTCCATTAGAGCAAAGAAATATCTGTTCAGCTTTAATTGACATACACATAGTTACATGCATATTATGTGGTGCAAAAATGTTGACCACTGATCAGCCAAGGAATTGAACAAATCAGGAACAGTATTGATAATAGGTACCGCATTGAATATATCAGTAACTTTATTAGTAAAAGTTACCATTGAGTAGCCAAGGCATTGTATATATCAGGAACATTATTTAAGTTAAAGTTACCATTGAGCAGCCAAGGCATTGTATATATCAGGAACATTATTTAAGTTAAAGTTACCATTGAGCAGCCAAGGCATTGTATATATCAGGAACATTATTTAAGTTAAAGTTACCATTGAGCAGCCAAGGAATTGTATATATCAGGAACATTATTTTAGTTAAAGTTACCATTGAGCAGCCAAGGCATTGTATATATCAGGAACATTATTTAAGTTAAAGTTACCATTGAACAACCAAGGCATTGTATTTATCAGGAACATTATTTAAGTAAAAGTTACCATTGAGTAGCCAAGGCATTGTATATATCAGGGACATTGTATTTAAGTAAAAGTTATCATTGAGCAGCTAAGGCATTGAATATATCAGGAACATTATTTAAGTAAAAGTTATCATTGAGCAGCTAAAGCTTTGTATATATCAGGAACATTATTTAAGAAAAAGTTATCATTGAGCAGCCAAGGCATTGAATATATCAGGAACATTATTTAAGTAAAAGTTACCATTGAGCAGCCAAGGCAGTAATATATCAGTAACATTATTAGTAAAAGTTACCATTGAGCAGCTAAGGCATTGAATATATCAGGAACAGTTTTATCACTGAAGATCTTCAGTAGGATTGGATCATTGGTAAGGTGGCCTAATATCCTCAACTCAATCTGCTGAAAGTCTGAGTAGAAGTAAAAAAGAATATGAGACCATCAACAAAAACAAAATTAGTTATAGTGCAAATATATATATGGATGTACAAAAAAGAATTCCAAATAATAAAGTATCTATTAAATTTATGTATTGTCCAGAACAGGGAAAGAGCAGTCTAGATCGAACTCGTTTGCCATAGGGAAAATATAAACAAACACATGTGTTGAATGAAAAAGGGCATTTATTGAAAATGCCATAACTGACATTAATTAAAACTATTACATATAAAACATGTTATAATAATTTTCCAAATGGTAAAACTGGGAGGTTACAAAACCGCCTGTTATCTATTATGAAAGTAAGTTAACCAGAGCTGGGTAACTGTTAAAAAGGTGGCGGACTTAGGGGAGGTGGAGGAATTTCGTTGAAAAAATTGGCGAGAACTTCTCCTTCACCATAAAATATTCGCTATGAAAGCTTACGAGCCCTGATTGGTTCGAAAGCATCACGTGATCTTAAGTCATGACCTCATTGGCTAAAAAGTTAATTTATGTAGAAAGCTAAAAACTGATGTTGACCGTAACAATTCAGTAATAGGGAAAATTTGTAATCAAGAGAAAAAGGGGGCCAATGACATAAATTATTTTATGTGTTCATAAAATCTTATATTTGTGGGTATTTGTAATGTTATCAGCCATATCTTTGCTACATACCACCTCAAATAAAGACAAAGTCATAACTTTATATAGATACATACATAGTTAACAAACGTATGGCAATTCTATGCTAGAACACAAGGGATGTTACAAAAATAATGCCACTTGCTGTTTTTATTAAAAGCAACCTAAGTTCTTATCATTTTAACTTGCTTTGTCCTTCCAATGTACTAGCCATCTGCCTGACAATACACCTTTTCCAGTGAATCAATCCACTTTTTAAAGAAAATTTTATACTTTGAAATAAGGACACTGACATTACATACTGATATTCACACTACTTACCTTATCCATAGGCCCTTATTTTATTGAATCTGAGACTCTTTTGCCAGTCATTTTGCATAGATAATTAAGATTACATTGTAAAACAATGTGCACATTGCAAAGGCGATTGAAATTGTGAGTGAAATATTTTCAAATGTTATGCTGCAGATGCTGCAGTAGGATAATTTGTGTTCATTGGCCATGATTTTCATAAAATAAAGCACAGATAACATAACTTTTCGAACATCTCTCATACATTAAAACACAGTTGAGAACTGAAAGTTTGTTAATCTCTCATTCAATAATTCTTATAATTTTTCCCCATCATATAGTATACTAACCTGCTGACAACAAAGACCAGTCTGGTCTGCTAATAAAGACATCACGTGCATTGAACTGTACCACATTGTCACCCTCAACAGCTACCAAAATGACAAAAATTAAAGTTACTCAAACATTTACATGAAACTGTTAATGTAAATAAAAATGTTTTTACGTCATCTTACATAATTATTAATGTAGTGTCACAGTTTGAGAAAAATGTGCAGCCTGACCAGGACTGGAACCCGGGACCCTTAGAATACCGTACCGCGGCTGTACCGACTAAGATGATCCGGCCGCTTACACATCTTCTCCCCTAAAATAGTGAACAGTTCTGTGCCATGACATACTCCCCTGCTATATTGAAATTCATCCTCAAATTTCACAGGGTTACAGAGCAATGTGAATTAAACTCTGAGCTTTATACAGTCACGGTCCCACGTTGGGTGTCAAATGTCACAGGGTGATAAAAAGGTGCAGCCTGACCTGGACAGCAACCCGGGACCCTCGGAATACCGTACCATGGCTCTACCGACTCAGAGCTATCCAGCCGCTTACACATCTTCTCCCCTAAAAAAGTGAACAGTTCTGTACCGTGACAGGTAGTAATCAAAATAAAAAAACTAAAAAAAACAAAAAACAATGAGACTCTAGCTCAAAAATTTGCAAGCACTTAGTAAAAGATGAGACGAAAATTTAATACATGTAGTTTGGAACGTGCAGTTTTACTTTCTTGCTAATTGGAGTAAAATGTTGCTTGAGCTTGGTGACTAATGCTTTTAGGTGTAACAGGTATTAAATTCCAGCAAAGGATGAAGTATTTTTTAATTATGTTAAATAAAGAATACTGTAAGAAATTACTACAGATGAATGTATTTGAACTCTCAGAATACTAAATATTAGGGGTGTAACAATACAGCAAAAACCGTATTGCAATATATTGCCATTTTGCTGAAGCGTATTGCAATATATTGCAATACGTATTGTCATGTAAAGATGGAGTAACATTTATATATTTTTATTATATGTATATATTTTTAGTAGAAACTTAATAAAAATGCAAGGAATAAATAGGAAGTAAAGTGTCACACAATTTGATAAACAAAACTAGTCGCGTGTGACCTTTCACATCTGGGCCGCTAATGTAAATTATGCGGCCGCTTATTGACTTTTAAGTGTATAGTTGTCGTATACTTTTATCTTACGTTGGCGCCAACAAATTCGCCAATTAAAGATTTTATGTGAAATTTGTACAAAATTAGAAGGTAATTAATTGAAAAATATGATTTTAATAAAATACCGGTTTTCCAAAAATCGTACCACGGTACGAAATTTGTTTTTTCATATTGCAATATATCGGTATACCGGTAAACTGTTACACCCTAAATACTAAATATGGCTGAAAATGATCAGTCTATAGCCCTGCTATTTTGTCAATCTCTAGTTTAACCAGATTATGCTCTGTTTGTCATAAGTATTTTGATACTGAAATTACTTAAAATAAACAATGGACATTTCATAAAGAAAAGTCATATAAGATTTATACATGTATGTCAAAAGTTGAAGGATATCCAATAAACATAACCTTCAGAAAAAATTTTATTTAGACACACCTGAATTTACCTTCCCTACAATAAAGTTAGTTTGATGGTCCTTGATAGTGACTGGAAGCTTGGGTATAGCCTGGATGTTAGGGTGGTGCGAGGACAGTCTCCCTGTGGCAGCTGATGTCTGGTCCCAGTGTGTTGTTAGATAACTGTCATTTACACAACTCAATATACCATCTATATAGGTGGACTTCAGTTTCTGAAGCTATAGCAGCAAACAAAAAATAAAATGGTCAAGAGGTTGATATGTGATTTTTGATAAGTTGTGATAAAGTTTGTTTGAATTTAGTGTTATACATATATTATGTTTGTCAAAACATTGAAAAAAAATGAGTCCTCTATCAAATTATGTACTTAATAAGCAATGAACAATTATAATATAAAATCAGTTTTTATTTGTTTGGGTCGTCAGACCAAACAAATAATGGTAGCGAAATTTCAGAGTCTAATGTTGTTAATTGCAAATGCCGAAAGTAGGTTACTTCCCTTTTGTATGTACACTAATGCCGAAAAATTCAGGGGAGATCACTGTGTAAAGATGGTCAAAGACAGGCGCATTAATTTTCAAGCAAAGTAATTCCCGAATGGTCGAAGATTTCTAATATTCTTTTATTGTATTTTCTGATCGAAAATAAGTAAATACCAAGCAAGCATACAGAAGTTTACGACAAACCTAACAACAAGTAGTTCTCAAAACAGCTTAAAACTAGTGATTTAAAAGAAAGAAATATTTTTATTTTGTTACAAGTATCCAACAAATTACAACGCATTCAAAGTTTAAAAATAGCGTTGGCTTATAGAATTGTCAATAAATGCACAATCACAAATTACGCGGATGAATATGATTTTATCAATGAAAATACTATTTTTAGCGATGTCGATTACCGAATACTACACAAACCGAGTAGTGAAATATATAGATTCTACATGTCGGACTGTTTGGGCGAGAAGATTTTCGCTAAAATATTTACTTCAATTTTAAACAACAGGTTTATCCTGAACAAAATAGCTCGAAATTAATAAGGATTACAAACCCGAAATGCAATGGAAGTTCTAAATTTAGAATGACCTGATGTTATTCAGACATTGTTTGTATACCTTCTTCGTGGTTCAGGGGTAACGCGCTCGCTTAGTGAGTGAGAGGTCTGGAGTTCAAATCCCAGTTGAGGAAACTTTTTTTTTTGTTAAATTCTTTTTTTAAGTGTCTTTGTTAAGGAAGTAGCCATGATATGCAAGGATAAAGTGTGGCTGTCGTATAAAAATGAACATAAATGATTTTTTGATGCAACTCTAGTTATGCAGAATTCCGTATGTATCAAACTCTGGTGCCTTGCAAAACGAATTATAATACATAAAAATAAACTTATACGGGAAATGCATACACATATACAGTACGATTTAGATTACAAAGATCAGAAAATACCATATAACTTGGAGCCCTTTGATTCTTTATAAATATACATGCTTTTAGTAAGCTCCAGGATTATTTACATCTGTGTTAAACAACAGTTAAAGTCGTTACAAGCCCTAATTTAGAATAATATGGTTTTCTTCAGGCCATTCACATATGAATTCACCATGGCTGAAGGGTTTTCGGGCTTGCTTAGGAAGCGAGAGGTCTGGAGTTCAAATCCCAGTAAAGATAACTCATTTTTTTCAAATTGTTTAAGTCAAATAAACATTGGATCAAATATCAGTGTTGCAATTAGTCTTATAGCCAATTTACTACTGTAACGTGCACGAGCTAGCTGTTATATATAATTTTTCTTATGGCTACTTTGCCAGTTGATTGGTTACAAATGATTATAAAATGATTTATTCAAACTTTGGAATCAAGTTTAATTAACTAATGTTATAACAGTAATGTGCTTGAAAGGTAATAAGTGGTCCTTGAACTTGATATAAAATTGGGGTGACACTTTTTAGGCTATTTAATATATATAGAAAAACCACTTGGATATCGAGTTTTCAATACTTTAGTAATAACAATTACACCTAACGCAATGTTGAATTGATGCAATTGAAATACTTCGTAAATAGCGCAAGAACCCAAGTAATTAAACAAAAATATTAATTAATTATTTCTGTGGTGTTGACACTTCGGCAGCTGGACAGAGACTGATCATCTGCAGCTTTGAGCTCTATTTATACCCAATAATGTAGTTATATTTAATGATCGTTTACTGAAGTTGAAGAAATCAAGCATCCAAGAGATATTAATAATGGGTCGAATATTTGTACGAATGGCATTGAGTTCGAATGATTTTAAGGACGAATTGTTCTGATATTTTAGAAATAATAAAAATATGCCCGTTATATCAAATTATTGCTACGAATAAGTTGTTAAATTTATTCATTTAGTTTTTATGTATTTTTTACTTATTTATCAAAGATTAAACAATACATTTAAACACAAGATTACATATTTGTTAACAATTTAACTTTTCGGCAATTAGGTATAAAACCACTAAATATCATTACAGAATCTAGGCAGAATAGAACAATCGTCACACTACAATTAAAACGCTGGAAAGCATTGGTGGCACTATACAAATAATCTCACAACCTGCACCTTTCTTACATTCTGAGACCCAAACAAATTCAGCGCCTTCTGTGCTTTGATTTTAGATTAGGTTCTGTAAATTTAAGTGCAACTGCAATTTGTCTTGTTTCACACATGCATGTCAAAAGTTGAAGGTTTTGTAGACTGAAAATTTTCCTTATGACCATACTGTAAAAAGTCCTTTCTGTCACTAAAAAGACGATCATCATGTAATGTGTCCAAATTGTACTGTGAAAAAATGACAATGATTTCAAAATTTATCCTGATTTAAGTCCTGGAAAGAGCATGTTAATAGTATGTAAATAGTATGTAAAAGTCTAACTTGTCTATATTCCAGTAATATCCCAGGTAATGGATGAAAGGGCAGTAACTGTGTTAGAACTGTCTCTGATGTAGATATCTCCCTGGTTACATTTGTTTTGGCAAGTTTTGTTTTTCCTGGTAAATAGGAATCTAGTTTTAACTCTTCAAATAGAACCTGAAAATTAATTTAAATTGATCAATGCAGTCAGTCTTAACTAATTAGCCTAAAAACAAGAGATAAATGAATAAAGACCCTCTGGAGTTTATAATGACAGCTTGTATGCTATTCACTGTCTTATCTTAATAATCACATAGTCAGCTAAAATTGAAATTGTTATCAATAAAATATCAATTTTCTTCTTGATAATTCATATAAAACTTCACACATCTTCACACAGTATTGTGGTTGCATTTTTTCAACCAAATTAACAAATAATTGCATGAGAGCCATTGATATTAGACCAAATAGTCCCATGCAACTTTTCATCAATTTTGAACAATATTTAAACCGCCAGCAATTTTCCCATATAAAGTTTGTTATCTGCTTATCATAACAACATTTCAGTATAATTTGCACTACAAACAATATTCAACACAATTTAAGTTAGCTGGGCTAAACCCTTAATACTACAGAAGTCACATAATTCATGAAACTGAAAAGTCTGTGTTTTTTAATACATGTATATCCTGTATTGGATTGGCCATAATGACCATATGCAAGTGAATTTCAGGCTTATTTTCATCAAAAACATATTCTTGGATACACAGGGACAACAATACGAAATATACTTATTAAGATATTTCAAACTTTATACATGTACCTTTAATAAATGTTTGATTACATTGTGCAATGCTCCTATGTGCAAGTGCCAATTGAACATGTTGACATAATTTATATGAATTTTCATATGATTACCCAGGTGTATTTGTGTTCAATATTGTTCACTGTGTATATCCAGTAACGCAGGAATGTGCAAATAACACAGGAACGGTGCAATATAGTGGCCAAAACGAGCACCGCTATAAGTAAATGGACCAATTTTTTTATTGTAAACCAAATTAGAAGAAATCAATTGCTGCATACAGTTGCTGAGACATTATACTTAAAACCTCATCAAAAATATTTCCATGAAAATGTTAATTTTTTAAGATCATTCGTGAAAATAATGATCTGACTAGTGTATTGATGGCGATTTTTTGTTTCATTGATATCTTTGAATACAATAACATACACATTAACTTTATGATTTTCTATATTCAGTGTACCTGAGACATTTTCCAATTTACTTGTGTCAGTGTCACTTAATTTAGCAGATAAAATGTAATTGAGACCATTTTTATGAGATAACACCAGAATTCTTGATAAAGCACTGAAGCAATGGCAGTAACGAGTATCTCATTAAAAGTAGTTAAATCTTATTTTACCAGCTTCTGTCTATTGTTTAACACAACACTTGTACTTTGACAAATGTCTAAGGTATACAGACTATGGAAAAATAATGTTTTAAATGTGTTAAATGAATATATTTATTTGACGAAACACGAAAGTCACCTTCAAAACTGTAATCAGTTTGTCTTTCTCACAAATGATCTAAAGAAGTAAACATATTCCTGAAAAATTTATTTATGCTGGTTAAAGTATAATGTCCTAGCAGCCGTATAATTGCTTATTCATTTCTTTAAATTTGATTTAGAATAAAATATTTTGGTTCGTTTACTTATAGTGTTATTCATTTTGGCAATAGCGTTGCACAGATTCGGCATTATTTTTACGTTATTTACACATTCTTGTGTTACTGGATATGTAATGAAGAATGCTGCAACATTTTTCAGCTGCCACACAGCATTTGACACCTGTTGTGGCAACATTTTAAAGGTCATATGGTAATTTCACAGGTGGGGGTGGGGAGGCTTAAAGTGCCCTTAGCTTAGTAAAGTATTTCAGGCACAAGTGAGTACCTCAGCAGAACTACTGACCTAGCTTCCCTAAGCAAGCTGGAAAACTCAACTTTCCTTAATTACACATGCAAGCTTAGTATAAATAATATGAAAATTCTTAAAAAGTCAAAATAAGTTTAAGTAGAATTCGGTAAATTTCAATATTAATGTGCAGCATTCAGGAAAAGGGTGTGTTTCAAATAATTCAATAGTTGGAGTTATCTTAGTTTTGTAGTTTTTTGATTTATTAACATGTTCATGTTTAAGAGAATATTTACCTGTCTAAGTTGATGATGACTGTTTAGCAAGAAAGCATGACCTGCAGCCTTGTGTGCTTTCTCTTCCAGACTTGTCAAATTTCTCTGTAAGTAAAACATTCACTTAAATTCAACAGTATTTAATTCACGCCAATAATTCTGTTACTTTTTATTATTTTATTGCACCCTTGCTCATGTTAAATCAAACAAAAATCAGTAAGTACTTGAGTAGAACAATTAACATTTGATTTACCTTTTTTTGTTTGGTTAACTGTCTGTCACATGGTCACTTAATTGCAGTTTTATTTGTGAAGAAAAGATTCTGGGTCCAATCATTAACCACTAAGCTTATAGAAATTATTTGATATACCAGATAAAAATAATACTAACTTTTAGCACTGATGAGAAATGAAGTAGAGTGTGTATACTGATAGACATTTCTCTTCTCTCCATACCAGCTAGTACATTTACAAGCTTTGTCTCTAGACATACAAACAGATTCCACATATCCTTACACTGTAACATCTACAGATAGAAATAAAGTTTTCATCACTAGCAGCAATAATAATAGGCCTATACTTCCTGTACAGACTATGATCAGTCTGTACATCTTTACAGTATTACCAAACTTCACACAGTTGATTAATTATAGCTTTATTATATTAAAATGGCCTAGATTAAAATTGCAGACTTCCCAACTCAAAGCAGTTGAGATCTGTCAGACAATGAAAGCAAGGAAAGGGTAAAACCTGCAACAAGAGAAACTCATTTTTAACATGATGTACATGATTAATTTGAATAATAATGGGGAATTTTTAGGTCTGACTAGAAAAGAGAAAACCCATTAGTTCCACCTGGCATGAACAAACTCCAGTAAAGTTAATACAAAGCTGGTCAGTATGAAACTCACATCATATTACAAGGCATGCAATGTAAAGGTGAACTGACTATAGTTTCATATCAATTGTTATTTATGAAGCTTTCATTGTAAAATAATTTCTTTCCTTTAAATGATACTTTCATTTGACAATATTATTTTAAACAAAAATAATGATGGTATCATAATTCTCAATCATGCAAACCTGGAACAGTTTTTTCATTCCTTCACTTAGCAAGATCATGTCAGCTTCCAGTGCATCTACACATGACTTATTTGGTGTCTGAAAATAAATTAATTCAGATTTACAAATTGTCAAACTATTAATATTTAGTGGAGTTTTTTAGCAGGATGTAACTTCATGTATGTGATGTAATTCCTATAATCTGTCTCGAACTGCAGATCTATACAAGTTAGTGGTACAATTATATATATCATAGCTGAAAATATTATCACTAAAGAATATAACATGGTTGTATGAAGCAACACTAGCATTGTGTTTGTAATATAGATCTTTAAACCTTACTCTGAAGACTTTGCACTGTATACGGTAGTAATAATTCATTTTTAAAATGCTTTGAATCTGGAATTATTATTGTGCAGGTCAAGATGTATTGATAATGCAGCCAACAGTACTGAGTCTCAGGTGGCACTGCAAGGCTCAGGAACCTTGCTGAGATGTAAGGTCGGATCATATAAACAATCATTACGTATAATTAATGGCAAAACATACTGAATGACGAAAACATAAGGAAAAGAGGCACATTCAAGTATGTTTGTCTATGCTCACAAGTTAATAATCACTTTTTCAAATGTAACATATGTTAATAACAAACAAATATATAAAGATACTTGTTGTGGTAATTGAAGACTGGATAGAAGATGTTCAAAGTCAGAGACAGGTTGATCTGGATCTAGCAGCCAAACTCCAATACCTACATCTAATACTGTCCAGGTCAGATCAACTATAATATAAATGTAAAATTTCGATATATCAACTTAATTAACTCTGAGATAATATGGTCAGATCAACTACAATATAAATGTAAAATTTTTATATATCAATTTGCTTAACTCTGAGATAATAATTAGTTTAATATGAACTAGAACTATCACTAAATGTGATTAATACCCCCGCAAGACTGCTTCAGAAATGAGGAAGTTACTATAAATGGGATACCTTGCAAAAGAATTGAAACAGAGTTATGGTTGTGGACGAATAAAGATAGTTGTGGTTCTTGTATGTTGCATTTCCTTTCAATGTGGTTGACCATTGATGAAATTTTATTGAATTACTTTGTAATAAGTCCAGAAAGAGTTATGCTTCTTGAGCACTGCACTTCCTCTAATTGCGCTTGACCATAGTATGAAGTTGCATTGAATTCTAAACATCAGCTTTTAAGTTATGCATCCGACAAGGAAAAGGAACAAAGGGCAATAACTCTACAAATACTGAAGATAGAGTTATGGTTATTATACACTGCACTTCCTCTCATTGCACTTGACCATTGTATGAAGTTGTATTGAATTCCATCTACTAGTTTTCAAGTTATGCACTGGACAAGGAAAATTAACAAAGGGCAATAACTCTGTAATTAGTCAAGATGGAAAAGTAACAAAGGTCAATAACTCTATAATAACTCTGGACAGAGTTATGGTTCTTGTGCACTGCAATTCCTCTTATTGTGTTTGACCATTGTATGAAGTTGTTTTGAATTCCAACCAGTACTTTTCAAGTGATGCTCCAGACAAGGAAAAGTATCAAAGGGCAATAACTCTGTAATTTGTCAAAATGGTGTTATGGTTCTTGTGTACTGCACTTCCTCTTATTGTGCTTTACCATTGTATGAAGTTGTATTGAATTCCAACCAGTAGTTTCAAGTAATGCTCCGGACAAGGAAAAGTAACAAAGGGCAATATCTCTGTAATAAGTCAAGATGGAGTTATGGTTCTTGTGCACTTCACTTTCTCTCAATGTGCTTGACCATTGCATGAAGTTATATTGAATGTCAACCATTAGTCTTCAAGTTATGTTTCGGACAAAAGAAAGCAATGGAAAAGTAACAAAGGGAATAACTCTGTAATTACTTTAGATAGAGTTATGGTTCTTGTGCACTGCACTTCCTCTTATTGTGCTTGACCATTGTATGAAGTTGTTTTGAATTCCAACTAGTAGTTTTCAAGTTATGCTCCAGACAAGGAAAAGTAACAAAGGGCAATAACTCTGTAATTAGTGAAGATGGACAAGGAAAATGCAACGAAATGCTGGACCGACAGACCAACCGACCGACCACCGAATGACTCCTATATACACCCCCCACCCCTCCCCCCAAAAAAACTTCGTTTCGGGGGTATAATTATAAAGCTTATAGAATATCCCGTACTGTGACAACTGTGAATTAAAAAAAAAAAAGACACACATTGACATATATCATTTTTAAATACAGATATGTTTGTAATCTTTATGTCGGTACTAAAAATCTCTGCAGATAAGAGAAAATTATGTTTATTTGAGAATTTAAAATATAAAACACCATACATGTATATCATCCTAGATCTCAGTCTTATTTTAGGAGTACATGTATCTAAATTCTGATTTGCTTCCCTTCAGTCTACAGCATTTTATTATAAATGTAATTCTAGGTTGAACAGAATATAAATGTATTAAAAAATAAGGTAATTGCATCTGGGATATCAACATTCATCTGTTCACAACAATCAATAACCAACTTTTATGAACATTCTTAGTTACAAAAGGGCATAACTCCTCCAGTGTTCCACTGGTTTAATGTTGATACCTTTCATTCTACTCTGAATAGGCAATTTTGACTAAAATCTATGTTAAAAAAGGCATTATAACTCAAAAAATATAGCTAATTGCAATAAAATGCCCCTGTATAACGAATGTACCTTGTGATAGTAGGCAAGTAATTTTAGTTTCATGTGTTTTGAAATCATTTTACTTAAAAGACAAGCAATTTTGACAAAGCAAAAAAAATACAAGTTGAAAAAGGGGTATAATTATAAAGCTTATAGAATATCCCGTACTGTGACAACTGTGAATTAAAAAAAAAAAAAGACACACATTGACATATATCATTTTTAAATACAGATATGATTTGTAATCTTTATGTCGGTACTAAAAATCTCTGCAGATAAGAGAAAATTATGTTTATTTGAGAATTTGAAATATAAAACACCATACATGTATATCATCCTAGATCTCAGTCTTAATTTTAGGAGTACATGTATCTAAATTCTGATTTGCTTCCCTTCAGTGAGTCTACAGCATTTTATTATAAATGTAATTCTAGGTTGAACAGAATATAAATGTATTAAAAAATAAGGTAATTGCATCTGGGATATCAACATTCATCTGTTCACAACAATCAATAACCAACTTTTATGAACATTCTTAGTTACAAAAGGGCATAACTCCTAAAGTGTTCCACTGGTTTAATGTTGATACCTTTCATTCTACTCTGAATAGGCAATTTTGACTAAAATCTATGTTAAACAAGAGGGCCATGATGGCCCTAGATTGCTCACCTGACTTATCAAACTCATCCAAACAATTACCTAGACAAGCATTCTGACCAAATCTCATGACAGGTGAGTCAAAAATGTGACCACTACAGTGTTAACAAGGATTATCCATATTTGAGCAGTGCGACCTAGTTTTTTACCCAGGTGACACATATTCAAACTTGACCTAGAAATCATCAAAACAAACTTTCAGACCAATTTCCAGGATACTTGGATCAAAACAGTAGATTTTTCTATTTTTAGCTCCGGTGACCTAGTTTCACATGTGATTTCAAACTCATCAAAGCAATTACCTAGACAAGCATCCTGACAAAGTTTGATGATAATTGAGTCGAAAATGTGACCACTAGAATGTAAACAAGGTTTTTCCATATTTGGGCGGTGTGACCTAGTTTTTCATCCAAGATGACCCATGTTCGATCTTGACTTAGAAATCATCAAAACAAACTTTCAGACCAATTAACAGAATATTTGGATCACAACAGTAGCCACTAGAGTGTTAACAAGATTTTTCTATTTTTAGCTCCTGTGACCTAGTTTTTCATCCGAGATGACCCATGTTCGATTTATTCCCAGCAATGACCTAGACAAGTTTCCTGACCAAGTTTGATGACAATTGAGTCAAAATTGTGACCAGTAGAGTGTTAACAAGGTTTTTCTATTTTTAGCTCCTGTGACCTAGTTTTTCATCTGAGATGACCCATGTTCGAACTCATCCGAGCTATCACCTAGACAAGCATCTTGATCAAGTTTGATGATGATTGATGCAAAAATATGACCGCTAGAGTGTTAACAAGGTTTTTCTATTTTTAGCTCCGGTGACCTACTTTTTCATGCGAGATGACCCATGTTCAAACTCAGCCTAGCTATCACCCAGACAAACATCCTGACCAAGTTTGATGATGATTGAGGCAAAATTGTGACCTCTAGAGTGTTAACATGGTTTTTCTATTCTAAGCTGTTGTGACCTAGTTTTTCATCCGAGATGACCCATGAGCTATGAACAAGATAAGCATCCTGACCAAGTTTGATGATGATTGATGCAAAAATGTGACCGCTAGAGTGTTAACAAGGTTTTTCTATTTTTAGCTCCGGTGACCTACTTTTTCATCTGAGATGACCCAAGTTCGAACTCATCTGAGGTATCACCTAGACAAGCATCTTGAACAAGTTTGATGATGATTGATGCAAAAATGTGACCGCTAGAGTGTTAACAAGGTTTTTCTATTTTTAGCTCCGGTGACCTTTTTTTTCATCCGAGATGACCCATGTTCGAACTCATCTGAGCTATCAACTAGATAAGCATCCTGACCAAGTTTGATGATGATTGATGCAAAAATGTGACCGCTAGAGTGTTAACAAGGTTTTTCTATTTTTAGCTCCGGTGACCTACTTTTTCATCCGAGATGACCCATGTTCAAACTCATCCGAGCTATCACCTAGACAAACATCCTGACCAAGTTTGATGATGATTGAGGCAAAAATGTGACCTCTAGAGTGTTAACAAGGTTTTTCTATTTTTAGCTGTTGTGACCTAGTTTCTCATCCGAGATGACCCATGTTCGAACTCATCCGAGCTATCACCTAGACAAGCATCTTGATCAAGTTTGATGATGATTGATGCAAAAATATGACCGCTAGAGTGTTAACAAGGTTTTTCTATTTTTAGCTCCGGTGACCTACTTTTTCATCCGAGATGACCCATGTTCAAACTCAGCCTAGCTATCACCCAGACAAACATCCTGACCAAGTTTGATGATGATTGAGGCAAAATTGTGACCTCTAGAGTGTTAACATGGTTTTTCTATTTTTAGCTGTTGTGACCTAGTTTTTCATCCGAGATGACCCATGAGCTATGAACTAGATAAGCATCCTGACCAAGTTTGATGATGATTGATGCAAAAATGTGACCGCTAGAGTGTTAACAAGGTTTTTCTATTTTTAGCTCCGGTGACCTACTTTTTCATCTGAGATGACCCATGTTCGAACTCATCTGAGGTATCACCTAGACAAGCATCTTGAACAAGTTTGATGATGATTGATGCAAAAATGTGACCGCTAGAGTGTTAACAAGGTTTTTCTATTTTTAGCTCCGGTGACCTTTTTTTTCATCCGAGATGACCCATGTTCAAACTCATCTGAGCTATCAACTAGATAAGCATCCTGACCAAGTTTGATGATGATTGATGCAAAAATGTGACCGCTAGAGTGTTAACAAGGTTTTTCTATTTTTAGCTCCGGTGACCTACTTTTTCATCCGAGATGACCCATGTTCAAACTCATCCGAGCTATCACCTAGACAAACATCCTGACCAAGTTTGATGATGATTGAGGCAAAAATGTGACCTCTAGAGTGTTAACAAGGTTTTTCTATTTTTAGCTGTTGTGACCTAGTTTCTCATCCGAGATGACCCATGTTCGAACTCATCCAAGCTATCAACTAGATAAGCATCCTGACCAAGTTTGATGATGATTGAGGCAAAAATGCGACCGCTAGAGTGTTAACAACTAAAGGTGAACGGACGACGGACGGACGACGGACAATCATCGATCCTAAAAGCTCACCCTGAGCATGGTCAGGTGAGCTTAAACGGCATTATAACTCAAAAAATATAGCTAATTGCAATAAAATGCCCCTGTATAACGAATGTACCTTGTGATAGTAGGTAAGTAATTTTAGTTTCATGTGTTTTGAAATCATTTTACTTAAAAGACAAGCAATTTTGACAAAGCAAAAAAAATACAAGTTGAAAAAGGGGCATAACTCTAAAAATAAAGATTTCAGAATAATGTCCCTTGACTTACAACTGCACCATGTCATGATAAGCAAGTCCTCAAAGTTTAATGTTGATATCTTTTAAAATATTTAAATAATGGAATGCATTCTAGATTTGATTATGATGATAACATTATGACAACAATGGAGTGACTAGAAATGTGGACATTGGATACAGATGCCCTCACATTTCACCATTTTGTAAATCTTCAGACAGACAGCTCCTGATAGCAGGATGAACGGACAAGGGCAAAGCTATATTTACAATAACCCCTATCCCTCCCTCCCAATTAGGGACGTAAAGAAACAACCTCTAAATATGAAAGAGCATTATAATAAGAAAGTTACACCTTATGCAATATAACTACTATTTCAACAACAGAAATTTAATATCGTATACAACATTCAAGTATCAGAAATGTATGTTGCCAAAAATACATTTAAATTCACTCCCATAATAATATTTCTAGGGGAAAAAAAATGACGAAAAATAAAAAGCACAAATATTACATGCACAATCCTTAGAAATATAAAATAACAGATATTCAAACAAATATTAGAGTACTAGATATAAATTACCTTTATCAGAATTGATATTGTATTTTTCAAACAATGCTAAATACACATCTTTAATCTGAAAGCCTATCTTTCTTATACTGTCACACCTCATTAATGTCAACCAGAATTCTCTGAAAATGTACAATTAATGCAACCGTGAATTTAAAAAAAATTTTTTTTAAAAAAATAGGTTGTATTAAAGACTTCTATAATTTTCAAACAAAATTGATATTAAAGTTTACTCAGGACTACAATGATTTAAATTCATTCATGGGAACATCAGTAATTTAAATTATACTCCAATTATACAATTGTTTTCATTTTTCACAATAGATGTAATTGTTTTGTAAGGAATAAAGTTAGTCACCATTGTACAGTACAGGTCATATTGCACAAGCACAGAATTATTTATACATAGAACAAAATACCTCTCCATGCATTTTACCAGTGGCTCCTGAAGAAACCATCCATGCCCTTGTACAACACTTTAGGCTTGAAGCATATCTTATACTTAATAGTGTAACAAATTAAGTAAATACTTAAACTTTTATTATTTCCAATTAAAAGTACAGTCTTGTATTTGTTTTAATTTAACACTTAAAGCCTGCTGGTGGCTATGGGATCTACCTTTGTGATCAGTGCCATCTGATTATAGTCTGCATTGTTCACTTTTCAGTCAGTACATATATATATTGAAACTTGAAAATTATGTAATGGTTTTGTCCAGATTTCAAGATAAACAAGTCTGTAAAAGATATTTTGTGTGGTAAGAGATATAAAGTAAACTCAATAGTAATTTCAGTATTAAATATGTTTGGAATACATACCTCAGTTTTTCTTTGTTTGATTGATTTGTCATGTTGAACATATAAACAAGATTTACTTGTGGGGATGTTACTCCTACAGCGATGCTTTCAACTTCTAGCTCATTCTTAACTTTACCTACACTTTTCTTCTACAGTGTGAAACAAAAATCTACTTTGAATGATAAAAATTACAGCATTCATCATCTTGTGTCTCTACTGGTAGTAAAACTAATTGCTTATTAAATCTCTGTGTGCTACTAATGTTTCTAAATGACATTTCTAGGGCCCATTATAAAATGAAAGCCCAATATGCCTCATAAATGAGTAAATTTTCTAATTCTGTAGAAAGGGCAAATTTAACACGAGTTTTGTAATTGTAAATTAATGGTTTTAGAGCATGTTAGAAGCTTATTACACTTATTACATAAAGAAATCATTTGTCCTAAAAGAAGAAAAATGTAAACAAAATAGTACTTTGACATCCATACAAAATACTAAATGACTTTTAATTGTACTAATTGCCAAACAAGAGGGCCATGATGGCCCTAAAGTCGCTCACCTGTATATAGGCCCCAGGAGAGGGGCCAGTTTAAACCCCAGGGCTTTTATTTGAACAAACTTGGTAGACACCCATGAGAAGATGTTTCATGCCAAACATCTAAGGTCTAGCTCTTTGAGTTCTTTAAAAGAAGATTTTTTTAAGTTTTTGCTATACACATATAAGGAAAATCAATGTCCCCTGGGACGGGCAAATTTTGACCCCAGGGCTTTTATTTGAACAAACTTTGTAGACATTCACTAGAAGATGCTTCGTGCTTAATATCTAAACTCTAACTATTTGAGTTTTTTCAAAGAAGATTTTGTAAGTTTTTGTCATACACATATAAGGAAAATGAATGACCCCCGGGGCGGGGCCAATTTTGACCCCAGGGCTTTTATTTGAACAAACTTGGTAGACACTCACTAGAAGATGTTTCATGCTAAGTATCTAAACTCTAGCTATTTGTTTTTTTTTTCAAAAAAGATCTTTTAAGTTTTTGTTATAAACATATAAGGAAAATGAATGACCCCCGGGGTGGGGCCAATTTTGACCCCAGGGCTCTTATTTGAACGAACTTGGTAGACATCCATTAGAACATGTTTCATGCTAAATATCTTAGCAATAGCTCTAGCTCTTTGCATTCTTTAAAAGAAAATTTTTAAAGTTTTTACTATATGCATATAGGGAAAATCAATGACACCCTGGGGTGGGGCTAATTTTGACCCCAGGGCTTTTATTTGAACAAATTTGGTAGACACTTACTAGAAGATGTTTCATGCCAAATATCTAAGCTCTAGCTCTTTGGGTTTTTTAGAAGAAGATATTTAAAGTTTTTTCTTTTGGTTGCCATGGCAACCAGAGTTCTGCATGGAATGGAATTCTTTGAACAAATTTGTTAAGGCTTCACACAAGGAACATGCCTGTGAAGTTTCATTATGATCTGCCTTATGGTTTCAGAGGAGATGTCGTTTTAAAAGTGTGAACGGACAACGTACGACGGACGACAGACGACGGACGAAGAGTGATCCTAATAGCTCACCCTGAGCATATGCTCAGGTGAGCTAAAAACATCAGAGACTAAAGATAATTCAGGTAATTGGTCAATGAGTAACTATATTGGAAACTGAAATGAGACACCAGAAATAAAAGCTTTTGAAAAATAAAAATAGAAGAATCCTGGGACATAATGGTCCTTTAAGAAAAATATTAGCTAAACTAAAGTTTGGGTTGTTGTTTTCGAGAGCTAAGCCAAGCAAAAAACTACTCTAAAAGTATCTATTCATTAATATCATAGATCCTGATCTTTTTGTTCATGGTACATACAATGTGTTTTACAATCATAAAATACTTTTTCCTTCATTTCACATTGCATAAATTTTGTTATATTAAAAGATTTATTATACAAGTACCTTATTGTCAACATTAAACAAATTGTCCCGAAATTGTGTAGCTCCATTAGTGTATACAAGGGAAAGTACCAGTTCCTCTGACTTGAGTATCTTGGAACATACAATGTCAACTTCATCATCCAACAATTTATCTATGCAAATAATACCCTCAGAAACACTGTTTTCCTAAAAAAAATAATGTAATAAGACATTAATCTTCACTATTTATATTCTTGTATAAAGTATATACATGCACTTCAGTCTTGTCCGACACTACGATATCATGCTTTAAATTTTTGAAAACTTTCTATTTCATACCTATTTTTTTTCCAGACAGACAGACATGAAATCATAATGATGCAGGACGAATGCCCGCAACATTTTTAGTATGGACAAACCTGACAATGCTTTTCCTCTTTCGGTATTTGTCAACAAATGTTCTGGCTAATTTAAAATTTGGAATTCATGCACATATGCATTGCTTTTTCTGTTCAGATATTTTGATTGAAAACTTACTCATAATTGCTGACCAATTTTCATTTTGTGAGCAAAATATGTCATTGGATCCATCAAAAAAAAGAATTTCTGACCTGATCCTTGCTAAACTTTGCCTTCTTCTTTGATTGCAATCCATGGCAGTCATCTTCAATAAAATGCTTACTACCTGCTTTGAGACATTTATAATAATATTTTTTTATGCAATGACATTTACGTACATCGTATCTTTAATTGCAATGATTTTCACATGCAAGTGTTGTAACATTTTTTCTTTTAATTTTTAATTCTGATTCTTTACTCTGAATACAAGATTGCTACTTGCAAGTCACAAAAACAATTGCAAAACAACAACACACTTAATGATCAAAGAACTGTATGGACTCAAAGAACTAAATTCTCAAAGATCTACTTGAATTCAAAGAACTAAATGGTCAACAAACTTTTTGAACTCAAAAAACTAAATGGTCAAAGAACTGTATGAACTCAAAGAATAAAATGGTCAAGGTATTTTATCAACTGAAAGAACTAAATAGTCAAAGAATTGCATGAACTCATAGAACTAGTTGTCAAAGACCTGTATGAACTTGAAGAAATAAATGGTCAAAGAACTTTTGGAACTCAAAGAAGTAAATAGTCAATGAACTGTATAAAATGAAAGACCTAATCATAAAGATCAAAGACCTGTATGATATCAAAGAATTAAACTGACAATGACCTGTATAAAGCCAAAAACTTCATGGTCAAAGTTCTGTATAAGCTCAAACAACTAAATGGTTATAGAACTGTTACATAATGAGCTCAAACAACTAAATGGTTAGAATAATGAACTCAAAAAAACAAAATAGTCAAAGAACTTTATAAACTAAATAGACCTCAAAGAACTGAATCGTCAAAAAAAACGTTTCAGACATAATAAACTTATGAATTTTGCTAAGAACACAAATCTAATGAGTTTATAAAACCTCATAAAATTAAAAACTAAATCAAGAGCAATTGATTGTTCTAAAACAACAGATAACTTAGAAAATTTATGAATGAGTCACATCCATGCTACCACACAAACCTATCAAGGTTTTATTTAAAGAAACATTGTCATTATCATAAAACAATTTTTGAATTCTAACTTTCTTCAAAACCCATGAAATGTTTAAAATATTTTTACTGTGTTATTCATAATCTTTTTGCTGGTAAAATGGGGGACCTTTGTGAAAATCAAAATATAAAAAACAAATAGTTTAAAATTTACATTTGAAAATAAAAATGCCCTTTTGATATAAAATTTTTAAATCATGATGAAATTAAGTATTTTATTCTAATTTTTTCTGAAATATGATTTAAAAAAGAAAATATTTCCCCTGATTGTTCTTTATTCACTTGACCCTCAGATCAAAAGTGTTTTTTATTGTTAAATGTTTAAATCTAACGTTCAAGTAAATTTACATAAAAATGTATTACAAAAAAGTTTTAAACTGTTTTTTTTTCTTAAAAATGTGTAATTAGGGGCAAATTTTTTTTCACGAAACACAATAAATACTCCGATTGGGTTTTTTTTTTTTTTAAATTTCCTGAAATGCCGTTTTTAAATTTAGTTTTTCAAAACCGTGATAATTAAAATAACTAGAATAGCTCCCCCTTTTGTCAAACTTTTTTATCTGCTTAACTTCTTTTTTTTTGATGTTCCAGAAATGGTCTTTATAAAGGTGTACTGTACGGCAGATTGGTTTTGGGTTTTTCTTTTCTAAAAATGGGCTTTCTTCGCTTCCCCCTTTTCCGAAAACCCCTTTTTATCTTTTTTGGGGGAAAAGAAAGTCAGTGTGGCCATTTCCCATCAAAATTTGGGCCCCTTATGAAGGTTTTTGGTGTACACAACGATTGAAAATTTTCTTGTGACATGAGTATTTCTCTTTTTTTTTAATGTTTTTTTCTTGAATTTTTTGCAGGTTTTTTGCTAGTTTTTAAAACCTCCAAAGAAGTTTTTTTTCTTTTCTGAACTCCGTTTTTTTCTTTAAATTTTTGTTTTTTCTATCCCGGTGGCTGAATCGTCAAAAAAAAATTGCAATATTAGAACAATGTAAAGTGATGTAATGACATAATAGTTCTGTTTCTCCCAAAATGTTTTTTCAGTATTTTCGGGGAAAAGGTTGGTCGTTTTTTTTTGCTCTTCCGTCAAGACATTTTCCTTTCGCCTTTAAAAAGGTATCGAAAGAGGTTGTTGTGTGTAACAAGGTGAAATTGTGAGGAATTTCATAATTTCTTGTCTCTACAGGGGGAGATGTGCTGTAAAAAGTTTAAAATTGCTATAAAATGGTTTTTTTAAAAGATGAAATTACTTACGATTTCCGAATCTGTTTCATTTTTTCACATTTCTGTCAGCTTTTGGGGGTATGGAAAGTTAAATTTTCAAAAAATAAAATTTGACCCTCTTGATTTTTGTTTGCTTCGGGAAATTGAAACCTTTTGGGGTTTTAAATCGGTTCCATTGTGTACCTGTTGGAAATTAATTTATCCCAAAACAAATTTTAAAAAAGAAAATTTTTTTGGTATTTTTCAAACCTTCCGAACATTTATTAAAACAATTTTTTGGAAAATAAATATTTTTTTTAAATTGACCTGTACCCATATATTAAGGACTTTTTTTTGGGGACTGTAATTTTCCCTCTTTGTATCTTTAATGTATTCAGCGAATTTTTTTCAAAACGTCCAGGGAAGTAATTGTCAGATTTTTGTTATTTTTCATCAAGGACCTTTTATCGTAATTTTTTGTGTTTGTAGGGGAAAAAATGCCCTTTTTGGGGAAGGGTCCATTCAAAAAAATAATAAAAGTGTGAAAAATCTTTTTTTCCTAACCCTTTTTAGTGTATGCAAATGAAGTAAACGTGTGATGCGTTTTATCCAATAAAATTAATAAAACAAAGCAACGCTCTGCCCCTACTGTGTTGGTATAGATGCTTCTCTGTTGATATTTAGACTGCATTGAATTAACCTTGAACTTGATCAGCAGTTACTAGTTATCAAATTAATCGTTACAATTACACAAAGTTTGTTTATTTCAAATGAAAAATACACAATAGAAAGCATCTACCCTTATGAGATTTTTAGTGTCAGGGACAATTTAGTGTCAGGGACAAGGAAAAGCAATGAAGGAGCTTAAAAATTCTGGAAAAATGTCAAACATGTGCATAATAGATCAAAACTGTTTTGTCAATAAATATCAAAAAGTCATTTTTTTATTTTATGTTTAGGATCTATTTAGATATTTGGAGTGTTATAATTATTAAACATTTATATAAATGTAATTGAAAAAAAAAATCCCAACTGCAAAAGAAACATATCATGAATTAAGTTTGACTGTTTCTTGCTTTGTTTTACAGTAAAGAGACCATTAAAGGACATTTTGTTTTTTTCCCTTGCTTTGGTGCTTAAAAAGTTGATTTGCCTTTTTTGGGAATTTAAAATTTTTGTTTTTATAAAAGTCCATTGAAAATTTAGATCACGGAAAATAAAGAATGATGTGTTTTTGGGGAACAGCAAAAAAGGTTTTTCTGTATAGATCATATGTATAAATCTCTTGCAAAAAATTTTTTCCCCTATCATTTTTTCCGTGGGCCCCTTTAAATTTCCGTTTTTTTATGAAAAATTTTTCATTTTCGCCCTATTTTTGGACAAGAAGATGACTAATTTCTAAAACAATGGCCCTTTTTTTTTGGTGCAAAAAGGGTATTTTTAAAGTCCCAAGTTGCAGGTGCTGAAAAAGAACGTTTTTCAGTACTGTACAAGTAGATATTTCTTGATTTCAAATAGCGTTTGTTATCATTTCATGTCATTAAGAATCAAACTCAGACAGTTTGAAAAATATCGATCTTTCTTTTTTCGTCTGGACTTACAAATGGCGTCAATACAAAAAGGGAGGTAATCTGAAACGATCAATACAGTACAGTACATTAGTTGCTCGAGTAATTCCTGAGAAAAAAAGATATTTGCATTTTCATATGTAAATATCCCAAGGCTTGCAACAATTGCAGGTTGCTCTTTTATATCATGATATTGTTTAAAATGACTGGTACACATGTAGATTTTTGTAAGCTTAAAACCGGCAAATTTAACAGCTGTTGTAAGCTTTTATATGTATGGGGTCCCGGTACAACCCGTTTTCGGCAACTTAACAAGATATCGGAGCGTAAACTACTATTTATGTTGAAGAAAGTAAATATTTGTCATGGATATCATAAAATCGTCTTCCCGCTGATTCATGATACAAATAATTTTTTTTGATTGATAATTAAATTTTTTTTGAGCCGGAAAAATTTGGAAAAATTATATAATCATGGGGCCAAAAAAATGATCTTTTTTTTGGGCGGCTTGATGTTAAAATTTTTGAAACAGCTGGTATGCACATTTTCCTGTTGCCTGGTGACATGCACGGGTTTTTCTGCTTTTCCGACGAAATTTGGAAAAAATTTAAGAAAAAAAAACGGTCCTGTTTTCAGTTTTGTATAAAATTAAAACCGGTGAAATTTCATTATTGTAAAAATAGGATTCCAAAAAATTGCACATATCATTTTTTTTGTTTTGTTTTCATTAAAGAAATTTCGGCAAAATGGACTTGACTCCCTTTTTAATCTCCCTTTCCCCCCAAAAACTGTTTTATTTGATGGGGCCGATTTTATAAAAGAAAAATATTTAATTCGTTTATATAATTTTTGTTCAAATTTGTTCCTTTAAAAAAACAATTTAATTATATTTTTTTTAGGTGATGTGCCGTAAATTTTTTAAGCCCAAAATTTTATTTGGGCGCTATAAAACCCTTTTTTCCTTCTAGTTTTTGAGGATGATGTTTTGAATAGTTATGCATGGTACTAAACGTTAAAGTTTTACATACAATTTTTTCCGTTTAGTGAAAATTAATTGGGGGGGGGGGGGCGCGAAAAGTCCTGGAATTATTTTTCAAATTTTTTTTGTTGATTTTTTTTATGGTTATTATAAAAAATAACTGTTTAAAAAAATATGTTATTTTTAAAAAAATGAATTTCACTGTTTTTTATTGAGTATAATCCCATTGGGGTGAAAACCCCATATGGATTGAAAAAGAGCCCGGTTAAAAAAATTTTAAATTTCCCCTGCTCCCCGATGGCGCTTTAATCTATGGGGAAAAAAGGTCTCCATAGTAAAAATTTTTAATTTTTTTAAACAAAATTTTTATAAAAATTTAAAATTTTTTTTTGAAAATGATGTGATTCTACCCCCCTGACTTTCTATATTTATCCTTTTATTTTTTTTTTATATCGAGTACTTTTTGCGTGTGGGTTTGTGTGCCCAAATATGCAATGCGTATTTAAAAAAAAGTCCTAAAACCGACTTTTTAAAACGAGATTTGATAAAAATTTTACCCCAAAAGATGCTTTAACATTAAACAACCATTTAAAACATTTTTTGAGTTGGTTCAATAAAGGAAAAGCCCGGTGAAATTTCCCTTGAGCTCCTATGTGCTGAAGAGTCCATAGGTGTGATATAAAAAAAATAAACATTATAAGGACCCCTCCCCTAAAAAAAATTTTTTTTTTTGTGTATCTTTGAAATAAAAAATAAAAATTTGATAGTCAATTTTCCCCCATCGGTTTTAAAAAACATCATCCAAAAAAAAAAAAAAACATTCTGTAAAAAATTATTGCTATTGTTTGGGAAATCAGTCTTTTTTTAAAGTAATATGGGAGAAGGGTTTTTGTCTTTTTCCCTAAAGGTTAAAAAAAGATTTGAGGAAGTTAAAAAAGTCCTGTCATTGTTTCATTAAGTATTTTTTAAATTATTAACCCCTTTTACAAAAGTATGTTTTATATCTGGGGATGAAATTTTTTTTGCCCTAGGTACGTTTTTTTGTAAAAAATTTTTGCAAAAACCCTTTTCAAAAAAAAACATTTTAAATTTTGGGGAAAAATATATGGACATGCTTTACAAAACGATTGCCCATTTATTTGTAGCTGTTTTAAATTTTTCCAAAAAAGATTTTTTACCAGTAAAATTGCCAGGTCAAAAATTTTTTATACTGGTTTTTTTGATTTTTTGCAAGGGTTTTGTATTTTAGTCAAGCTACGAAACTTTAATTGTTCCTTTGGATTGGCTATACATTTACTATATCATATGGAAGTGATCCGTAGTTTTGTATATGGATGGTTTCAAATATCACCTATAGATCTCTTTAGCACAAATGAAGCTCGACTTGAATTTTGACCAGCAATTCCTTTATTTTGAACTAAGTCAAGTAAAGTCAAATTTCCTTCATTAAACACACTTCATGTTAACATGAATAAATGTGGTTATTAATAAATACAATGTTAGTAGAGGCTCTTTAAACATATCTCAATAAATGTTTCAATAAGGGTTTGTTTGAATGTTAAGCATCGTTGGTGGTAAGATTTTGTGAAATCTGTATTTGGAGTCCCTTTTGCGACTTTTTTTCATACGCATAACATATTTTGGGCTCACCAAAACCCACGATGAAATGAATATATATCAATGAAGACTGTATAAAAAACTAACAAAAATGGATAAATATAGAGGAAAGCAAGGATGGTAGAATCACATTTCGGCTTTCTTTCAAAAAGGCTTTGTATAAATCTTAAAATAAGGCAGATGATAAAAGACTGCAACGGATACTTTATGGCAAGTTCGCATGCGTTTGACAGTTCTGGGTTACGGCTTAGCTAGTATGAAGTAGGCTGCCATGAAGTTAGCTGCCGATATCTAGACTGAAGCTGAATGGTGTGGCCCTGTAAAGTATGATAAAATTATTCATAAACCAACACAGGTGACAGCCTATTGTAATTTACCTGGTAACCTTATCTTTCACCTTTTATGTTTTCTTAGATAAATAATGTATGAAAACCAACATAAAAAACAACAACAGTACTCATATTTTAGACCTTTAATGTATTTTTTCATAACTAATGAAATAAATATGAAAATGGAAAAATATAATTTATAATGCAACAATATTATACAAGCATATGTACATACAACTTTTTTATTACAATATTAAACTAACAGTCACAGTTAACAGCTATCACAGTAACTAAAATATTTTCCTATACATGTTTTCATACATTTATTTACGTGCTGAAGAAAAAATAGCTTTGCACAATTGGTTAACACATAACCTGCTGAAATTTGTACAGTAGAAAAAATTTTGCCCTGCCTAGAATTTTGAATGTTCTGTTCAAATTAGAGATCTCAATTACTGTATAAAATACTATAACTGATCTACCAGCAAAATAGACCATGGTTGGTCATTGTGCTGTCTTATTTGGTTTTACGCTAATCACTGTTGATTACTGCAGTTTATGGTTTAACAAGCATGAATCATAGATACTAGTAACTGAATCAATATATATAAAGGCAAGTTCCCACATTACCGGTTCCCACCTTGTCAAGGTGATCTTACAATAAATTATTAAAAGTGAAGGAATGTGAATTTTAAAAGATAGCAGTTTCATATAACAAAAATTCATTTCACAACACATACTGGAAGCTGTTTAAAAGGTATTTATATATCTAAGAAACTAGCATAATATTTCTTTTTAAGGGGTGTTAATTAAAGTGACATACTGCTCATTTTTCATTGGCAAGTTGACCTGAATTTGCTATATACTTGTACTTCAAAAGACTGACTATCATAATGGCGATTGATCAACTGTTGATATTGGAAAATGTTTATGGTAATGTTTAAATCTGCCTAAAATATAAAAAGACTGCCCCACTCTTTTAATAAATTAAAAAATATACAGGAAAATTCTGATGGATTTTCACAGAAATTTTATTGAGCCAAATGAGTTATTTATTGTTCATGTGAAGTAAATTATAAAATTGAAAGGAATTATGACACAATATTCACTTATTTTGACTTTCACCTGTTCACTCACTACATTCACTCACTAAATACCATTGGATGCATAATGGCATGGTGACACTATTAAATACAAACAACACAAAAACACTTCATAACTAACTTTGAGAATTTTACTTTTTTAAATATCAAAACTTATGAAGTAATGATTGGAACATTGCATGTTCAAAATAAGTTGTTTTGTTTTGGAAAAATTTTTACAAATTCACGATTTATCTCTGTATTTGTCCATGGTATATAAATGTGTATCTACACTGACCTGACATGTGGTTACTGATCGACACAATATTACATGACAACTGCCCCAGCTACTGTCTAAAACCTTACATTGATAAGTTATCAACTGTTTCTGCAAAATCATAATTATTCATGGGTTACTTATTTTTGTGTTCTGGTTTTTTTTTGATAGGTCAATCAACAAATTTAAGATCCAACACTCGATTTTGTCTGCTGTAAGATTATTTTGCACTATACATGTATTATGTGCATTTTACATTTTTTTCAAAACACACAATCAACAAATTTAAAAACCAACATGAATGTCCTTTTTGACAAAACTCACAGAATTTCATGTCAAGTAACTGTTTTTTTTATACATATGCAGTTGACAGTTTTAATTATTACCTATTGCCTTCTATAAAATAACTGTATATTGATCTAAGTAATTATTCTTCTATTTTAACATCTCCCTTAATAAAATTTCATAGTGCTATACAGACACTGTTAACAAAAATAAAGAACTTATTAAACAGCAACAACCTAAAATTATTGCATGCTGAACTAATGGCAAGTTGTGTCAGAAAATAAAAATGTGTATGATAAAAGGTGATATTATAACATGTGACAACTGTGTACATCACAAATGTACCAACAAATTAACCTATACAAAATGTGTATTTCTATCAATTGAGTAGGTACAAAAATACACAAAAACAATCAAATATTAAAAGTTTCCTTCAACTGAATATATATGAAATTAACTTGGCCTATCTACACTAATATTGTATATGCAACATAAAATTTGTCATAGTAAATGCAGTAAACTAACAACTTCTTAAGAATAACCAATCTAACAATAATTTTTATCTCAAGACACGCTATTTTAAATAATTGTCATCAATGGATTATTGTCTTGTAGTGACAATGATTCTGCCATATGTCTTAATTTAAGTATATATACATGTAAACTCTAACTCTGTATTATTGGTGCATGTCTATAAACAGACGTATTGTCAGTATTTTGTCATATGCGTTCATGCATGCGTTGAAGTTAAAAATCTTTGACATCATTCAATGAAAAATGTAATGATTAATAAAATCTGCTCTGCTTCACACAAAATATTAGTTATTAAATTCACCAATGAAACTTAATGCGCCGTATAGGAAACTTTAAGTTTGTCGATTACGGAGTCCCATATTATATTGTTGCTGTTGTTTCTTTTTATATAACATCAGGCAGTTACGTTGTTAACTGAGATGTTAAAAGTTTCACACGTTCGACAAGTTTGGCACATATTGATTTCTCTTCCTCCACTGATTTCTTTAACACTTCAACATCAGCCGACAGCTACAATTACATAAAAATAAAACCAGAGTGAGACACTTGTACTATGATGTAATTACTTTAATGTCCGAATGTTTTTTTTAACAAAGCCAAAAACAAGATTATCAGTCACATCAAGGAATGTTCATAATGACATGGACTTACAATGAAGAAAAGTTAAAGTTATCTATTATAAGCTTCAGTAAGCTTGACTCGAATGCCCTGAAAACTAACCCAATAGTAGAAGTCCAAGAAAGAGAGTTATCATCATATTAAGTAACCAAGATCCTACACATTTAAAATATTTTCATCTTGTTTCTATGCAGATTTTAACACATATTTGGTCATATCTTGCTGGTCAGTACAACTAACAAGCTTCCCTGTATAACTAACCAGTAATTGTTTGAGATCAATTGTCAGAGAAACGTTTCGCCTTGCCTGAGGATTAAACCAGCAATCCCTGGGTTATAAATCCTATTCTCTTCCTACAGAGCTAAGAAGGCAAACCACATGAGCCAATAAAAAAGGTGCTTTGACAAATAAGTATGATATGATAACTGAAAGAAGGATGAAGGGAAAACTAAATGAGTTTGCATAAAAATAAATCTGATATATTAAGCTATCTTTCAAATAACACAGAAGAAATTAATTCAGTTACTACTAAAGTTTTCTCTTTGTTTCATATTGTTTTACCTCCTGAACTTCTTGCTTTGCACTGATGACATCATCATCTTCTGACTCCTGACCTTTGACCTCTATATCTTTCAGCCAATCACAAAGCTGCTTCAATTGTTTCTGCATTTTCCTAAAACAGTTTTTATGATCTTTATAATGCATATACACAATTTACAAAATATCTTACAAAAGATAGTATGGCTTTGAAAAAAGCCATAATGTTGAATTCCTATTGTACATCTTGCATGTGACAATCTAATGTTTAAGGCACATTATGCCTCAGAAATCCATTTTTCTTCTTAAAATTGTCAAACATGTCTTTGATAATGTTTTAATAATAGATTTAGAGCATGTTAGATGTTTAACAGCTGAGGAAAGTAGCGCTGAATGTGCAGTAATGTGTTGTAAAGGTACCAAAATGTGTAAACAAAGTAGTATTTTGACTTTGAGCAAAAGAAGCAAAGATGGTTCAATTATATGGCAAATGAGCATTTTTTTTGTAACTGTAACAAGGTACCAAAATTAAAAAAGTTTTTGAGAAATAAAAATGATAGAATTTCTGAGGCATAATGGGCCTTTAAGTATTGTTCCTTATCATCAAAATAACACCCTGTGATGACAGAGGTATGAATTTAGTTTGACAGACAGGTTAATGTACACACATGTGTCTTGTCAATCATGGCATCTCATTAGCATACAAAACAAAACATGTTCTCTGTTATTCTTACCTTAGCTTTTTCTTCTTTTGATCAAAGTTTTTAAGTCTATTTCTTATTGTGACAATTTCTTTCTGTATCGTTTGTGTGGAATGCGATTCAAATCCAAGGGAAGACAACTGATCTCTAGGAGTAACAGAACTTGTTGATCTTGGAGTTATCTGCTCTTTGAAGTCTGTAACTCTAAATGAACGAGTTTCTGACAACGGGTGATTATGGTCTGAATTTTGACATAACACTCGTGGAGTAGAAGCTATTGATGTGGTTTCACTTACAACTGCTGATCCTATACAAGTCTCACTCCTCGCGGTAAAGTTTGAATCCTTGTTTACAATATAAGTTTCTTTCTTATTCAAGAAATCTGCTGGAGTTAGAAGAGTAAGTTTTGGAATAGTTGGCACATTAACAGCAGATGTATGAGGTAAGAGTGAATCCTGTTTGGCACCATTAAACTTTTCAAATGTTCTTGAATCACCTTTAGATAAAATGTTTATCTTTACTACTTGTTCACCTTTTTCTAACTGTCTGTCAGAAGGAAATGGTTCATTAGAGACTGGTTCTCCAGTATTTTCATAAATCTGGAATGGTACTCTAGCACTATGTTGAGACACAGTCTGTTCACTTTTAGCAGAGCCAATCAAATGTGGAGTTAATGTTCTATCAGTATCAACATCTGATTGATTAGTTGTCAAGTTTGAAAGATTTAATCTTTCAATATGAGGTGTTTTCATGGCTACATTTGATTTCCATTGATCTTCTGTGACTTCATTTGATGGAGCATCACTGGAAAAATCAGGGCATATAATACCATATAATGCATACAAATTTCAAAATGTGATGCTGTAAATTTATGTATGATTTTTTTAAAATGTTTCTGCTTTAGCATAAAACCATAAGATATTTTTGTGAATTTTGTGAATTAATTTTGATTAACTAAATTAAATTGAGTTTATTGAAATTCAATAAAATGTTTTTACATTCATCACATTTTAAAGTTACATGGAATTTAAAGAAATAATACAGCAAATTTAATCAGAAAACAATGAAAATAAAACTTGCTTCTAGATTCTGCAGTAGTGTACTTTGAACATACAAAAAGTAAACAACTCTGTAAAAGTTACCCTACTGTACAGTAGAAATGCAGATCGGAATTTCAAAGAAAGAAATTTCCAAGTATATCTACTTTTTTTTTTAGAAAAATGCTACTATTAGATCTACCAAGTGTATTAAAGACATTAATACACGTCTTAGTTGTGCCAGAAGGTGATAATCGGCCCTGAAATGAATAAAACCCTCGGGCCATTATTCATTTTGCGGGCCGATTATCACCTTCCGGCCCTACTCTGCTGTGTATTAATCTCTTATAAATTACTAATTTTTCAGTATTTATAACTATATTTGTGCTACGTTACTAATGCAGTAAGGGCTATATTTGCATATTTTGACCTCTTTTTGGTAATTAACATGGGTTGCAAGTGCCATTCATAATGTGTAAATTTCTTCCTTTTGATTACTTCACAATATTATACTTTAGAATATGGTTTCAAAATTTTCATGAAAATAAGCATGAATCTGGAGGCTTGCTGCTTTACATATGATGATGACTTGCTTTTACATTAACTATATATTTACTATGCCTGATACAACATTCATAATGAAAAATCATTACTCGTGGGGCACTAATTTTCGTGGATTTTATAGATAAGTCAATTTAAGAAATTAAGTTCAAAAGAATTTTATTTGTTGGCTGTAAGATTATTTATGTTTTACATTATTTAGATTTCAATTTTTTTTAAAAAAAGGACAATCATAGAAAATCAAAAATCCACGAAAATGTCCTTTTTGACTAAACCACAGAATTTCGAGCCAACAGATTAAAGTGAATGCACAGTATACTTATTAAAACATTTTAAACAGTGTCCTCTGGTGCATAGAATATAGATATGTTGAGTAACTAGAAACTTCAAATACCTTTGTGTATCATGAACAAACAAACCAGCTCTTTTCAAGGATTCCATCAGGAAACTAGGCTGTCTTGGCTTAGCTCTAGCATGTGCTTGGCCCCTAAAATTTCATACATATCTTTTTCTATAACATAGATGCAATAGATTTAAAATCCATTTCACAACTTTGACAGCACATTTATATTCAAAATAGAAAACTTTAAAAACAAAAGCCCGGTTTGACCCGGGTGATGCTCCCCATATAGGTTTTGGACACAGGAAAGTAAACCTCTTGTAGTTTCAGAGTTATGTCCCTGGAAAAAGTTCAAAGTGCAATAATTCCAATATAAAGCAAGGCAGAGTTACTATTCTTTGCACTGCACTTCTAATCAATGTGATCTATCAACCTACAAAGTTTCTTGTTGATATCTTTTATGGTTTCTGAGTTATGTCCCGGACAACTTCAAAAAGTAAAAATAAACAAAGTACAATAATTCAAGAATTATGCAAGGAAGAGTTATGATTCTTGTGCACTGCACATCTACCCATTGAGATATATCTACCTACAAAGTTTCATGTTGATATCGTGTTGATATAGTTTTAGAGATATTTCCTGGACAAGATTTTTCTAAAAGGGGAGATAATTCAAAAATGAGGCTTAACAGAGTTATGGTTCTTTTGCACTGCACTTCTACTCAATGAGATCTATCTTCCTACAATGTTTCATCTTGATATCTCTTATAGTTTTAGAGTTATGTTTTGGACAAAGTTCAAAGTGTTAAAATTAACAAAGGGCAATAACTCCAAAATTAGGACAAAAAGAGTTATTGTTTTTATACACTGCATATCTACCCATTGAGATCTATTCACCTACAAAGTTTCATGTTGATATCTCTTATAGTTTTAGAGTTATGGCCCGGACAAGATTTTTCTATAAGGGGAGATAATTCAACAAGAGCTGTCACAGGAGACAGCCAAGCTCGACTAATACAATACTTGACGCAGTAAGGAGGACAAAACTATGAAAGAAAAACCAATTATGTATAATTATGTATTAAGTTATAGTAAAACAAGAACGTGTTTGTTAAACACAAATGCCCCGGCTCAGATTCTTGTCAGTAGCAATACTTCAAAAAATGTTTACCCATTCACTCAGTTATGGACAGAAAAATCGCCAAAAAATTGTAAACACAAGTTTTATAGCTTGACCAAGTCATGGCATTCTGTAATTGTGAAAAATATAAGTTGCCAAGTCATTGCTCTGACTTGTGAAGTTGAAAAATATTTAACTTCATGCAAGTTAGATTCCTACCAAATATGAAATACATCTGTCATTAAATAAAGGCTGTATGGGCAAAAGTGTAAAAATCTATTTTGAGCACTGGTGACCTTGACCAAACTGACCCTAACTCTATCCAAAAGAAGAATATCATGTAAGTTATCTTCCTACCAAATATGAAATACATCTGTCAATAAATAAAGGCTGTATGGGCAAAAGTGTAAAAATCTATTTTTAGCACTTGTGACCTTGACCCAACTGACCCCTTTCTCCATCCAAAGGAAGAATACCATGCAAGTTATCTTCCTACCAAATATGAAATACAACTGTCAATAAATAAAAGCTGTATGGGCAAAAGTGTAAAAATCTATTTTTTAGCACAAGTGACCTTGACCCACTGATCCCTACCCCAATCAAAAGGATGAATACCATGCAAGTTATCTTCCTACCAAATATAAAATAAATCAGTCACTTAATAAAGGCTGTATGAGCAAATGTGTAAAAATCTATTTTAGCACTGGTGACCTTGACCCAACTGACCACTATCTCCATCAAAGTTTATGTTTCTATCAATTATAAATAACATCTGTCTATAGAATAAGGTCAATACACCTGTAAAAATGTAAAAATCTATTTTTAACATTGGTGACCTTGACATTGGTAACATTGACCTTGACCCAAATGACCCCATACTACACCCAAAGAAGGAGGGTGTTTGTATTAAACTAAGACATCAACTAAAAAATAAAGGCTGTATGAGCAAAAAGGTTTATATTTATTTTTTTAAACCAGTGACCTTGACCTTGACCCTAGAGACCGCTTACTCCAAAAAAAATTTAAAGGACCATCAAAGGTATCCACCTACTAAATATGAAAGATATCATTAAAGAAATTAAGCAATTAGGAGAAATTTAGATAAAATCCAACTTGCCGAAATAGGTTAACCAGACAAGGCCCTATTTTCAAAGTGAAAAAAGGGAAATAACTGGGAAATATGGATGACACAGTTATATAACTTGGCAATATCATGTGCTTTGTATTGATAAGTAAGTGTGGAAATTATAAAGCCATTAGTATAGATAGAACTTAAGATATTTCCAACTTGCCATTTAAGGTTAACCACTATTCATTTTCTAAGTGCTGAAAAGGGCAATAACTTGGTAAATATGAAAGCCAGAGTTATGAAACTTGCCCAGATCATGTACTTTGTATTGATTAGTAAGTGTGTAAACTAAAAAGCCATTGGTACAGGTAGAACTTAAGAAAAATCCAACTTGCCGTTCTAGGTTAACCTCGTACGGACAGACGGACGGACGGACGGTTCAATTACTATATGCCCGGGGGCATAAAAATATCATTTGCTAGCATAAATTCCAAGATCAAGGGGAATAATTCTAGAAATAGTCATGCTAGAGTTATGAACCTTGTCACACAACATGTGTGTAATGATAAGAAATATATATTTGAAGTTTGAAGTAGATACCTTAAAAAGTAAAGAAGTTATAATATTTCTTAAAGAAAATCTTAAGTTCAAAGAAAGATAAATCTGTAAATATTGCTTCAAGAGTTACGAACATTGTCACATAAAATGTAATTGATGATAAGGAATAAGTATTTGAAGTTTGAGGTAGATACCTTTAAAACTAAAAAAGTTATAGTAAAAATAACATTTTTCTACTAAAACAATCTAAGTTTATGGGGAGATAATTCTTGCAATATTAGTGCTAGAGTTATGAACCTTGTCACATAAGATGGGGATGATGATAAGTTACATATAATTGAAGTATGAAGTTGTTCCCTTTAGAAATAAATAAGTAACATTAAAAAATAATATTTTTTAAGGAAAATTCTAAGTTTAAGGGGAGATAAATCTGAAAATATTGGTGCTAGAGTTATGAACCTTGTCACATGAGATGGGGGTGATGATAAGGTACATATATTTGAAGTATGAGGTTGATCCCTTAAGAAATAAAGAAGTAACAGTAAAAATTTGTATTTTTTGAGGAAAATTCTAAGTTCAAGGGGAGATTAATCTGAAAATATTTGTGCTAGAGTTATGAACCTTGTCACATAAGATGGGGATGATGATAAGGTACATATATTTGAAGTATGAGGTTGATCCCTTAAGAAATTAAGAAGTAACAGAAAAAAATAGTATTTTTTAAGGAAAATTCTAAGTTCAAGGGGAGATAAATCTGAAAATATTGGTGCTAAAGTTATGAACCTTGTCACATAAGATGTGGTTGATGATAAGGAACATATATTTCAAGTTTGAAGTTGATACTTTAAGAAATGACAAAGTTATAGTGAAAAATATTTTACTGCACCAAAACTTTAATCTGAAATCTGGACGCGGACGCCGGGGCGAGTAGGACAGCTCTCCATATACTTCGTATAGTCGAGCTAAAAACCGGGCAAAATAGAGTTATGGTTCTTTGACACTGCACTCCCCCTCAATGCCCTCTACCACTGTATGAAGTTTAAACAAATTATCTCCAAGGGTTTTCAAGTTATGCTCCGGACAAGACAACGGACGGACAGATGGACAGACGGACAAGGCGCCGACTATATGCTCCCCCGAAATTTTTCGGGGAGCATAAAAATATGCCACTAACAAACTTGTTTTAACATTCTGTAAGAGGACAATTGAAGTACATGACAAATTTCTATTTAATGAACATTTAACATAATTATATAAGCTTTAAGTAAACTTATAAAAAAAAACTCACCAGAAAATCTGGAAAGTTAGCTTTATGCAGACTACCAAGGTAATAATTCCCGATATATTCCTTATAGAATGTATAACTGTATGAAATATGCAAAAGTAGCTTTCAATACTCTTTACTAAAGTATAATTTAAACTACTTACCCTAACTGTGAACCTCCAGTACGATTAGCCTTTGACCTTCCTGGTGATACTGTTACAACAGGGGCAGGTAACTGTGATTCATGAGTTATTGCCCTCACCTGCAAATACAAGTATAACTTTCGTTTCAGTAACAACAGATTTTTTCACGTTATTAAGAAACCGGTAAAAAAATCATGTTTTGTCTACAGAAGTCAACTAATAAGAGTGATAAATAGCAAACAGAATTTAAATTCCTGTCTAACATTTGCATGCATAAATATAAAAAATTTCGGAAAAAATATTTAAATAAAAATAAATAAATAAGCAATAAATATATAGAAGAGGAAAAAATGTAATACCAGTTTTCTTTTATTTGTTTTAAGTTACATGCATATAATTTATTCAGAGGAGCCTGGTGCATGCAGATGAATGCTTAAAACTGTTGTTATTTTATCAAGGTCAATTAAAAAAGGAATTTTAATACAATGTATCAATACCATATGGGCATCAGATGCCTCTCTTGGAGTATTGAACAAGGATGCAGGAAATCTTGGTGTAGAATTCAATGAATGACCTCTATTCTCTTCCATCTTTGTAGAGTTATCAGCTTTTGAAGTGATCCTACCCTTACCATCTCTTAAATCGCCAATGGGTTTTTGACCTCCCCTGGTCTGACGTTTTTTACTTGCCCAGGATTTCCAGTGTAGACCACATCTCAGAACTAACTGGTATGTTTCATACACAGTCTGAAAAAAAAATCTAGATTGTATTTTGTTTATATTTTTATTGTTTTGTTTTTGGTTGGGTTTTATGTTGCACCAGTACAGTATATGTCATATGCCAATTTTCCAGCTTTACTGGCGGAGGAAGACCTCAGGTGTCCCTCTGTAAAATATCTTAAGGACACCTGTGTAGAACCACAGATGTTCAGTAAGCTTGCTAGATGTAGCTTTCTCACATGAAAGAATCCAAAGACACTTGCGGGGCTTGAACCTACAGCAATAAGAGGCAAGTGGTTTGAAATCAACGACCTTAACCACTCACCCGCAGATGCCCTGTCTTTTCTGTCAAATATAAATTATCATTTAACAGCAACTTGTATCTGTCTTTGGGCTAATTATCTACAAAATACAAAGTTCACAGGGGAAGGGGGAACTCAAAAGGACCTTGAGGCAACCTAAGATGCTAGAAACCTGGTCTATTAAATATGTCTATCTAATATATATATTTTTTATTGTGATTGAACCTTGGTCTGCTGCTGGACAGCCATTTGTTTTCTCATAGCTGACATATCGTCTGCAACACGAAGCCACTGGGTGATGCCATTTCTGATGAGGCGAGATCTCCTACGCTCCATGGCTGCCTGGATCCGGGACTGTTTATGTTTACATTCCTGTGTGTACACGTACCAGGCCATTAAAACCTGAAAAAATGTTGTTTTTTTTTTTTCAATCATGTTATTAATCATTTTCTGTAAAACAGTTTTGATAATAACAGTATACAATGAAGTATAAAGTAATCCCTTATTTACACTTTGTGCAATGATATTATCACATTTGACCAAACTACTACATGAAGTATGATAAATGGTATGGGATGTGTAGTACTTTGTGTACTTTCATTTCATGTATTTACTTTAAGGTTTCAGATTATCGTTGAATACATCGTTCAAAATGTGAAACAAACTTGAAGTATTGATAGGACATGTATATGCCACCAAACTCCACTCTTTGCCTCTCTAAAGGCAGACACAATGAAGGACGGACTTGGCATATCTATAAACCCCTATGTGGGGGCATTAAAAACATTCTTATGTTTAATGTTGGATCATGGCAGTAAGCCATTTTGAACTCACCGGAGCACAGTTTGTCTAACACATTGTTCCTGGGCAGGCTGTAAAGCAGTTTACCAGTATGAGTTACCTTCACTTTTGCAATGAACTGATAACTTCTATACATGTCAGAGCAAAGGTACAGTACAAATGACAGTAGAAAGAATTTCATGATCACTCACAAAGAAAGTGACCTGTAAAATCAGAAATTGAACCCAGGCTGCCCCATTCACAATCCAACACTCAACCTATTGAACTAACCGGACAGTTGATGCTAAACAATACCTTTTTATGTAGATTAAGACACCAATGCCAGAGGGCCAGACTGGACTTCTGTTTTTCTACCTGCACGGCAGCATATGCATGTTTCCAGGCAATAAAACTTCTTGCTGTCAGACGTAAGTTATGGAACCAGTCACTTTGTTTTCTCAACAGCTGTAATACAAAAGATACTGTTAACAAATATTACATTCCAATACCAATGGCTTGTATAGCCTTGGCAAATTTCAATATTTATCCTTTATGATATTGAAATAGAAAGTTCAAAGTAACAATAGCTATAATTTAACCTCAACAGTAAACATTTAGTAACAAAAATGCTCAATTTAAAATACTGCACAATGGGAGAATTATATTAAAAGAATATTCATAGAAAAGCTTTGGTCCTAAATTAACCCAGCTTAACTGTTTGGACACACAAATCAGGGTCTGATTAAAGTCAGGTCCATGCAAACCATGGCTATACCTTGAATGTCGAAATTTAGGACTCTTATTGGCACATTTTAAGCTTCAAGTTGACATAAAAATAAATATCATAATAATGAATATACTTACAGATTTTCTTATAGATTCTCTAGTGAACAGTTGCCAGGTTACCATAACCTTCTGTTTCACCTTAGCATTACGAAGGTCAACTGCCCTGGCATATTTTATTCTCATAGCAAGATGGTCCACATAATGAGTTCTCCATTTTGTAAAATAAATTTCGAAAACAACTGGATATAAAGAAAAGGTAAACCAAAACAAATTAAATTACAAAATCAAAACAAACGTATAATTGTTTCAACTACTGACCCATTCAACATTTGTGTATTTTAGTTAATACTGTTATAAACTTATATTGAATATATATTAGAATTGATAATTCATATCTGTTGGGGTCTTTAAAACCACTTTATAGTCATATTTAAAATTCAGACTTGTAGAAAAAAAATTCTGGAAAAAGGGTAATTCCTCGGAAGCATTAATCACAACACAAATACATGAAAATTGCAGACTCAGTTTGATTGAAGTCATTAATGATTTAGAAATACACATGTCATGACAAAATCAACCTATTATTTAACTTGGAGTGGCAAGCAATCAGTATCCAAAAATTCATATAACTTACATGTGTCTAAGTGTTGTCTTGCAGAATCCACCCACTGCCTTGTTTCTGACTTCTTGTAGGCATGAATGGCAGAGTATCTGTGCCATGCTGTGAATACCTACCAATTAGATATAATGAAATAATGAGTTTCTTCTCAGATAAAATACAAACATGATTCAGAAATCATGTGAATCACATATAGAGAAACTTGAAATAACTGGTTAGTTATTTAGAAAACCCAGATAGGAAGTATGGCCAAATATGTGTTAAAATTAGCGCAAAAACAGACTAACAAACAGAAACATATATAAACTAATATTGTGAATCATTTTCAAAGACTCATCAGTGGTTGGCTTGTTTATTTATTGATACAGCCACATCTAGTTTAGAATTTTAGCATTTAAAACTTGAAATTTTCATTTGAAACAAGAATATTCTAATACAAATGTTTCCCTAAGGCTGCTTTGACAAATCTTACAAGAGCTGTTACAGGACAAGGTGCAAGACTGTTCTCAGTCCTTGTTAGTAAAACAAGAGCTTAGACAATATAGAATTCAAAAATGGGTCAAAGACAGAAAAGGGCGGGTTGCATATGTATTACAAAAAATATCTGGGCGTGATGTTACTCTTAAAAATTTTTCTACCACTGTCTGACCATTTTGATGATGAAAGTTTACTTAGTTGTAAACCCGAAAAAAGAAATGAGCATCAACCTGAAATGGAACCCACAATATGGGACCCCAAAATTTCAATGCTGTGAACCACATATCAAGAGTCTGTGGTAAGTAGTTGCTGACAAAAACTGTTATGAAAATTTCCTACTATCTATTGATCATTAATTATGTCAAAATTAAACTAAGTCGGCAAACAGGAAGTGGATGAGCAACAGACCTAAAATCAAATCCCACTGTATGGGACCACGTGATAATGCTGTAAATCAAATATCAAAAGGCTGTGATAAGTAGTTGCCAAGAAAACTGTTACGAAAATTTCCTACCATTGACCATAAATGTAGAAAATTTAAACTAAGTCGGCAAACAGGAAGTGGATGAGCGACAGACCTGAAATCGAATCCCACATATGAGACCATGTGTTGATGCTGTATACAAAATATCAAAAGGCTGTGATAAGTAGTTGCTGAGAAAACTGTTACGGAAATTTCTTACTATTGACCATTAATGTTGAAAATTTAACTAAGTCGGCAAACAGGAAGTGGATGAGCGACAGACCTGAAATCGAATCCCACGGTATGGGACCATATGTTAATGCTGTATGCCAAATATCAAGAGGCTGTGATAAGTAGTTGCTGAGAAAACTGTTACGGAAATTTCCTACCATTGAGCATTAATGTAGAAAATTTAACTAAGTCGGCAAACAGGAAGTGGATGAGCAACAGACCTAAAATCGAATCCCACAGTATGGGACCATGTGTTGATGCTGTATACCAAATATCATAATGCTGTGATAAGTAGTTGCTGAGAAAACTGTTACGAAAATTTCCTACTATTGACCATTAATGCTGAAAATTTAACTAGGTCGGCAAACAGGAAGTAGATTAGCAACAGACCTGAAATCAAATCCCACAGTATGGGACCACGTGTTGATGTTGTATACCAAATATCAAAAGGCTGTGATAAGTAGTTGCTGAGAAAACTGTTACGAAAATTTCCTACTATTGACCATTAATGTTGAAAATTTAACTAGGTTGGCAAACAGGAAGTAGATGAGCGACAGACCTGAAATCGAATCCCACAGTATGGGACCATGTGTTGATGCTGTATACCAAATATCAAAAGGCTGTAATAAGTAGTTGCTGAGAAAACTGTACGAAAGTTTTTTCCCCGCCGCCCAACATTCACCATACTATAACCCAAGTTTGAACCAGTGCAACCCGGCCAAAAAGGGGCCATAATTCTGTAAAAATCCATGTTAGAGTTATGGGTAATGGACAGCGACCTCCTATTACGCTCACAAATAAGTGTGTAAAGTTTCAACCCATAACCTGTTAGAGATTTGGAAAGATCAATTTGCACACAAACACTTTACCTAAAGTATGATGCCCATGCCAAATTGAGTATAATAGCTCTCCATATTCTTCGAAGGTCAAGCTTAAAAACCTTTACAATGAGGAAAAGTTAGGGGTCCATACTCTCGGTGCCTCAAAGGGCGGATGAACCCTCATTAAGCATAGATTACATACATATGAGGAAAAGTAGCAAAATCTTTTTTAGTTTCAGTGACCTTGACCCTGTCAACATAAAGGTCCATTGTGTACCAACTCATCAAATATATAAGGTATCATTCAATGAATAGACATGTAATGAGAAAGGTTGAAAGGGAAGGAAGACCATAATAAAAGACAAAATGATCTAACAAACAAAAAAAAGAAAAGGGAGCATGAAAAAACTTTAAACCCTTTTTTAGATAATGTGTCAAAAAGGCCAAGAAAGGAAAAGGGACAAGGATTCTGTTTACACAACCAGTTAATCTACATATGACTTTCAAAGATATAAGTATACAAAAATAATGATAACTCCAGTTATAAATACAAAATGTAAGTAAACACTAAACATAAACTACAAACCTTGGCAAGTATTTTAAGGGTATAATGTCTTTCAGCAATAAACTCCGTATGCTTCTCAAGCTTCCGTTCACCTACATTATTCTTCCAGGTATGAAAAGCATCACTGTAAGGAGAACATTGCCAATAATAAAGTAAACAGAAGCAAACATTAAAATCAAATTTTGCATTTGAGACATTGTAGTTCAGACCGGAATATCCGTCCAGAGGGGACCCGTCCATGGGTAAAACTCACGGAAACGCCAGTCTGATATGCAAGAATATAGGATCGAAAGCACTGCTAAGGCAGAGAAATATACACTCTAATGAAGATTCATGTAAGTAATCAAAAATAATATTTCAATTAGGGAAAAGACTCATTCACGAAACTTCACCAGATAATATTTTATCTTAATTATCCTTATAATACTAAATAACCCCCAGGGTGGGAGCATTTTTGACCCTAGGTGCATCATTTATAAACCATTTCAGAGAGGTCTACTATGCCAAATATTATATAAAAGCTCTGAGCACTGTAGTATGATTAAATGTGCTTCTTTTACATCAATCTACATAGGGCATTTGACACCAAAGGCAGACCTATCTTTGAAGAAGACTACAAATTGATGCTACAGGCTAAATATCAAATTCTGGGCTTTTATAGTTAAGAAGTAAATAATTTCAAGGTAATTTTATAAGTTTGTGGAGGTTCACAAGACACTGCTATATGCCATTTATATAAGCTCTGGGTATTGTATTTTCACATAATAAGACTAAAACATATTTCCTATGTAAGTCTATATAAATCAAGTGAGCCCTGGGATGGGCTAATATTGACCCAAGGTGCATAATAAATAACTCTTTTATAGAGGTTTACATGGCAATGCTACATGTCAAATATCTAAGCAATGGTCATCGAAGTTTCACAAAATAAGACTTAAGTGCGTTTTTCTATATAAAGCTTATATAAATCAAGTGACCTTCGGCTAATTTGATCTGAGGAAGTCCAAACTCTGAACATCGTGTCATAATGGTTAACAATTCTGTGAAGTAGTTTCAATTTCCTGCCATTGGTTCAATTGTTACAGAGATGACATGGAAATGCTAGCAGATGGGCTGACTGTCAGGTGCATAACATCAATTCTTCAAGATAACATCACTTCTTCAAGATTTCATTTCATGTTAAAAATTCCATTGTTTGTTTAAAATAAAATCACTCACCTAAGAAAGGATAGACATTTTTTCCTGTACATGATTTCAACGCGGGCATTGATAGCTCGCTGTGTATCAACATAGTGTAACCACATGGCAATGACTTTGTGACTCAATCTTCTGTGATATTGGTTCCTCGCCCTCTCTGTTTTACGTTTCTTCTCTCTTTGCTGCCTTGTGTACTGTTAAAGAAGATTAAAGTACCGGTAGTTGCAATCTCATGTACTTCATCATTAAGGTACAAACAACTCTTTTGACAACATAAATAACCTAAGTAAACTCATTCACAACATATATATTTTTGTAAACTCTACTTGCCAATGATAGCACAGGTGTAAGCACTGGTGTTTTTCTTCTTTACCCTTTTGAGATTAAATCAGTAAAATTCCATGAAGGTTATTTTGTTAATTGATAAAATCTTAATTTAACTGTTATATTATGATCTTGTACGAAAGAAAATGATGAAATCTTGAAGGCATTTCTAACAACATAACAGCAGGATGCAAATGTCTCAAAATGACACCATTATATTTCCCAATAGAACAAAAGAACTTGTAGATGTAAGTCAAAGTGTAAGTGTTACCATAATCCATGCATGAATGCATCTTTTCATAATTCTTCTACAGTAATATCTGGATGCCTCCACATCCTGTCTTTGACTGAAAAAAGAATATACATGCACATGTTTATATTGGTCTTTTCTTTACAATTGTACTGCTTTGTTCTGTGGGCCTTTCCTAGACACACAATTTATTGAAGTCACTGACTTTAAATAATTTCCTTCTTAATGTTGTGTGTTTAAATCTAGTATAGGAGACATGTTAAGTCGAGTTAAGCTGCTTACGACAAAATTTTTATCAGACAACCATGCACATTTTTTACAAATTCTCCTTCTTTAAATACCAATTCTTGCTTTTTATTTTGTTTACCTCTTTTTGATAGTGTGAATATAATTTCTCCAAGATGCTAGGTAGTTCCTACAAAGAACCTCATTATAATGTTCTGTTGCAATTTCCTGAAATTAAAAAGAAAACATCCTAAAAATCTGAAAATTTTATAAAAGCATTGATTACCACCGTACGATGTAGTTTGAGTTTTATCATATTTTATTTCGCACATTTACAAGCATGTATCATTTTACATCACAATATATGAGCCGCGCCATGACAAAATCAACACAAGAGCCGGTTGAACCGGGTGTTGCTCCCAGAATAGGTTTTGGACACAGGAAGGTATACCTCTTGTAGCGTCAGAGTTATGTCACAGACAAAGTTCAAAGTGTAAAAACAACCCAAATGTTGTGCACGACACATTGTCTCAATATGGTGATCATTTCTGTGAAATAGATGTAAAATATGACTTCAAAAAGCAAAGCTATGGGCCGGATATGATTTTGCTGCAAGGTCATGCTGTGACCTTGACCTTCAAGGTAGCGACCCAAATGTTGCACGCGACACGTCAATTCAATATGGTGATCATTTCTGTGAAATAGTTTTAAAATCCGACATCAAAGTTATGGGCCGGACACAAATTCGGAACGTACGTACAGACGGACTGACGAACGGAAGGACTGATGGACAGACGGACAACCTGACAACTATATGCTCCAATGACCAATCACCATACCAAGTTTGAAGTTCCTAGGCCTAAGCGTTCTTTAGTTATTGATCGGAAACCATTTTTACCTACAAGGTCAATGTGACCTTGACCTTTGACCCCTTGACCCCAAAATCAATAGGTGTCATCTGCTGGTCATGACCAATCACCATACCAAGTTTGAAGTTCCTAGGCCTAAGCGTTCTTTAGTTATTGATCGAAACCGTTTTTACCTACAAGGTCAATGTGACCTTGACCTTTGACCCCTTGACCCTAAAATCAATAGGGGTCATCTGCTGGTCATGACCAATCACCATACCAAGTTTGAAGTTCCTAGGCCTAAGCGTTCTTTAGTTATTGATCGGAATCCGTTTTTACCTACAAGGTCAATGTGACCTTGACCTTTGACCCCAAAATCAATAGGGGTCATCTGCTGGTCATGACCAATCACCATACCAAGTTTGAAGTTCCTAGGCCTAAGCGTTCTTTAGTTATTGATCGGAAACCGAATTCGGGATGTACGTACGGACGGACTGACTGACAACCCGACGACTATAATATTTTTCAGGGAGCATAATAATGGGTTTGCGACCAGCAGGATTCCAGACCAGCCTGCGCATCCACGTAGTCTGATCAGGATCCATGCTGTTTGCTATCAGTTTCTCTACTTGTAATAGGGTTGGTAAGCGAACAGCATGGATCCTGATCAGACTGAATGTATGATATTCAAAATTAATGATTTGAGCCGTGTCATGACAAAACCAACATAATGGGTTTGCGACCAGCATGGATCCAGACCAGCCTGCGCATCCGCGCAGTCTGATCAGGATCCATGCTGTTCGCTATCAGTTTCTCTACTTGTAATAGGGTTGGTAAGCGAACAGCATGGATCCTGATCAGACTGCACGGCTGCGCAAGCTGGTCTGGATCCATGCTGGTCGTAAACACACTATGTTGGTTTTGTCGTGACGCGACTAACCCTCACAAAGAGATGTAGGCTATAAATCTTTTATGATAAGAGGTAATCCAGCCAGATTATAGCAGATTTAGAGGTACACATGCCCAGAATAATGCAAATAAGGGATATGTATAATTATTTCATCCATAACAGACAATCTAATACAAAAAATTTAAGAATATTTTACCATTTTCTCTGCTTCCTGTAAAACATTTGCAGTTTTCTGTTTCCAAGATTTGAAGAACCCTTTACTCAGCTTACTGTCATAGTGGAGAATTGCCTACAAGAAAAATAATAATTGCAATATTTACTTAAACATAATTTGACATATTAAGACAATGTTGTTTGCAACATAGGCCTTTTTCATACAATACTGAAAATTTAAACCCTACAACCATCTTTTGAGTATGTTTTTAAACTAAAAATCCTTAAAGTCTTCCTTACACATTCTGAATCAAAAGTCTTAAAGTATCTACTTCACTTAATAGAAATTTTACATTTATGCATTGTTTTAATCAAATGTGTGACTGATTGTTACTTTATCAAGAAATACTGATTCTACATTTTTTTCCTCATTATAAATAAATGTATTTCTGAAAAATAACTTTTTTAATTTTGTCATTAATCTATATTCATAAATAAGGCTTGTTACTGTACTTACCATTCTTTCATTCATTCTGTATTCTTTACTAAACTCAAACTGGTTAACCCACAGATAGTAAAACCTGGCAAGACCATTTTCTCTAAAATATACACAATTATTTAAAGAAGTTATCAAACACCGAGAAGGACCATGCACAAACTTTTCAATAAGTTATCGAAAACCAAGCAAGACTATTTTATCTTAAATATACATATTTTAATACTTCTATGATCTATTATTGACACTGGAACAAGTAATGATTATTTTATAATAAATTAATAACATAAAATATATAGATATCACCTAAAGATAAATGTAAATTTAGTCTTGAATTTTGACAAAAAATATTTACTGGTAAACTATAACTTATTTATTGCCAAAGTATTACTTTTTTACTGTCAAAGTATAACTTATGAAGATTATCTATGAAAAAATATCTAATTACAGGAAATCAATGTCTTACAGTCTATTATTAATAACAACTTGACAACAAAGTCTCATATACTAGAAATACTCCAAGTCATGTAGAAGCTCAGAGAAAGTTGTCAGTAAATTTTTACCTTCTGAATTCTACAGCTTTCTGTGAGTTCTCTCTCTTATTCTTCATCAGCTGAACAAATACTTTCAATCTAAACATGTACTTGGGCATCTCTTGCATGTAGAAATGGGCATCGGCCTTGTTATACTGGGCCTGTAAACATTACAATTCCAATTACATTCCAATATGATTACATAAATTAGACTTTTCTTGCTTTGAAGTTCAAACTGATCATAGCTGAATTCTGAAGTTTCCAGATCAAGATAAAGACATACATGTACTAGTAATTGTAAATGGTTGCTCTAAGCATACAGATTTCACCATCAGCTTTTCAAGTGTAAGCAACTAAGATACAAAAGGGTAACATAAAAACCATAATAAAAAATCTATTTTAAATATTTTTTGGAGAAAAAAATACAACAAAACCCACAGATGCCCCTGTAAAGGAAAAAGAAACATCTGTTTTGCAAACTAACATCTGAATTACTGAGCAGTTTATTATAATTGTGGTAGAAACTTGTACTAAAAAGATTAAAAAAAAAAATAAAATAAAGATCTCGAGCTAAGTTCATTATTACCAGACATAATGTGAATATATTTGAATTACATATAGTGTTTTTGTGCTATTTTACAGAATAAATATTAACAAGAGGGCATGATGGCCCTGAGTTCGCTCACCTGTATATAGGCCCCCCAACCCCACCCCCCCCCCAACGTTGCAGGGCCAATTTAACCCCAAGTGCTTTTATTTGCACAAACTTGGTAGACACCCATAAGAAGATGTTTCATGATAAACATCTAACCTCTAGCTCATTGGGCTTTTTTAAAAGAAGATTTTTTTAAAGTTTTTACTTATACACATATAGTTAAAAACAATGACACCCCTGGGGCCGGGCCAGTTTTGGCCCAGGGCTTTTATTTGAACAAACTTTGTAGACACTTACTAGAAGATGTTTCATGCTTAATATCTAAACTCTAGCTATTTGGGTTTTTTTCAAAGAAGATTTTAAGTTTTTGCTATACACATATAAAGAAAATCAATGACCCCCCGGGGCGGGGCCAATTTTGACCCAATGTCTTTTATTTGAACAAACTTTGTAGACACTCACTTAAAGATGTTTCATGCTTAATATCTTAACTCTAGCTATTTGGGTTTTTTTTTCAAAGAAAGATTTTTTAAGTTTTTGCTATATACACATATAAGGAAAATCAATGACCCCCGGGGCGGTGCCAATTTTTGACCCCAGGGCTTTTATTTTTGAACAAACTTGGTAGACACCTATTAGAACCATGTTTGATGCTAAATATCTTAGCCATAGCTCTTTGAGTTCTTTAAGAGAAGATTTTTTAAGTTTTTACTATATGCATATAGGGAAAATCAATAACCCCCCCGGGGGAGGCCAATTTTGACCCCAGGGCTTTTATTTAAACAAACTTGGTAGACACTTATTAGAACATGTTTCATGCTAAATATCTTAGCTCTAACTCTTTTGGTTCTTTAAAAGAAGATTTTTTAAGTTTTTTCTATATGCATATAGGGAAAATAAATAACCCCCCGGGCGGGGCCAATTTTGACCCCAGGGCTTTTATTTGAACAAACTTGGTAGACACTTATTAGAACATGTTTCATGCTAATATCTTAGCTCTAACTCTTTTGGTTCTTTAAAAAGAAGATTTTTTAAGTTTTTTACTATATGCATATAGGGAAATCAATGACCCCCCGGGGCGGGGCCAATTTTGACCCCAGGGCTTTTATTTGAACAAACTTGGTAGACACCCATTAGAACATGTTTCATGCTAAATATCTTAGCTCTAGCTCTTTGGGTTCTTTAAAAGAAGACTTTTTAAGTTTTTACTATAATGCATATAGGGAAAATCAATGACCCCCCGGGGCGGGGCCAATTTTGACCCCAGGGCTTTTATTTGAACAAACTTGGTAGACACTAACTAGAAGATGTTTCATGCCAAATATCTAAGCTCTAGCTCTCATGGTTTTTTTAAAAGAAGATATTTTAAGTTTTTTCTTTCTGTTGCCATGGCAACCAGAGTTCTGCATGGAATTAAATTCTTTGAACAATTTTTAAAGGTGACCACCAAAGGAACATTCCTGTGAAGTTTGGATGAAATTGGCTTAGTGGTTTATGAGGAGATGTCATTTAAAGTAAAAGTTTACGGACGGACGGACGACGGACTGACGACGGACGGACGCCGGACGAAAAGCGATCACAAAAGCTCACCCTGTCACTTTGTGACAGGTGAGCTAAAAATAATGGCAACAAGAACAACAAACCTGGCGGTGTTGCCTCCATTCTGTATACAACTGTAGTTGGTTGAAACACTTCCTTAATAATACTTTCCTTAAATAATGAAATAAATGACAATGATTCTGACATGATAAAAGATATCACATACTTTGAAGAATTAGAATTTTTTTAAAAAATCCCATCACTGCTATTCATTTACACAGGTTACCCTATGATAATAATTTTCTATGTTGCTATATCATCCACATACTCCTTTTGAAGCCTTCACCAGCATTTCCAGATTAAGGTACATTAAATTTTATGTACATTTAGTATTTCAGGATGTTCATTTATTTAATTATTAATATCAAATATGGTCATTTGTTGCAAAATATTCTATTACAAAGATTGTCTTAATCTCATACTACAGACAACACAGATATACTTGGACTACTTTAAGTTGTTAGTTTGATTGCTTGGAATTTAAGTCACACCAACACTATTGATATCATACAACAAGTTTCAAATTTTAATGGTGGAGGAAGACCTCAGGTGCCCTTCTTAGCATTATTTCAGGCTTGATCAGCACCTAAGAAGAACCACTTGACCTTCTATAAGCTAGATGACTAAGGATTTACAGTCAAAGACCTTGACCTCTTGGCCATGAAAGTCCCTAATTTCCTCTACAATTGTGCACATCATTTTCTTACATAGGGTACAACATGAAAAAAGTTTCACTTACTTCCTTTAAGGACAGAAACAACCATGTATGGTTTAGATAATCATAGCACAATCACAGTGGAACATATGACCTTGTAGCTAAAGATACCAGTACATGTGAACAAGTAGTAAATAAATTATACTAGATATTGAAATGTCTATGGTAGTTAATTTCACTCCATCCTGCATAATTGTTTTGATAGCTTCACTGAAACTTCAAACGTGATATGGGTACTTTCTATGTTAAATAATGTAGCAAGCCCCCTAGAAATACTATACAAGACAACTTTGACAGGTTTACCTGTAATGTTTCGAAGCCATGTGTGACTGAGTGACAATTCTCAATTCCTCCTTATTCTCACATCTTGACAGCCAAGTTAACCATCCCCATCTTGTTAACTACAAACATCTTAAACTTCAACATTACAGTATCACTTAAATTTGTACCAGAAAAAAGGTTATAACTGAGTTTAAAATCTCAGGATTAACGTATATTCTTCATATTCAAGTACAAGAGTTTGAGCTTAGAAAATTTCTTTGTAAACTTTGACCCTATGTAGTTTGATAAAAGATAATGTTGTGTTTAAATGCCATAATCTTAAACCACACACTAATATAAACCAATTAACAGTACTTCCTCAATAATAATAATCTATTATGTAAAGATTCAACCCTTGTAAACAGCAAGTACTGACCTAAAGCAACTGACAAAATATTTACAAATTTCTCTAATTTACCTTGTGTTAAAGGCACATTTTTTTATATTACAGATACTTTATGTGAATTTATTTTCACATCAATGCCATTCAAAAACTTCAATGTTTAAATTTTAATCCTTTTTGTTAAATAACCAAATGACATACAATATATTAGGCACGTCTTTTTCTGCTTACAAATCTATACACAATATACAGGACAACATCTTTTTTACTTCCTTCATTTTATATAGTTTTCTTCTATTCATAAATTCCCTTTGGAAAAGATTTTAACAATTCTATCATTGTTGGTAGTAGTCTCATTTGATGAAAAAATGTCAGTAATTTGTGAACAAGGTCAAGAAACCTACATGTTTATATCTCAACTGTGCAGCCATCTCATTCCACATCACCTTGAGATGTTTCTGTACAACACATAACCGAAATGATGAAAATCCCACACTCTGAAAAATTATAGAATGCTTCACATTTACATTTGTTTACATTGATAGAGAAATCTGAATAGACCTATGTGACATAATTTCAAATGTTGGGAGACATGTTGTTGTTTTTGTTTTTTTCAACTGTGGGATTATTTTAAAACATATTCATCATTAAATCTATTACCACTTTATAAAAATCAAAACAGATATTTACAGCGATTTCCTTTTGCCACATGAAATATTCATCATTCATGCAAAGTAAATTATAAAATTGAAAGGAATTAAAGAAAAATGTAAACTTATTTTGACTTTCACCTGTTCACTCACTTTATACCCTTGTATGAGCATGTCACTTTAATAGTTCTTCATACATTTTCATAGATTCTTCATAAAAATAAGTCATCTTTACAGGTTTTCATTGTGATGATACAATAACTTAAAGGCACATTATGCTTGACTTCAGAAATATACAAAAACTTCTTTAGAAATGGCTAACATGATTTTTTTTATAAATAATAGATTTTAAGCCTGTTAGAAGTTTATCACATGAAGAAATTAGCTCTAAATGTGAAATAATTTTATCATTAAAATAGCAAAATGTAAACAAAGTAGTATTCTTTGAATCCATGCAAAATACTAAATCACTGTACTATTTGCCAAAAAGCAATGTAAGAACAAGAAAGTTCAGGTAATTGAATAATGAGTAACTTTTTGAAATTATAAAAATACACCAAAAATAAAAGTTTTTGAGAAGTAAATCTTAAAGCATTTCTAGGGCATAATGGGCCTTTAAGTGATTACCAGAAGTTTTCTGTTGTAGTGATTCTCTGCCTCAGCAATCATTTCATATTTCTCTTTCTGCTGCTCAATATCTTAAAATCAATGTCAAGGTCACTTATCAAATTAAAGTGAAGGCTACATACAACACTAATGTCAAGGACACTTATCTAAGACACTTTAAATCTAAGTCAGGGACATACCATCTAACAGTCAAGGTAACTTACCACCAAAAAATCAAGGACATACTGGACACTTACCACCCAAAAGTCAAGGACACATACTAACCAAAAGTCAAAATTAAGTGAATGACCCATACAAAGCACTTACTAAACAAAATGTAATAATCAGCTTTGTTAAAAGATGTGACCTCAAAGTAATGTACTTACTTTCTGTTATGGCCAGTACAGAGGGCTTATAGATATTGTTAAATGACAGGGGATAAAATCCTATTAAAAGTCTTTTATATGTTGCTAGTTAGAACATACAGTAATACAAAATTTAGCAAGGATACAATGTTTCCAGTGTATCAAAGCTCTGCGCTTCTGGAACTTTTCTGCAAGGGAGATAATTCTGTCTTGTCTTTCATGAAGTCGCTCTCTGTACTGGAAAGCTCTATACCATATTCCAAACATACGTCTAACTAATATGTTGTGGTTAAGTCTTTCACAGTGATCTGAAATTAAATAAACAGAAATAGTTGGAACAGAACTAAAACATGTTTGTTAAAGTTTCGACTTATCTATTTGCTTGTCAAGAATTATGGTAACCAATAACAACAGATATATAAACAATATAATTACAGATTTTCCTATATAAAACCACTGCCCGTGTTAATTTAACAATGATCTTGACCCAACAAAGAGTCTACATTTAGCTAGTTCTTCAAATACTGGTCAGAATTTGAGCGAATTTAAGCAGTAATATACAAAATTTTGAGCCGCGTCATGACAAAACCAACATAGTGCGTTTGCGACCAGCATGGATCAAGACCAGCCTGCGCATCCGCGCAGTCTGATCAGGATCCATGCTGTTCGCTTACAAACCCAATAGCAAGTAGAGAAACTGATAGCAAACAGCATGGATCCTGATCAGACTGCGTGGATGCGCAGGCTGGTCTGGATCCATGCTGGTTGCAAGCCCATTATGTTGGTTTTGTCGTGACACGGCTCAAATGTCACTCTGTTGCTTAATTGATCTAACTGTAAAATGTTATGTCATAAATTCTTAGCAAATATGCCCTGTTGCGATCATTTTCATAAATATTCTCAGCTATTATTATTTATAAACTTTATATGATACGTATACTCAGTTCCTATGCTATCACTGGTTCTATGATATCATGGTATTTACATTTTCTGTGACTGCTAGTAAAAGCAACACACGATGATGCTAATATTTTTAAAACTGTCACACGCCAATAAATTTAATTTTGTGAATAATGAATGTATTCGTGGCAAGAAAACTATTTTATAAAATCTTCATATTTGGCTACTATTTCCCTTAATTGTTTTACACAGTCAATTAAAATATGTTATATAATCACATATACTGACATATCGTCTGTTCATTAAGTTTGAATTTTAAAGCAAGTTAACTGTTGAAAGTTTTCCACAACTTAACATGAAGATTTTGGCCAATCTATCCTTCCATACATGCAATTTGGGGAAAACCGTGATACCATGGTAACCTCCACTGAATTTACCCAAAATGGCAGACATTGGATTTAGTTTATAAAATGACATTTTAATTGATCTTTTGAAATAATCTTTTGACAGATGGTTTTGGAAAAAGTTCACATATTAAATAGAAGGAAAAGCTCATTCATGTATGATATTTATATTTGAATATTTTCTGATAAATGTAAAGTTCCATGATATCATACAACCCCAGGCTACTTAGCACTGTGGAAATTGTACCTCTATGTATTAAGGAACAGACTAAATTTGGGTATCTTACAAGTATTGTATTTTGTACTTTTTTGTCTGCTATAACTTACATTTTTCTTGCACCTTTTGTCTTCTCCTAGCCCAGTAAGATATCCAGGCACGTAGACATTTGTGTACTATGACAGTGTTATGGTGGCGTACAGCACGATATTGTTTCATCACCCCGGACTTCCTCTCTGACAACTTAGACTGCCATATTAACCAATACTGAAACAACAATTATTATACCTTCATCTCTAGCACTGTAGAATTTGTGTTATAAACTAATCTTTCTTAAATTCTTAAATATTGGATTTTTAATGCTATTTGTTAAAAGGACCATTAAGCCCCCCCCCCCCCCCCCCCCAAAAAAAAAGGTTTTCTTTTTTATTTCTTTTTATTTCTTAAAAAATTATTTTACTTTTATTTTTTGTATTTTGTTGACAAGCATATTACACAACCTGAATCCATTTAATCACATTTTGATACACAAATATAGAGGAAAAATCTTATTCATTTCTGAGGCTAAGCTTTACTGTGCCTTTAAATATTAGAGATTTAAATGTCAAAAATACTAAAATTAAGCAGTTATAAGTATAAAGAATGATCAGACTGAATGGAGGTACTGGTTTACTTGACTCTATACTGGTAAAACAGGCTTGCTGTTATTATGGCTAGCGTTCAAACTAGTAAGGAAGTATATTTTCATTGCTCTGTAAAAAGCAATATAATCAGATGACCAATTAAAATAATCTAAATAAAGAGGTGCATCAACACTTCACATGAACAAATAAAGAATAAATGAATTCCCAATATTCTTTCCTTTCCTTACCTTATATTCACAAATACTACAACTAACTATAGTAACGGATGATGACCAAAACCAAAAGGAAACTTTTTTCCAGGTTTTGGAACATCAAAGATACTTCATTACTTCAAACATCAGCAAACTCCTGGTTAAAACTCCAATATCTTCCCTATATTTTTTGTTGGTTTGGTTTAAACATATTTATTTGAGCTCGATCGCAAAACAAGTTCTTGCAACTTATATTTATCACTTTCGAGTCCACTTCCAGGAACCAACCAGTACTGGTGTTGTATGAAGAAACATGGTCATGACCCAATTCAGGCTTGAACCCATGATCTCTGGGTTGAGAGGCAGACAGTTTATCCACTAGGCCACTGATATTCTCTGTTCAGGAAGGCAAGTGATTTCAAATCACTACCACAGTCATCTTGCAAACAGAGACCCATGAAAAAGCATAAATCTAAATATAATAATTGCAGAAAAATTATATAATAATAATAATAATAATATTATAATAATAGTATAATAATAGTATAATGCCACAGTATTTTTTTACATTTTTTTATTTTACCTGTGCTTGAATCCTGTATGCCCAGAACTGTAAGGCTACACTCTCCATATGTTGTCTATGTAACACTACCTCATAACTACCATACCATTGCTGCCAACATTTCCTGTAACAATATGTTACATGCAATGTAATATATGTACCACCAAATTGTTACAAACCTTTACACACACTAGACAGTATTTTCCAAAGCATATTATAACAAAATGTTAAACTAGAAATGTGTCCATAGGACACGGGTGCCCCCACCGTGCCACTGTTCTGTCAATCTTTTTACTAAGTCAAGGGAAATTACTCTACAAATACTGGATAAATCCACAAGCAAAACCCCAGGTGCAAATCTAAAATATGCTGAGCAACCTGCCTATAAGGTTAAATGACTATGTCAAATCCTTTTTGAGAAACTTGCGACACAAGTTGAAAATTGCAAAAATTTTCTAAGTGAAGGGCAATAACTCTAAAAATACTAAATAAATCCAGACGAAAATACCTGGTGCACAACTGCACATGCTAATCAATATTCCTGTAAAATTACATGACTCTAGGTCAAATACTTTTTGAGTTACCTGCGACACATGTTGAAAATTGCAAAATTTTACTAAGTCATGGGCAATAACTCTGAAAATACTAAAAATATCCAGACGAAAATACCCAGGTGCACAACTACACATGCTGATCAACATTCCTGTAAAGTTTCATGACTCTAGGTCAAATACTTATTGTGTTACGTGCGACACAAGTTGAAAATTGCAAAATTTTACTAAGTCAAGGGCAATAACTCTGAAAATAATAAAAATTTCCAAACGAAAATACCCAGGTGCACAACTACACATGCTGATCAACATTCCTGTAAAGTTTAATGACTCTAGGTCAAATACTTTTTGAGTTACATGCGACACAAGTTGAAAATTGCAAAATTTTACTAAGTCAAGGGCAATAACTCTGAAAATACTTAAAATATCCAAACGAAAATACCCAGGTGCACAACTACACATGCTGATCAACATTCCTGTAAAGTTTCATGACTCTAGGTCAAATACTTTTTGAGTTACATGCGACACAAGTTGAAAATTGCAAAATTTAACTAAGTCAAGGGCAATAACTCTGAAAATACTAAAAATATCCAGACGAAAATACCCAGGTGCACAACTACACATGCTGATCAACATTCCTGTAAAGTTTCATGACTCTAGGTCAAATACTTTTTGAGTTACGTGCGACACAAAAGTGAACGGACGGACGGAAGGACGGACGGACAAGGGTAAATCTAAATTCCCGCCACTAACGTGGGGGCAAAAAAGTAACTTTTTTTCTTCTTAAATTGACAATTGCTTTTTAATGTTACAAGTGCTCTGAAATAATAAGAGTGTTTTCATGAGAGAATGACATTTGAAGAAAAAACATAGATCTTTCTGTAACATCTGCCCATTTTTATTATTATTTCTTACAGAAAAAAAATTAGTAAATGAGTTGAAAAATCATTATCCTCCTTGTTTTATTGAAAACTTATTTGACCTTTAACCCTAAAAATAGCTAGCAGGATTCATGACTTGTATTTGCCAGCAGATGTGTGAAGTTTCAACCTATTCCCTTCAGTAGTTTTGGAGATTTAGAGTATACACACAGTAACAATCTAGAGTTTACACAGTAAAAAAGAGTATACACTACTAGAGTTAACACAGTAAAAAAGAGTTTACACTACTAGAGTTAACACAGTAAAAAAGAGTTTACACTACACAGTAACAATCTAGAGTTAACACAGTAACAATCTACCTGAGTAAGTTATTGTTGTGGTAAGACATGGCTTGTTTATTCTTTGCATTCTTTTTGCGTCTGCTGTAAACATATAACCACCATCCCATTACGCATTTCCTTTTTAATTTTGTAGAAGCTGTAAAAATATTAAATGTTTTTTTTTTATAAAGAAAAGAACATTTTTTTATTCAAAAGATAAGTACATGTAAAGCAAAAAGGAATTTTGATTACTTTATTAATATTTTCGGTTTATTTAATTTTCATTTTGTAAAAGTTACTTAATAGGTCATGGACTAATACAAAATAAGAATCTTCAAGAAAACTGTAAAAAAAAAATATCTCTTAGAAAGGCTTATTTCTTCAGAAAGCAAGATAAGATGGGTTGGTAGCTGGAACAAAGTTAGCAAGAGGGCCATGATGGCCCTGAGGTCGCTCACCTGTATATAGGCCCCCGGAGCGGGGCCAGTTTAAACCCCAGAGCTTTTATTTGAGCAAACTTGGAAGACACCCATTAGAAGATGTTTCATGATGTTAAGTTTTTACTACACACATATAATGTAAAACAATGACCTCCGCCCCCAGCCCCCCTCCCCCTTTGGCAGGGCCAATTTAAACCCAAGGGCTTTTATTTGGAAAACTTGGTAGACACCAACAAAAAGGTGTTTCCTGCTTAAAATCTAACCTCTAGCTCATTGGGTTTTTTAAAAGAAGATTTTTTAAGTTTTTACTATACACATATAGTTAAAAACAATGACACCTCTGGGGCGGGGCCAGTTTTAACCCCAGGGCTTTTATTTAAACAAACTTTGTAGACACTTACTAGAAGATGTTTCATTCTTAATATCTGAACTCTAGCTATTTGGGTTTTATCAAAGAAGAGTTTTAAGTTTTTGCCATACACATATAAGGAAAATCTATGAACCCCGGGGCGGGGCCAATTTTGACCCCAGGGCTTTTATTTGAACAAACTTTGTAGACACCCATTAGAACATGTTTCATGCTAAATATCTTAGCTCTAGCTCTTTGGGTTCGTTAAAAGAAGATTTTTTAAGTTTTTACTATATGCATATATATCAATGACCCGCTGGGGCGGGGCCAATTTTGACCCCAGGGCTTTTATTTGAACAAACTTGGTAGACACTCACTAGAAGATGTTTCATGCTTAATATCTAAACTCTAGCTATTTGGGTTTGTTCAAAGAAGATTTTTTAAGTTTTTGCTATACACATATAAGGAAAATCAATGACCCCCGGAGCGGGGCCAATTTTGACCCCAGGGCTTTTATTTGAACAAACTTTGTAGACACCCATTAGAACATGTTTCATGCTAAATATCTTAGCTCTAGCTCTTTGGGTTCTTTAAAAGAAGATTTTTTAAGTTTTTACTATATGCATATAGGGAAAATCAATGACCCCCTGGGGCGGGGCCAATTTTGACCCCAGGGCTTTTATTTGAACAAACTTTGTAGACACTCACTAGAAGATGTTTCATACTTAATATCTAAACTCTAGCTATATGGGTTTTTTCAAAGAAGATTTTTAAGTTTTTGCCATACACATATAAGGAAAATCAATGACCCCCGGGGGGCGGGGGGCAATTTTGACCCCAGGGCTTTTATTTGAACAAACTTTGTAGACACCCATTAGAACATGTTTCATGCTAAATATCTTAGCTCTAGCTCTTTGGGTTCTTTAAAAGAAGATTTTTTAAGTTTTTACTATTGCATTTAGGGAAAATCAATGACCCCCTGGGGCAGGGCCAATTTTGACCCCAGGGCTTTTATTTGAACAAACTTGGTAGACACCCATTAGAAGATGTTTCATGCTAAATATCTTAGCTCTAACTCTATGGGTTCTTTAAAAGAAGTTTTTTTAAGTTTTTACTATATGCATATAGGGAAAATCAATGACCCCCTGGGGCGGGGCCAATTTTGACCCCAGGCCTTTAATTTGAACAAACTTGGTAGACACTCACTAGAAGATGTTTCATGCCAAATATCTAAGCTCTAGCTCTTTGGGTTTTTTAAAAGAAGATATTTGAAGTTTTTTCTTTTGGTTGCCATGGCAACCAGAGTTCTGCATGGAATTAAATTCTTTGAACAATTTTTAAAGGTGACCACCAAAGGAACATTCCTGTGAAGTTTGGATGAAATTGGCTTAGTGGTTTATGAGGAGATGTCATTTAAAGTAAAAGTTTACGGACGGACGGACGCCGGACGAAAAGCGATCACAAAAGCTCACCCTGTCACTTTGTGACAGGTGAGCTAAAAATTCTCATTTAAAAATCTGTCAAATAAGCCAGCACCTTATTGTTTTCTCATTATGGTAGATATAAAAATATTGACCAATGAAATAATTTGATACATAATTTATAACTGGTTAACAACTGGTATTTTTCTATGACTTCAATGAGATAACATAACAGTATATATATATTTGAAAATAAAAATATTCTTCTTGATTTACCATGTCTTTCAGCCAAAATAAGCTTTGCACTTTTTACTTTCTGTATTTCTACAAACTCTCTCCATGCACTAAATGTCCTCTGCCATAAAACATATCTGAAATAAATACATATATACATCAATGTAAAAACTTGATATGACATTTGTTTACATGTATATTCTCTAAGATAAAACATGACATCTGAACTATGATGAGTTAAATCATGACAACTTAAATCATTACAACTGGCTTATGATTAGAAAAAATATGCTAGTTAACCTATGAAGAGTTAAAGCATAACAAATGGCTTATGATGACAACTGGCTTATGATGAGATAAATCGTTACAACTGGCTTATGATTAGAAAAAATATGCTAGTTAACCTATGAAGAGTTAAAGCATAACAAATGGCTTATGATGACAACTGGCTTATGATGAGATAAATCATTACAACTGGCTTATGATTAGATAATTCATGACAGTTGGCTTAATTTGAGATGAATCATGACAGTTGGCTTAATTTGAGATGAATCATGACAGTTAGCTTATGATGAGATTAATCATGACAGTTGGCTTATGATGAGATAAATCATGACAACTGGCTCATGATGAGATAAATCATGACAACTGGCTTATGATGGTATAAATCATGAAAATCATGACAACTGGCTTATGATGAAATAAATAGCGACAACTGGCTTATGATGAGATAAATCATGACAACTGGCTTATGATGAAATAAATAGCGACAACTGGCTTATGATGAAATAAATCAGGACCACTGGCTTATGATGAGATAAATCATGACAACTGGCTTATGATGGAATAAATCATGACAACTGGCTTATGATGAGATAAATCATGACAACTGGCTATTGATGAGATAAATCATGACAACTGGCTTATGATGGAATAAATCATGAAAATCATGACAACTGGCTTATGATGAAATAAATAGCGACAACTGGCTTATGATGAGATAAATCATGACAACTGGCTTATGATGAGATCAATCATGACAGTTAGCTCATGATGAGATAAATCATGACAACTGGCTATTGATGAGATAAATCATGACAACTGGCTTATGATGAAATAAATAGCGACAACTGGCTTATGATGAGATAAATCATGACAACTGGCTTATGATGAGATAAATCATGACAACTGGCTTATGATGAAATAAATAGCGACAACTGGCTTATGATGAGATTAATCATGACAGTTAGCTCATGATGAGATAAATCATGACAACTAGCTTATGATGAGATAAATCATGACAACTGGCTTATGATGAGATAAATCATGACAACTGGCTTATGATGAGATAAATCATGACAACTGGCTTATGATGAGATAAATCATGACAACTGGCTTATGATGAGATAAATCAGGACAACTGGCTTATGATGAGATAAATCATGACAACTGGCTTATGATGAGATAAATCAGGACCACTGGCTTATGATGGAATAAATCAGGACAACTGGCTTATGATGAAATAAATAGTGACAACTTGCTATTGATAAGATATAATATGGCAATTTATAATAAACTATCACAACTGACCTATAATGAAATAAATAATCAAAGGGCTGCAGCTCTATGGTATTTTCTGATCTTTGCAATCTAAATCTGTATGTACTTTCCTGTATAAGTTTATTTTTATATACTATAATTCATCTTACACAGCGACAGCGTTTTGATTTTCTTCTATAACAGTTTGAGATTGATACATGTGGAATTTTGCATGAAAAAAAAATAGAATTGCCTCGACTAGGATTTGAACCATAGGCCTCTCACACCCTCAACGAGACCGCTTACCTCTGCACCACGGCGAAGTAATACATAAGTACCTTGAATAAAAACGAATACATTATGTAATTCTAAATTGAGATTTTCCATTTCGTGTTTGCAATCCTTATCAATTTCGAGGTATTTTGTTCAGGATAAAGCTGTTGTTTAACACTGATGAAAATAATTTAGCAAAAATCTTCTCGCCAAAACAGTCCGACATGTATATATTCCACTACTCGACAGTCAGATTTATTTGTGTACTACGCTCTGGAGTATTCGGTAATCGACATAGCTAAAAATAGCATTTTCATTGATTAAAATGATATTCATGATAATCCGAAGCTTTACGGAAATAGCCGAACATTTTTCATTGGGTAAAAAAGATATTCATCCGCAAAATTTGTGATTGTAACCTCATATTTCTATTGACTTATCTAAACTTTTAATGCACTGTAATTCGTTAAATGCCTACATTAAAAATTATTCTTTCTTTTAAATTGCTGGTTTTAAGCAGTTTTGAGTACGAACTACTTTGCGTTGTTAGGACTGTTAGGAAATTTTGTGTTAGACCGTGGATGTTAGCTATGTATTTACTGATCTTACGATCAGAAAATACAATAAAAACTAACCTTTGATAAGATAAATCATTAAAAAACAACTTTGATGAGATAAATCATGAGAACATACCTATGATGGCATTCAGCTCGAACAACAAGACGCCATTCCTTTCGTAACTCCCACCACATGCCGTGCCACACCCTGAATGTTACTCGGAGTAATCTACGTCTATAGTGCTCCCTGTGGTGAAATATTATGTAAATGGTAATAAAGATGTATCAATATTATGTACATTGTATTGTACTTCAAGGAGTAATTATTTTATGTTTGTTTCAATTTTTTTCCATTGTTTCCATAAAAGCAATAATTATTTTATGTTTACATACTGTGTATCAAAACACACATACTTTTCTTATAATATTTAAATGCTGATTCATTTTATATTCAGTGTATAACTTCTTGTAAACCAATAGTAAATTAGAGATATAAATTGTTTCTACAGACACAAACCAATGATATCTTTGAGTAGTTTTTTTGAAGTTATCTACTGAAGTCTTTCTATTAAGATCAAAAATATGATTTTATAACTACAGTATACAGTATGCAACAAAAAATTTAACAATCATTTCATTGCCTTACCTTGCCTGAAATGGTGTCACTCTACCAAAAACTTTCCTTTTCCAGATGAAAAGAAATTTTCTTGCAAGGTGTCTAAAAATGGAAATATATCATTCAAAATGAGTAAAATAGAAATATTACAAAACAATTATTTGATAATTCATAATTGATTCTTACCTGCCTTGTTTTTTGTCAATATATACAAAAGAAAATTGTATGATCTAACTGGTGTAATCATGTACAAATTGTATCTGTAAATGAGCCGCGTCACGACAAAACCAACATAATATAATGCGTTTGCGACCAGCATGGATCCAGACCAGCCTGGGCATCCGCACAGACTGATCAGGATCCATGCTGTTCGCTTATAAAGCCTATAACAAATAGAGAAAATGATAGTGAACAGTATGGATCCTGATCAAACTGCATGGATGCGCAGGCTGGTCTGGATCCATGCTGGTCGCAAATGCATAATTTACATTGGTTTTGTCGTAAAGCGGCTCAAATTATGATACTAAGAGGAAAGGAGAGGGGGGACGGGTGGGAGGGAGAGGTTTTTGAAAATGGCTTAATCAATCAAAATCACTAAACAAATAATTATGTAAGTTTAAATTGTTGAAAAATATATAAAAAATAACTATCTTATCCTTTTCTTCATTTGTTACCTTAGTCACAGTGGAGTGTGGAAAGAACAGCCACATTTGTAAATTGGCAACAGAAATAATCTCTGCTTGAAAAATATTTCTAGTGATCTCCTTAATTTTTAGCTTAACCTTGAAATAATATACACCTGAGAGTTGTTTATCATCTCTTTAACACCTATTTGTTGTTATGATGCAAAAAGATTTACCATTCAGGACTACGGCTTCCATGGTGAATTTCTACATATCAAAACTCTAAACCTGTGTTAAATAGCTGATAATCACCTGTCAGACCGATATTATTTCTTAAATAATTCAATTTCTAACAAAACTGTTGTCAACATTTTATCCCCTTTAGTCAAATATCTTGAACATGTACATTAATTTATTTAAAAGAACAATATAACATGCAAACCAGGTATGTTTTCCAATTAAAACCAGACATAGCTTATATAAAATACATGTACACTTAACAAATCTTATGAGCGTGCATGTATAAATATCATATAATATAATGTGAGTAAATATTGACACTATCATCATTCATGCTGGAATTTTCAATATATATAGTTGAGATACATGGTATGATATTCCATTTATTCAATTCTATAACACACACAAATCTAATCAACAGGCCAAATAAATGTGAAATTGCGTAAAGTATGTCGCAAAATTGTAACATCTGTGATCTCTATTCTAAATCAACATATGTCTTCCTTGACTTTAATATCAACATGGCAGTTTATCATTGTACATTTAATTTTGAGGTAGATTTCAGGTTAAGAAATTTTGCCTTGTTAGTGAGAGATGGTCTTTTGCACTCCATTGGGAAGTTCAGGAAGACACATGTCACTATCAATGTGCAAATTATTTTTGGGTTTCATGGATAATGCTTAGTTTTAGTACACTTTGACTCTTACAACACTGTTAATTTATACAAACTAATATATTATACAATGTTTATATGTACAAACTAAAATACCTTATTCTAATTTCCTTCATTCTGCCACCTCTGTTCCAAGTGTAACCTGGTCTGTAATGTTTGATGTCTATTTTAGTTTGACCTGTTGACCCTGATTTGACCTTGTTTCTTCTTCTCTGTCTAGCAGCTGAGGGTGGCACTGCATCTCGAGGTTCAGGTTGATTCTTTGATCTTGTTTCATTTTTAATCCTGCTAATATGCTGACTTTGAATAATCTTTGATTCCTTTTCTATCCTGTAATAAAAAGTAATTGTAAAATTCCCAGGTATCAAAAATGTAAAATATCTAATATAATCATATAACTGCATTTTGAAATCTGGAATCTTTTCTTTTTGGAGACTTGAGGGTAAAGGCTTTTTTGTGGAAATGATTTAAAAACAAGTTTCATGATTAAAACAGATCATCAAATACCCATTTGTGCATATAAGTTATTTCTATTGACCGTTTAAAGGGTCAGTCAAGACGGGGAATAGGTTCTCCCAGGTGTCTGTGATTATCACAAATCAAAAAGCTAACTACTGATGTGCAATTTGGTGTTCCTGAAAAATGAACTCCTTAAATTTGAAAAACAAAGTTTAAAATGGATTACTAATGCAAATATTGAATTATAAAAACACACATAATCAGTCATAGTTAATTTGTTTGTGTTTGAAATGTTCTATTTTTATGATCTTTAATATATTTATTTTTTCTAAATTGTTATAAAATTAAAACTGCCTTGAAATTTTTACTGATTAAATTAAAAGTGATGAGTTTGACCCATTTAAGTTTTAACTAATTGTTTTTTCCTACTGTCAAACTGTTATGCCTAAATTTTTTTCTTGCATATCAGACTGGTGTTTCCGCATACATGCCATAATTTCCAGAATGATTTCCAGGACACTTTAAAAAATGTTTCTTAAATAAAAATAGCAGGATGTAAACAATAAATATTATGATACAGTAAAACATGCACTATGCTTTATCACTGTGGAAGTGTAAGGTTTTCAGCATACCTGTTTTTATATGGTACCAATGAAGCATCTGACAAAAAAATGTTAAACAAAGGGCCATGATGGCCCTGAGTCGCTCACCAGAAACAACTGCTTTTCAGAGTTGGAAATTATCCATTGTCAATATTTTCTGATATTTAATTTGAGCATAGAATATGTTTAAACAATAATTTGAAGAAATGCCATGACCTGGGGCATTTAAGCTTTAGCTTAAACGGCGCCAATCAAATTAATATGAGCAAACTTGATAAAAGACTACCTAATAATGCTATAAAGTTTGGTGATCATCTATCAATTATTTCAGTAGGAAATATTCAAAGGTTTTTTATATTTTTGGCTTTAGTGGCACCTTAAAGGGGCCAATCAAATTAATATGAGCAAACTTTATGAAATCGTACCTAAGAGTGCTACAGATAAAGTTTGGTGATCATCCATCAATTAGTTCTGTAGAAATAGATGTTTAAAGGTATTTCTATTTTTAGCTTTATCACTATATATGAGTAAAGTTGATATCAGACTACCCAAGAATGCTACAGACAAAGTTAGGTGATCATCCATCAATTAGTTCTGTAGAAAAAGACATTTAAAGGTTTTTGTATTTTTAGCCCCAGAGACCCTTAAAAGGGGCCAATCAAATTAATATGAGCAAATTTGATACAAGACTACCCAAGAATGCTACAGACAAAGTTTGGTGATCATCCATCAATTAGTTCTCTAGATGGTATTTCTATTTTAGCTTTAGCCATTTTAAGGGGCCAATCAAATTAATATGAGCAAACTTAATAAAAGACTACCCAAGAATGCTACAGACAAACTTTGGTGATCATCCATCCATTAGTTCTGTAGAAGAAGATGTCTAAAGGTTTTTCTATTTTTAGCCCTAGAGACCCCTAAAAGGTGCCAATCAAATTAATATGAGGAAATTTGATAAAAGACAACCCAAGAATGCTACAGACAAAGTTTGGTGATCATCTATCAATTAGTTCTATAGATATATAGATGTTTAAAGGTATTTCTATTTTTAGCTTTAGCGTCCCCTTAAAGGGGCCAATCAAATTAATATGAGCAAACTTAATAAAAGACTACCCAAGAATGCTACAGACAAAGTTTGGTGATCATCCATCCATTAGTTCTGTAGAAGAAGATGTCTAAAGGTTTTTCTTTTTTTAGCCCTAGAGACCCCTAAAAGGGGCCAATCAAATTTATATGAGCAAATTTAATAAAAGACTACCCAAGAATGCTACAGACAAAGTTTGGTGATCATCCATCAATTAGTTCTCTAGATATAGATATTTTAAAGGTATTTCTATTTTTAGCTTTAGGGGCCGCTAAAAGGGGCCAATCAAATTAATATGAGCAAACTTGATAAAAGACTACCCAAGAATGCTACAGACAAAGTTTGGTGACCATCCATCCATTAGTTCTGTAGAAGAAGATGCCTAAAGGTGTTTCTATTTTTAGCCCTAGAGACCCCTAAAAGGGGCCAATCAAATTAATATGAGCAAATTTGATAAAAGACTACCCAAGAATGCTACAGACAAAGTTTGGTGATTATCCATCAATCAGTTAGGTAGTAGAAGATGTTTAAAGGTTTTTCTATTTTTAGCTCTGTTGACCCCTAAAAGGGGCCAATTGTAATGACATGAGCAAATTCAAGTGTGACTGTCACAAGGATGCTACAGACCAAATTTGAAGTAAATCTGCCTAGCGGTTTCAGAGAAGAAGATGATTGTTGACGCATGACGACGGACGCCGGAGTATCCCCCTTTGATACTAATAGCTTGGGCGCTAAAGGGCCAATCAATTAATCATGCAAACTTAAAAGACTCCAATGCTACAGACAAAGTTTAGGTGACCATTGCATCATTTTGAGAAGAAGAGCTAAAGGTGTTTCATTTTAGTAGAGACCCTAAAAAGGGAATTCAAATTTTAACTATTTGACAAATTATGATAAAACTCAAATGTAGGACAATTTGGAATTATCATAATATTAGATGTGAGAAATGTTTCAAATTTTCATTTTTAGAATCTTTGACCCTAAGGGCGCTATTTTCATGAGAATTCGTGTTTGGATGTAGTTTTCATAGGATTTCTACAGAAAATTGAAGGGGGATGTGCTAGTGGTTCAGTTAAAGAATAAAGAGGGGAATGCATATTTGGTGCTGGTCGCCGGAGTAATTTTGAATCCAAACCAGATACAAATCTCTGGTGAATCTATCTATACATTAAATTATAATGACATTAAGTTATTTTATGAAATGATAAACATGACATTAAACATGATGAAATATGCAGACTCATATCACACAAAATCCTATCAAAACTTAAAAATCTTATTGAATAACATCATTCAGTCGGACTAGTTGCCTCCCTTACAAATTATTTCAAAACATGTCTGATCTTGTATAAAGACTTGCATTTCTGTTAAGATTGCAGAGCCATCTCGAGTCACGTACGTAGAAGAATATGGATTGTGTTCCCCATCACTAAGACCTTCCTCTGCACGTGCTAGCAGTCTCATTTTTTCTGCCTTTATCTGCAGTTGGTTACCCAAATCTCGTAGAACCGCAAGTCGTGAATCTCCACCTTTTTGGTGTTTCAATTTGTCCGACATAACGAAAGGACAATAGCAAACTGTGGTTTTACATTCTCTAAAATTCCTACTTAAAATCACATATTTCGATTCCTACATGGTCTTATTAGTTCAAATGCACACAAAATATTATTCGATAAAAAATTTCATCTTTCAGCGCCATTTTGTAAACAAACTTAGGAGTATTAAAGGGACGCAATCCATTCTCCCCCGTACCGTTCCGCATACATTTCGGAACGGATATTTTGAAAATTGGATGTTTTAGGCCAAATATTTGAACATTTCAGACCATGCCACGGAAGCTTCGATACATTGTATGGGCCACTTCAGGCAATTTTTAAAACTATTATGCATATCTCTTTATATATTGAGATCACAAAAAAAAATATTTAGATCATATATAAGTAAGCATGGATAAAGAGATTGAGAGTGGAAAATTTCTATTTTTAAAAACACGGTCACTTGTGAAAAATTATTATTTAACTCTGGCGAATCGTTATCAATATGTGGCGGATTGTTATATGGCGAATCTTTATTGTGGCGAATCTTTACACTGGGACATAAGATAACTTTATCTTAAGTCCCAGCTTTACATTACCAGCAAGTTTAAAAAGTAAAGGGTTATAAGCAAAATCATACAAAGCATAAAACATGTATATATACATTCTCATTCATGTACATTCATTCATGTAAAAGATACAAAATGTTTATAAAAACAAGAGACTGCATACGATTATCGAATTAATGCAAATAAAAATAGGCACATGCCATTTGTCACGGTTCAGAACTGTTCACAATTTATAAAGCGGCCCCGAGGGTCGAGTCCCGGAATATTTCTCACGTGACATCTCCAGTGTGGATCGATTTATTTGTTACCTTAAGTGTTTATTTTGCTGTGCGCTATTTGTTAATGTTTGTCGCGGGAAAATTATACTTAATGTCCGCGCATGCGTCAATTGTCGTTTGTTTCCGTGGCGTCTCTTACCGTCTGCTATTAAAGAAATAATATATCACAGTTAAACAGTGATTTTCTTCAATTAAAATTAAAATGTGATGCAGTTACTTAAGATATTGTGCAAAGGGAAGCAAACAGAGACGTGGCTTCTGCAACAAAGTCACTATACAGACTCTTGTCGACGTTTAAGACTCAATAAAAGTTTAAAAAAAACAACAAAAAACAAAAAACCAATTTCCAATTTCAAATTTTATTGCCTGAAACATTATACAATGTTTATAGCATATAAACAACATAAACATATATACATGTTCAAAAAACAAAAAATACAATTACAAGCGACATTCGGAACACTCAAATTTTGCACCTGTCCAGGACTCGTACAAGTTTATTCTCAATACCATACAACACTGAAATACAAATAGAGGGAAGTCCATATTTTGTTTTAAAGACGGATTTTGATACAGAAAATGTGTTTTGGGTAAATATCACAATCTTTTGCAAATATCAACAAATACGCTACAATTTATCGCCAATTTTTTAAAAAAGTGTTCAATCTGCAGAAAAAAGCAAATACTTCTCTAACAGCTTCACAAAATCGTTATGTTTGGAAAAATCGATTAAGTTACTGCTCCGGAGCTATTTGTGTTTACTATTTTTTTTGGTCCATGGACCCGATTTTTATCAATTAATCACTTCGATTTACAGCTAAAATAAATTCGAAATCAAGAACTATTTCCGATTTCTATTATGTAAAGTCCCTTCGGTGATTCGCAGCATGTCATATTAATGAATGTGAACGGGAATAAATTAACCCTTTCACTGCCATAGGGACGGCTTATGCCGTCCCTGTTATTTTCGGCGTATTTGCCATATGGACGGCTTTTGCCGTTTCTATAATAATAATAATAATAATAATAATAATAATAATAATAATAATAATAAAAAATTAATGATAATAATGATAAAAATAATAATAAATATAAAGAAAATTATACCATCGACAATAATTATTATTATACTATTATACTAGCGTATTTGGAAACATATATAATTATTATAATACTAATAACAAATAATAATAATAATTATATTAATTAATAATATAGTATTTTTTTAGAAAAACCTCTGGCAATAAATTTATCGAACAAATTTAAGAGGGCTTTTTTACGACTTGTTATATCACAGTTTTTTTCATTTTGAAATTGTCTTCCGTAGTTTTTTCCGGTATATACATGTAGCTCCTTTCTTTTTTACGGCCCTGATTGCTCTTCTGACATTTTGTACTGTGAATATTTAAATCGACCCTTATTTCTCAAAATTTTTCTGTAAGAAGTTGATTCTATTTTGTTTGAAGGCAATCGGTTTCATGGTGGTTTTGAGTGGATTATACTGTGACATTTTAACAACAGAAACTTTCGCCTGCAGTTTGAACGTGAGGTGTTATGTTTATTAGAGGATTTTGAAGCAAGTCCGTGCAATAAATCAATTAACAATAGTTCTTTATATATCGCCAATGTCAAGTAGCTTTTATATCTTTGACTCGCACGAACATGATGTTAGTGAATTTCCTCATATCGGTCTAAAATTCAGTAAACAGTCTTCCATTATATTGATAAATAATGTTCTCACCATATAACGTGTATAACACACGAAAATTCCTGAATTTGGTCTGTTTGAAATTCATCCCAATTTGTTTTTTTTTATTCTAGTGTGTGTTCTACTTTCAGTATTTATCTGGGACTTGAAATCTTAAATCCCAGGTATTAAAAGAAACCATTTTTTTATTTGACATGAACAAAATGCATGTAATATTACTATATTAGTCGCTTTTGTTACTATTTGTATATTTGTAACAATTATAATAATGAATGAAAAAACAGACTTTGTTCATTTTGACTATTGTTCAGAATGTTCCAAAGAAAATACATTTAATATTCTAATCTCTAGCAAACCTACCAAAGTTCATGATGAACAATGTCTTATGTCCTACCATTTATCTATGATATACAATTCTGGTAAAATCCAAATTAACATCTGAACACTTTATAAGAATATCTTGATATCAGATGCCTACAGATGCCTACAGATGCCTACTTCATCGTCATTTGCTGCATTTCTTAATTGGACGCCATTTGATGCTTTGCATCAATGCTTTTCTTGTTATATCATGATATACCATTTGCCGCGAAACATGAAAACGACATTTTGAGAAGTAAAGTCCATGAAAGTTTTTTGTTTTGGCTTATTGAGGGATGTTGCACGTATTCATTATCCCTCATGTACAGACTCAATCAAACCGAGTCTGCAATTCTTATGTTATTTTGTTGTGATTAATGCTTCCGAGGGATCACTTTGTTTCCAGAATTTTATTTACATATGGATTTTTATATTTCTTACCATGATTAGTTGTTGACATTTGTAAAAAATGGCTAGGATTATAGATGATAAAGAAGATGTGCATGCTTTGATAAATTTTATCATCTTATATTACTGACTACAGTAGTGACACTGTTGCACTACTGTCATGTCACATTACATTTACAAGTCTGCCTTGTTTGTACTCAATGGAATTACTTTCCTTACCAGGTGGGCATCAGTGAAAGCATATTTAAAAAAAATGATATCTGGCCCCTTTCTCATGGACAGTGCATACGATAAGTATAATTATGCAAAAAAGATTTACAAAACATTCGGAATAATGTACAATAGTGCTTAATCTGAATAGAACATGACTTGTGCGTAGGAATGATTTGGTGAGTTATCTGTAATGAGCGCATTTTTTTTTGCGCGGAGCTTCTCAATTGCTGCATAGCAGCAACATTTGTACTTGTATGATGGAGAAATTATAAAATAAGTTGAAACATTAGCTCAGTTGAACTCGACGTACACATTTTTATTTTTTGAGGGCTTTTTCCGGTGAACGCTGTACAACCGGGAGTGTATAACCCCGAATAACCCTACCATGTATCCCACCATGTATCACATTCTTAACTGATTCAAAAATAATTGTTTTTCAGGACATATCTACTCAAACATAAATAATCAAATCAATATCTCATTATACAGAAAGGATAGATCTCATTATACAGAAAGGATAGATATATCTTATCTCAGTAGTTTATTTATGATATTAAGAGATAATGTTCTATATATAACATTATTTTTAAGGGAACCCGGATTTGAAAGGACATTGAAACGGAGTGCGTCCGTGTTTATTATCCTGGTTCAATGGCTTCCCGGCATTGACCTATAGCGTTCTTTTGTTATAACAAATTCGTACGCGAATGCATAGTGTATAAATGCGTAAATCGTAAAATAATGAATTATCTATGTCACAGTATAAAAAGAACTGTTTGCCATAACTTTCCCAGAGCCAGCCCGCATAGCTCAATCGGTTAGAGCGCGAGACTTGTAATCTCGAAATTGTGGGTTCGATTCCCGGGCTGGCCAACTAAAATTACTAAACAGTCTTTCGGATGAGACTTTAAGTATGTGCTTAAACACTTGGCACGCTAAAAAAACCAGGAGAAGCTTCTGGAATTGGGGCATCTTACTGTATCTGTAATTGCACTATCCTCCAAAATAAAATTACTAATACTCTTCTGGAGGACTCGCCCATATGAGCAACCGGTGGCGAGTATAAATAAACGCAAATACACAAAAACTTTCTCAGACACGGAATATGGCTTCCAGTTTATCTTTCGCTGTTATACCGAGTTTGTAGTAAGGGGAGAAAATGAGAAATGTGTCGAACAGTTTAATCGATAGAGCAGGGGTACGATATTCCGAGAGTCCCATGTTCAAATCCCAGTCTGACTGCACATTTTAAAATTTTACAATATGACACAGCCAGAAGTAAACAATGTGTACCTTCTTATTAATGTAATGATAAAATATTCTCTTGTGAGAAGCAATTCAAAAAAAGGACCCTTGCCATTAAAACAAATCAAATTAAAAGTACCGTCAATATATTACATTATATTATGTTGTTCCTATGTTCGTTTTCAAGAAACAGAACAATCACATTTATATATTATGTAAGTTTAAATGTTTTTTACTTTTCAGTTTTGCTTACAAATTTTTCATATCTATAAGCCAAGGCAGAATGGTACGCTGTCACATCAAAAATTACATAGTGACAGCCGAAATAGGTACAAGTATTAGGTATTGACTGTTTATTCAATGCAAAGCAAAAAATCAACTACATGTATACTGTGTTTAAACAGTCGCAATGGACGCGGTAACGATAATTGAGCCGCGTCACGACAAAACCAACGTAATGCGTTTGCGACCAGCATGGATCCAGACCAGCCTGCGCATCCGCGCAGTCTGATCAGAATCCATGCTGTTCGCTGTCAGTTTCTCTATTTGTAATAGAGTTGGTAAGCGAACAGCATGGATCCTGATCAGACTGCGCGGATGCGCAGGCTGGTCTGGATCCATGCTGGTCGCAAACCCACTATGTTGGTTTTGTCGTGACGCAGCTCAATTAAATTTTTATTGTTGTTTGTCAATCAAAGTAAGAAAAATAAACAATAACAACTAAGACCCCAATGATAGACATTCAAACCTTGAAAACACTTGATATCTAAGATTTCAGCCTTCTGATAGATGCTTATCTCTGTCCGGCCACTCTGTCCGGCCACTACTATTTTGTCAAAAGTTTAGACACTATACGGATACAGAGTTCACTATAAAAGAGATACAAATGTACGACTAAGAAACTTTGAGGAATCTTGCTTTGCTTCCGAGGTTGGTGTTCCAATATCACATTGTAACATCATAAATTTAATTGGAATTTTAATTAATAAATCATTCAAAAAGAAAAAAGACGATACATTGTAAAAAAGTTTTCAAGATATTATGTTATTATTATGTCACATTCAGTGACACTGTGCTAATTCTTTTGCATTGTCAGACTGAGCTGAATTGGTTATGTATTTCTAAAGATAGGCTTAAAATGGTGATTGACTAACAATTGATTTTGGAAAATGTTTAGTATAAAATATAAAATGTATAAAAGACTGCTCCACTGTTTTTATAAATTGAGCGATATTTATTGAAATTTCATTGGATCACGTGATTATTAATCGTTCACGAGAAGTAAGTTATTACAATGTACATTGAAATTTTTTTACCTGCTCTCACTAGGGATCGTTTTTGTCAGTCAGCTTTTAATCATGCGAACATTCATACATGAAGATGTAATTACTATAACAAAATGTCAACTTTATTTACAGGTTTGCAGTTCAACATGACACGATTTGCACCCCTCTTTATAGTAGCTGTACTTGTTGCGGTTAGCCATGGTTACCGCAACCAAGACGTCAATGAATTAAGTGTCGGACAAAATCCTGACCAATCGTTTCAAGGGTGCATGCTTCGTTGTATAGACAAAGACTTGTGCTGCTCTTGCAAGGCATCCTCAAAACTGTCAATGAATGCTGCGATGATCAACGACTTCATGAAGACATGCCCGAAAGCAGACGACTCTGACTGCACTGTACACTGGCTCACTTCATGGATGAACGTCGAACGGGGCGGGGCAAGTAACTGCACGGTGAAGGACATTGTAGAGAAACAGATTAATCAATGTACCTCTCGGTGCAAAGGGAGGCCTATCTCTAAACCGCTGAATCCTTATCACCCATTGGAATATCCGGGACAATTCTCTGATTTCTCAGAGCTTTTAGACTACAGCGAACCAGAGTTCACTGAGTTTTGCAGTGATATCCGCACTGAAGGTATTTTATGCACAGTTTGGAGTTCGAACAGCTTTACGGCCGGTAACACGAGATGTCGACAGGATACAGTATGCGATTATCATGGTAAGGCATATAAATGGTGCTACACAAACGAACAGGACCACTGGGACTATTGTTGCACGGGTACATGCGATTTCCATGGCTACAACTACATGTGGTGTAAATCAGGTTCGAAGTGGCAATATTGTGGTGATGCTGGATCTGTAGATACACAAGGTAGGAAGTGCGTGGAATCAGTTCCCTGTGGGGTGCACCAGGAGATCGGTAAAGCAAGTTATTTTTGGTGTTACGTAGATCACAACAAAAATTGGGGTAGATGTTGCGAGCCCTGGGACGCGTGTAACCCCAAATCGACGACAAGTGGCTGCTATACCGGATACAAGAAAAACACAGTGTGGCAGAAATGCAAGAACACCCCAGAATAAAGTGAATCGAGCACTTTTATCCTATTCCTTCAATGACAGATTTTTCTCAGTACGTCTATTTGGATTTAATATGTTGCAAAATAATGTATCAATTCAGTAATACTAGGGTAATTTACTTTGTGTCGCAATATTTCATTATTTTTGAACGTATACATATGTACCACCTACAATTTTGAAGAAAACGCGAAAATACGATGACGTCATAATAACAATTATGTTAGATAGTCGGACCATTTTTATGCGTTTTTTTTTTCAAAGCGTCATAATAGCAAACAGTACAAAAGTACATGTTATTTCAATTGGCTGCAAAATCGAAACCAAGTATTTGACATATCACCGAGGGATCATAGTATATAAGAAATGCGATAAAAACTATATCATTCGTCGCTGCTAAAACAACGTACATATTGGTTTAAAGGCACATTATGCCTCAGAAACGACTTTTTTCTTCTTTAGAAAGGGCAAATATGAGTTTTATAACGTTTAATAATGTTTTTTTTATAGAGAATATAGAGGTTTATCACATAAGGAAATTAGCACTTAATGTGAAATTATTTCTCCTAAACGTAGTAACATGTAAAAAAGTAATATTTTGACTTTCATACAGAATTTTAGACGACTTCTTTTGGAAACTAGATCAATACCAGGACGTATACATAATAAACATGTTTTAAGAAATAAAAAAAAAGCATTTCTTGGGCATAATGGACATTTGAGAACGCATTATCTTAAATTTATGGATATATGAAATCGAATAATTTCATTAAAGTTGATATTTGGTAATAGTAAATATTTGGTAATTGCCGTCTAGATAATGTTTTTGTAGATTGTTGGTCAATTGTTTATTCTTAACAATAAAGGAATATGAGGAATAAAGTTAACATGAAAGTATAAATGTATATATTTCGTGTGATGGCGCTGAGATTGATCATTATTGTATTTGAGCCGCGTCACGACAAAACCAACATAGTGCATTTGCGACCAGCATGGATCCAGACCAGCCTGCGCATCCGCGCAGTCTGATCAGAATCCATGCTGATCGCTATCAGTTTCTCTACTGTACTTGTAAAATGGTTGGTAAGTGAACAGCATGGATCCTGATCAGACTGCGCGGATGCGCAGGCTGGTCTGGATCCATGCTGGTCGCAAACCCATTATGTTGGTTTTGTCGAGACGCGACTCATTTGCTTTTTGTATCTTTTCCTTTCCTATCAAAGTTAATTAATATACCTGTCTAATTATAACATGACTTATATCTTTTCTGCAAACAAAAACACGAGTCCAGAAACACAAACAAAGGCAATGAATTTTATTCTTGTTGTTGTTATTTTCACTCTAATGAAAAATAAAAAAAAATGTTTCAACTCGTTTTGTTTGTTTGTTAATAATATTCAATCGTTTTCAAGTAAATTGTTGTTGTTGTTGAGATATTTATTTATATGTACATGTATATCATGGTGAAACAAGAAAAAGGCATCCAAACTTAAAATAAAATGAAAAACCAAAGTGAAGACAAAAAAAAGAAAGAATTAAATCAAAATTTATTTTCTGAAGATACATACATTGTATATAATATAGACCAAGATGATACTTTTGAATATCTTTTTACAATAAATCATGGTTTAATTAATTTTAAACCAAATATGAGGAGAACTGAAAATATGATTACCTCAGTAATACAATAATGGGGTTTCTAAAACAATACAATTTGTTTCTGAAACCACCCATCGTCATGATATATGTCCCGTGGTGTGGGTTATAGTATTTGGCTGTTTTTGGCAACCAATACTAATCATTTTACACTAATTGTGTGTGTGCATGTGTGTGCGAGCGCGTATGTGCCTCTGTGTTCGTAAATCTACATTTCAAAAAGCATTTTGATAAGAATTGACAAATATGATATAGAATATAGACAATTCTAATTACATGATATAAAAAGTAACGGAAAAGTAGAATGTTTAAATTAGAAATGATTTACAAAGGGCTTCGATTAAGTTTCGAAATTTGTAACTAAGACTACAAAATCTCTGATATTGGAAGTAACATTATATAGGTAGAGAAGAAAAAGCATTAAATTTTGGAAGACACAAGCCAAAATCAAGGAGTAAATGACTCCCAAACTTCCATTCACGGAAGCCTGATTAACAACGGTTATCTATTATTTTTTGATATTTTACTTTAAAATGTTGTTATATCGATTTAAAGTAATAAAAATGGTAAATTCGCAGTCTTTGCAGATATAAATCTCAGAAAAAAAATTATGCAAGATTTTAGATGGAAGAATACCATGCAAAGAGAAGATAATGGAAACCTTAAAGAATGTCCAAGACACCAAAAATAATAAATGTAGCAGATTTGATTTGGTAGTTACAAGTGCAAGCCGCCATCGAGCAGAATTCACCAATATTTAGAATTATACACACCTTGCTTTATACAGCCGTGGCCCATTTCATGAAGGAGCCGCGAATTGCCACATAGTGAAAAGATATGAGAAATTAAATAAAGTGCAATATTGAACATGGGATCTGAGGTTATGAAAATGCATGCGTGTCACATACAGCTGTCAGAAAACAACATTAAATTATGCAATATATCCCATGGGTAATAAAAAATATCATAGCACGTGTTAGTTCCGATCATTGTACCTTTCTTGAGATACCGTACTTGCGATAACAGGAAGATTTGTTTATTATATACGGTAAACGGCCACATTCGCCTAAGCAGCATTTGATAACACCGAGTGTATTGTTTTAACTTTGAACCCTCTGGTATTACCGGATTATCTAAATCCCCACCCTCTGACAGGTTCCGCAACATGCAATGCTGAGCGCTAAGGTTCGATTTTATCACCCATGAATCGAACATAGGAAAACATCTTTATAACGTTTACAGCATCTATATTGTCTATTGCACATTTGACTGAATGCAGTTGTTGTTGGTATACCTTTTAACAGTACCTGTAAAATAATCCCATAGCAACAAGAGAAACATTACAGGCATGCACGTCCTATAAAGGGCCACCTGTACATATATCATGACACAGTTTGCCGAGGACATCCTAGTCACTAGCCTGGAGACCAAGGCCATATTTACATGTCAAATGTTAAACGCTTCTTTACATATATATTGACCTTGGGAATGGTTTTGAAATAACATATAACTAATGGTCACCAACATGTCACGATGTGTAGAAAGCAACTTTCAGATTGCTACTGCTAAGGTCAAGGTCATAGAGTTTTAAACTGCTGAAAAGTTTGTTTAAATAACTTCTCATGATCAAAATTACAAGAGGATGTGAAAAACACAACAACCTGCTCGCTACCCCCAAGGTCAAGGTCACACTAAAAGGTCTAATATAAAAACTTCATAACAATTCCATTGCTGATAAGGTTTTAATAAAACTTGAATATGGGCGTTTTTGAATATTATCGGTAATCATGTTCTATGACAACTGACAGAAAATATGTATTTTAATATCATATATTTGTTTAAACAAACATATTATACAATTATTAAGTATATGAAAGCTCAAAAGAAGACAATGAAGTAAACAAGAGGGCCATGATGGCCCTGAGGTCGCTCACCTGTATATAGGCCCCCCCACCCCCGGGCCAATTTTTACCCAAGGGCTTTTATTTGTTTATTTGAACAGACTTGGTAGACACCCATAAGAAGATGTTTCATGTTAAACATCTAAGTTCTAGCTCATTGGCTTTTTTAAAAGAAGATTTTTAAAGTTTTTACTATACACATATAGTTAAAAACAATTACACCCCTGGAGCAGGGCCAGTTTTGACCCACGGGCATTTATTTTAACAAACTTTGTAGATATTTACTTAAAGATGTTTCATGCTTAATATCTAAACTCTAGCTATTTGGGTTTTTCCAAAGAAGATTTTTAACTTTTTGCTATACACATATAAGGAAAATCAATGACCCCCCCCGGGCAGGGCCAGTTTTGACCCCAGGGCTTTTATTTGAACATACTTGGTAGACACCCATTAGAACATGTTTCATGCTAAATATCTTAGCTCTAGCTCTTTGGGTTCTTTAAAAGAAGATTTTTTAAGTTTTTACTATATGCATATAGGGAAAATCTATGACCCCCTGGGGCGGGGTCAATTTTGACCCCAGGGCTTTTATTTGAACAAACTTGGTAGACATTCACTAGAAGATGTTTCATGCCAAATATCTAAGCTCTAGCTCTTATGGTTCTTTAAAAGAAGATTTTTTAAGTTTTTACTATATGCATATAGGGAAAATCAATGACCCCCGGGGCGGGGCCAATTTTGACCCCAGGGCTTTAATTTGAACAAACTTGGTAGACACTCATTAGAAGATGTTTCATGCTTAATATCTTAGCTCTAGCTCTTGGGGCTCTTTAAAAGAAGATTTTTTAAGTTTTTACTATATGCATATAGGGAAAATCAATGAACCCCCCTGGGGCGGGGCCAATTTTGACCCCAGGGCTTTTATTTGAACAAACTTGGTAGACACTTACTAGAAGATGTTTCATGCCAAATATCTAAGCTCTAGCTCTTATGGTTCTTTAAAAGAAGATTTTTTAAGTTTTTACTATATGCATATAGGGAAAATCAATGACCCCCAGGGGCAGGGCCAATTTTGACCCCAGGGCTTTTATTTGAACAAACTTGGTAGACACTCACTAGAAGATGTTTCATGCCCAATATCTTAGCTCTAGCTCTTTGGGTTCTTTAAAAGAAGATTTTTTAAGTTTTTACTATATGCATATAGGGAAAATCAATGCCCCCCTGGGGCGGGGCCAATTTTGACCCAAGGGCTTTTATTTGAACAAACTTGGTAGACACTCACTAGAAGATGTTTCATGCCAAATATCTTAGCTCTAGCTCTTATGGTTTTTTAAAAGAAGATATTTAAATTTTTTTCTTTTGGTTGCCATGGCAACCAGAGTTCTGCATGGAATTAAATTCTTTGAACAATTTTTAAAGGTGACCACCAAAGGAACATTCCTGTGAAGTTTGGATGAAATTGGCTCAGTGGTTTATGAGGAGATGTCATTTAAAGCAAAAGTTTACGGACGGACGGACGCCGGACGAAAAGCGATCACAAAAGCTCACCCTGTCACTTTGTGACAGGTGAGCTAAAAATAAAAACATTTCTTTAGTGTCTTTTTTTTCTGCATGTACATAATGAAAATCAAAGACCAACTGGGGTGGGCCAATTTTGAACCCAGGGCTATAATATGTGCAATCTTGGTATAGGTCCACTACACAATCATTCATGCAAACTATCTAACTTCCAGCCTTTGGCAATTTAGAGAAGATTTTCTAAGTTTTTACTATATACATATAAGGAAAACCAATGACTTTAGATAATATTATATACCAAATATCAAAGCTCTAAGCCTTGTACCTTCAGACAGGATTTTTAAAGTTTTTACTTTATATACATAATGAAAATTAATGAACCCTGGGGCAGGGCCATTTGACCCCTGGGATATAATTGGAATAATCTTGGAAGAGGTCCACCACACTATGTTTCATGCGAAATATCTAACCTCTAGCCATTGTCAATTCAGAGAAAAAGTTTTTTAAAGTTTTCACTATTATATGTACAAATAAGGAAAACCTAAGACTCCCCCCCCCCCCCACCCCTTGCGAGGGCCAATTTTCAATTTTGACACTAGAGGCAAAATTAGAACATCTTTGGTAGAGGACCTATAGATGATATTATATACAAATTATCAAAGCTCTAAGCCTTGTACCTTCAGACAAGAAGATTTTTAAGATTTTACTATATGTAAATAACGAAAATCAATGAACCTGGGGCCGGCAGGGCCAATTTTAACCTCAGGGCTATAATTTGAACAATCTTGGTAAAGGTGGTCCACTGCACAATGGTACATGCCAAATAGTGCTCAGGTGAGCTAAAAAGTAACAGTTCCAGAAGGACAATATTTTACAACAGCATTGTATTAGTAATTTAAATAAGTTCTGCAAGATTATTCAATATAACAAAAGTTTTTACACTGAATGGTGTGACACTTCTCCACATGTATGATGGAACTTGTACCCCCCCACCAATAAAAGTCTTGTCAAAATGAGCCATACATTTTGTTTTCCCCATTATGATAACATTACAATGTTCCTGCATAAAATTTTTTTCACAATGTTTTCTCCATAAAGATCACATTATAATGTTTCTCCCATGAAGATTATGTTAACTTTTCCCTAGGAAGATAATTTCACAATGTTTACTCCATAAAGATCATGTCACAATGCTTCAAAATTAAAATCATGTCATAATGTTCCTTCCAAATAGATCATGTTGAAATTTTTTTCTCCAAAAAAAATCATGTCTCCAATAAATTCACATCAAAATGTTTTCTCCAATAAAATCACGTCAAAATGTTTTTCGCCACTAAAGATCATGTCAAAATGTTTTTTCTCCAATAAAAATCAGGTCAAAATGTTTTCCTCCAATAAAAATCAGGTCAAAATGTTTTTCTCCAATAAACAGCATGTCAATATGTTTTTCTCCAATTAAAAAATCACATCAAAATGTTTTTCTCCCATAAGATCACGTCAAAATGTTTTACGCCACTAAAGATTGTGTCAAAATGTTTTTTCTCATATAAAAATCACATCAAAATGTTTTTTCTCCAATAAACATCACGTCAATATGTTTTTCTCCAATTAAGTCATGTAACAATAATTTTCTCCAATGAAGATCATGTTACATGTCAAAATGGTTTTTGTCCATAAATATCCTCTCACAATATGTTTTCTTATTAAGGACATGTCACAATGTTTCTTTCTCACACAGTGTGTTATTTTAAGATCATGTTACATGGGCAAATGTTTTTTCCTTGTACATAACACAATTTAGTTACTTTGGTTTTGTTTCTTGGTCACTAACATTTCTGATGTAGATATTGTCCTCTGGTATACTTTTCTGTTCATCATTTTCATACATGTATGAGGAGGCAATTGCCAGAACAGAACTGTCTGCGCTGAAGGACAGAGCAGCTATACTTGTAGGGTATCTGAAAATATTGAAAACAGTAAATGAGCCGTGCCATGACAAAACCAACATTGTGCATTTGCGACCAGCTCTGATCAGGATCCATGCTGCTCGCTCTACTTGTAATAGGGTTTGTAAGCGAACAGCATGGATCCTGATCAGACTGCGCGGATGCTGGTCGCAAACACACTATTTTGGTTTTGTCATGGCGCGGCTCAAATCAAGATGTTTATCTTAAACTAGGAATGAAATGAGACTTGTTACAATGAGATCAAAGCACTGTGAGGTTTAGGCAATTATATAAGTATAATTTATCAGTTTAAACATATTTATTAAGCTTGGATTTGGTGAAAGTGTAAAGCTTGTATGAATCCCCAAGAGTTTGCTTCCTAGAACTAACCAGTGCTGGTGTCATAACCTCCATAGTAGAGCATGAACCATATTATCCCTGGGCTGATAGGAAGACACCTTAGCCATTAGGCCACCAATCATTCTGATCTAAAAAGGATTGCACTTTGTCACTTTTAACTCACACTTAGGAACACTTCTGTATCTGTGCTATGGACCTGAATAGTTTAGTTTTCAATTTCAAATTTAAAAAATTTTCTGCCATATTGAGCTTACACTCTATCCCCTATCTAGTAAATTAATACTGGAATTATCACCTATTTTTAACTTAATATTCTGATTAACCAATTTAACACTACTATCATCTATTCTCAACCAAAAAAAATCCAAACCAATGTTTAATTGGCAAAGAATGAAAATCTCAATCGACTTAAAGTCTCATTACTACTTTTAAAATATACATTACGGTATGTAATGAACACATGATGTCAGCAGGACAGCGTGCTTGACACAAGTCAAGTCAAATTCTCAGAGCTTGACAGTATAATACAAGCCTGGATAATGTACCGTAATTCAAAACAGAAATCCATGTAAGAGTTATGGACCTTAAACAGTGACAGCCTTTTATGCTCTCAAATAAGTGTGTGAATATTCAACCCATACCCTTCAGTAGTTTTTGGATATACCAACTTGCGTACAAAAAACGCCTGGGTGAGTACAATAGCTCTCTCTATTCTTTGAAAAGTCGAGATAAAAAATTATATGTTTGCATGTTAAGTAAAACAACATTACAGTTTACATCCACAATCTCTTTCCTTCATCTTTACAGTTTGAAAATAATCATATGACTGTACACTAAAAAACTGTAAAAAAAAAGTGAAACCTACCTGTGAAACTGACAAAGTCTTTTTTTATTAAATCCATCCCAAATATTTACAAAACCATCAGATCCACCTGTAGCAAATGTGTTGTGCTGATTATGAAAGGCGATGGCATTTACAGGGTAGATCAATTCAACTCCATTCTCCTTCACACGATGACATTTAAATGCATATTTCTTCTTTTGTATTTCGGGACTTGGATCTAAATATTCCACTGCCACTCGACCTGTAAAGTTAATTTATTATATAACCTGTTAGAATAAAATGTAAACAAATGATCATGATAACAATAATTCTTGATAAACTTTTACTTTACAAATGCAAGAAATGTTTACTTTTAAAATCAGAACTGATCTTGTGTTCATCATTTACTGAAGAATATTTCAAAATATTCCTTCTTTTTTTCCCCAAAAAATTATTTTTTCTTTATTTGCTCATATGCGATTTTCGTCATCATCGTAGTCAGAGTAAGAAGTGTTGCTGAATAAAATATTACTATATTGCATATTGTACTATTTACATCGTACTTGACATTTACTTTTGTCAATATCTAAGAAGATAATTGTTCTACATTGGATTTTGATCAGATTACGGTTTAGTAGACAAGACAGAGAAAAAAGCATGCTCGACTAATTAAATCCTAGACGCAGTAAAGGAAGTCAAAACTATGAAACAATTAATTATGATACGAATAAATCTGATGATAAAGAACATATATGTATATTTGAAGTTGATATATTAAGAAATAAAGAATTTACAGTTAAAAAAATTTTAATGCAAGAAAATTGAAATTTTGAACGCAAACGCCGGGGACAGCTCCCCATATACTTTGTAGATTCAAGCTCAAATCAAACCTTCTATGGAACTGAGAACATATCCTTGTTTATTTGGGAAACATCGGATACAGCGAGTCTGATATTTCAGACTGGATTCTCTACGCTGCTGGACATATCCCATATTTCTCAGATCCCAAACGAGAACTCTTCTACCAGCAGTACCAACCACTAAACGATCACCACATACCGACATTGTGTAAACCTGTTACAATAAAATAATCCTTATACATTGAGTGGGGTGAAAATATTTTACTCTGAACTGGAAGAAAAATATGTATAAACATTTGTAATTAAGGTAACAACAATATATAAACTACTTACAAAAAAAACAACAAATAAAAAAACAATAACACATTTTCTTTTTGAAAAACATTTCCTTATGTATGGTTTAATATTAGAACGTTTAGTAGCAAACAATATTGATTTGCCTGTAGGTTAAACAGCTTACAATATTTGAATATTTCTTATACAGGCCATTTCAACTGAAAATTGTAATATATGGGTATAGTTCATCTTCAAAACAACTTGATGGAGAATTCATTAAACTCTTTTAAATGAAAACTGTGATTTTTTATATTATTTTATCACAAACTGATTCTTTTTGCAAATTCTGACATTTTCACAAATGTTTTTAATTAATTCCCTTAGAAATATTTAACAGTTAATCAAACTTTACCCCTCACACCCCGAAAATCTTAAGCCATAATGGGCTATAAAAAGCAACGAAAAGTTTTATGACCAAAATGAATAGTGACAGAAGTGAACCTTGTCTGGTTGTGTGAATGTACCAGCGCTGCATGGTGTTCTAGGATCCCACAGTTTGACAGACGAGTCCCAGCTGCCAGTTATGACAACATTCACATCAGGACAGTATTCCACACAACGAATTGGTGCATCATGAGTACCAACATTGGTGCCTGAAAACATTATATAGTCATATTTCATATAACATCTGTAACATGGTCTTTTAGTTTAATCTTATTTTACTGCTTAATACACATACTTTCAAAGATCGAAAATTCCACTCGTCCACTCGTATTTAAGGGAACTCGATGTCTGCTAAGCTCATAAAGTAGAATTGTTAAGTTTTTTTGCTGCAGATTTTTGAGTCTCAGTCCTAGAAATTGGGATGATTTTGGCAAATGTTGTACAACTATGTTTTAAATGGATTACAAAAATAAAAGTAATAATATTCATTTGGCTCAGTTGTTTAAATGATTTATGTTGAGAAGTTAGAATTAACTAGTAAAACAAAAAGATTGGTATTTATACAAAAACCAAGCGTATTAGTCAACTTCCCACCTATACAAAACTGACAGTTAATATGAAGCAAAATAACACCTATCTGTGCACAGTACACTGCACTTTTCTCAGTTCTGGACAGCATAATCAAAGCAAAGTAGAAAAGGGGACACAATTCTGCAGAAGTTCTTTGCAGACTTTCATACAGACTTTTGTAATTAGTATACAACGCCATGCACAGGCATAACTTACAACTGTTTATAATGTTGTTAACCTACATGTAAGTTGAAAGTTTAAGTTCATGTAAGTTTCACAAGCAAAAAGCATGCATAAGAATCAATTCCTTAAATCTTCGTTTCTATTGGTTTAATGATTTTAAACTATTACTGTACATAAAGGTATCTTTACTGAGTTTATTTGTATATATATGTATTTACCTGTATTTGTGTTAAAATCATAGACTTTCAGTGTATTATCTACACCTCCACTGTAGCAGTGAACAGCATCCTAAAATATACATGTTTTAATTTATTTCTAATCAAACTCATTTTGGATAAAACTATCTTAGAAAAGTTAGAATCATGACTGTTGACAAATGTTGATGGTTGGTGACTTAATAAAAGAAACTCAACTGAGGTCAAAAGCCTTTATTTTTCTTATTTCTTACATAGTTTGGCTAGGACACTTAAAACAGAAAGATAAGCAATGATAATTAAGAAATATGCTCAGAAATAATTTGAAAATCATATTTGTGTGATATTATCAGCCCCATTTGATTGAAAAATGTTGCAACGCTTTTCAATTTTTTGTCTGACATTTGTCACAAGTAAAATAAAGAAGTGAGCGAATGATCTGAAATTTTGCACAAAAATTATTGGTCTAGACATACATAAAATGGAACATTAATCTCGAAAAATAATTGCAAGTCCCCTCATGTCAAAAAACCTAAGTGGAGTGAGTCCCTTTAACCATAACTTTCATTTAAAACTATCACTTTCATTCAAAATTAACAAAAGTACAACCTCAAATTTGGCTCAATATCAGTTAATACTTCCAAAGGTTAAGGATGTCATCCTTCCATTAATCAATTTTATTCAGGACAGGTACTAACTAGTAAGAAACAATAACCTTCAGGACCTTTGTTACCTGTACCTTATAGGGGATTGGGGCCAGGGGGCTCAAATTGGGGGATTTGGGTTGTGTAAAGTATTACATATTCTACTTTTCGAAGTGCAAAGTTTCAATATGATATTGTTACGGGTCTTTTGGTCTAGAATGCAGGCAGGGATAATTTGGTTGGCTATGTTTGTTTGGGCACAATGATATCTGATGACCTAGTCCTAGACATAAATCCGTCCTCTACAGAGTTTTATACATATGGTACATACATGAAAACAGCAGTCTAGTACTGGTGCTGGATGGTTGTATTTCATTCGTAGATGATTTGCAATTACATCGTACAGACGGACCGATGTATCCCATGATGAAGTGAGCAGAAACTGACTAGAATTTGGACCAAATTTCACAGCGGTTATGCCATCTGTAGGTGGATTCTTTAATTGAAATTCACTTGGTGTTTCAGCCATTTCTCTATCCACTATAATACCTAATGTCCTGAAAAATAAAAAATATGTGCTATTTTGTACGCAGGATATAACAAGCATAGTTTTACTGTAAAATTATATAATAATGTTTCTAAAATAAGCCTGTCTAAAAAAAAATAAGCCACCATTTTCTTACCTCAAAGTAATCTTGATAAATAGTCAGTCTGATAATTCAACAGAATATCAGATACATCTTATGTAAACATCTAAAACCTCTAAATGCTGTCTAACAAATTTTCTCTCTAATCATACACATTGAATCGATAGCTATTTTAATCAGATTGACCTAAGAAGGGGGGGGGGGGCATACCCTTAGCAAGGTTAACCCTGGAAAATAGAATGACAACTTGTGCACTAATTGTTCTCAAATTACACAAGTAATACTCTTCCAGTGCTCCCAAGGATGGCCATAGTAAATAAATAAGTATACAAACTAAATAATAAGATAAGTTACGAGTATAATTAATACCCTTAGGGCTAAAAATCTGATAATAAGCCGCAAATCCTATTCTCCCAATTACGAGAGTATGTTACAGACTACCATATTTAAATACTTTCAAGGGATGTACATTTTTTTTTAAAACCTTGTATCTTTCTTTGATTTATATGCGTCTATGACACATGATTATTCACCGGCACTGTCAATGACAATCAAATTCTCAATTACAATGGGGACACTCAATCACATTGCTTAAAGGTTAACTGTTCGAGGTAACATATACTTAATATCACAATACATTAATTTTGTTATGATGTTAGTAGCTGAAAGTAAATGATAACTAGAACTCCGCGAGTCCGATGTGTCGCCTTGTGAACAATGTAGTTTAGGAGAAATGGCCAGGACAAAAATGAAATATGAAAAATAACAAAGGGCAATAACTAAAAAAATAATAAGTGCAGAGCAGCAGTTTCTGTGCACTGCACTTCTTATCAATAAGATCTATCATTCTATGATGTTTCAAGTCCATACCTTTCATACTTGAGGAGAAATGACCAGGACAAAAATAAAGTATGAAAATCAACAAAGGGCAATAACTCAAAAATAAGAAATGCAGAGTATCAGTTCTTATGCACTGCACTTTTTCTTAATGAGATCTATCATCCTATGAAGTTTCAAGTCCATAGCTTTTATACTTAAGGAGAAATGGCCCGGACAAAATTATAGTATGAAAATAAACAAAGGGCAATAACTCAAAAAATAAGAAATGCAGAGTACCTGTTCTTGAGCACTGCACTTCTTCTTATGAGACCTATCATCCTATGAAGTTTCAAGTCCATGACTTTTATACATAAGGAGAAATGGCCCGGACAAAAATAAAGTATGAAAATTAACAAAGGGCAATAACTCAAAAATTAGGAAGTGCAGAGTACCGGTTCTTGTGTACTGCACTTCTTCTTAATGAGATCTATCATCCTATGAAGTTTCAAGTCCATAGCTTTTTTAGTTGAAGAGAAATGGCCCGGACAAAATTACAGTATGAAAATTAACAAAGGGCAATAACTCAAAAAATAAGAACTGCAGAGTACCGGTCCTTGTGCACTGCACTTCGGGTTATTAATAGAAACATGCATACCAAGTTTGAAGTCAATCAGACTTTTAGTGACTGAGTTATGCTCCGGACAAGCTTTAGGGGACGCCGACAACGACACAGACGCCGCCGACAAAAGTAACCCCTATATGTCACCTTTTCAAGGCGACACAATAAACTAATTACAGTATAATTATCTGTACGAAATCTGCAGTGGTCATAGTATTATTTTTACAATAGCTTTAGCTCTTACATTTGGTTTGCTATTGCTGATCATGGTCATGCAACTACATAGTTAGGTTAAGAAGCAGATGCTTGTTTTGGTTGAGTCTATTATGTTTTGTTTAGGGGGTGAGTTGTCGTACACAAATTTACAATTTATATGCATTTATTTTTTTCCAATGATTGTTATTATCTTAAATGCTTCTGGGATTGTTGTTTTATCAATTTATTTGTAAATAAGATTGTTATATGTCTATTAACAGAATAATTTTAAAGAACACGAAATAAGTTCACACCTTTATGTGTATTGAAAACGTGATGGTTTAAGCCAATTAAAACACATCAATTTTTTTACGATCAGACAGAGAAAAAGTTTGCAAAGAGTAAATCGATAATCTTTATGTAGCAAACAAACTTTGAATTGCAAGTATTTTTTCATATATAAATCTTTTCGGCAGGATAAACTGTCAGAGGAGGGCCAGGCATTTTCGTATCGTAAAATGGCTGCCATTTACAGTATCAAGTGATTATACCATTGAAGCACCAAAACGACTTAGCGTGGGAATTATAAATATAGCTAACCTCGGCACGTCGCATGGATGGAAAATACCTTTTTCATATTTTATTGTAGTAAATATTTACAAACTGTGTCTTTCGGGGTTTCTTTTTTATCGTTATATAACCAATAATGATGTTAATATGAATAAATAATCATACCTCAAATCTGTGACTATGACTTACAATGAAATTCTACCTTAAGTGTATTAAAAAGGTTTTTAATTTCCTGTAAATTTATTCTGTGATTATGCTTCAAAGCAGTCAATTGACCGTGAATTTTCTTTTCATATTTTGATTTCCTTGAAATCATTTTTCTCATCTGAAGGCATGCAACTTTTATATGATGATACATTAATTACATTCCATGAAAATGTTTAAAGATATAAAATATCTCATGACATGTTTGTTCATTACACCTTTAATGCAGCAAACATAAAAAGTCTTCACAAAAAGTAGTATGCAATTCTGAATTGTACCTATATTACATATGAATGTATGTAATATTTTCCTTGTATAATGTATATATAGGCAAGGTAGCAGCTGTATGTCTAAATACCGAATATAAACTCATATTTTAAGCAAATATGAACGGATATGAATTTTTCTTCTTTTCTTTTTAACCTTTAATGAAAAGTAGTCCTATTGTTAATATTTAGGTCACAAATAAATTTGAAAAGGTTGTTTAACATAGAATGATGATAAGTTTATATTTGCTAAATTAATTGCAAGTTTAATTATTTAATGTGACTTTCTAAGCCTTATTATAAACATTGAATTCATGTTTAGTGAATATGAATGATATATTTGTGAATATGAACGACAATACCAAATATGAATATTAAATATATATAGAAATGTAGATGACAGTTGATATTTGCTAGTTACAATGAACTATGGATGGCAAATTACATTGACTATCAGAGATCGAAAATTCCACTCGTTCACTTGTAATTATGAGTAGAATTTAAGAGAATATGAAGCAGGATGAGTAGAAAAATGCACAAAGGATTTAGAAGCTACTCATCCTGCAGATGAGTGGCTCTGAAAATATTTTTCGATGCTAGACCAACTTGGATTGTATTTATATTGGCGAATATGAATATTATTTTGGCAGGTTTACGAATGAATACCATTTCATACACATAGAGTCACCGTACCAGTGCTCAACCAGTTTTTCACAAAATCACATAACAACTCTTTCAGAACAAAAAGTTTGCTGGGAAACTTATTTTTGTTACAAAGCTGGACCTTTCAAACTCACAATAAGCTAAAGCTTTTTAATAACACAGATTAGGATACTATTTACCACGGAGTTGTATATAGGGTATAAAACCACTATATTTTTCAGACAACCAAACCAGTGCTCGACCAGGTGGTTTTATCTCTATCAGAACTTTTATTTCTTATAAAGAGATATGACTTTTTATGTTCAACAATTCTATTTCAAATATATTTTGAATAATTCATGTTTTATTGTCTATAGATGAAAATATGATAGCAAATATGATACAAAGGAAAAGCTATACATTGACAAATAAAGTGTTTATAAGAGATTTGGAATTTACATATACTTGGGCGTTTGAGATTACTTATTCTCTTATTTTTTTTACTAAAATCACTCTGCAAACATAGTTAAGTGTGATAATTGGTGTAATATACAAATGGTCTACGCTTTTAGTGGTGTGTTCCCGATTTGTTTCCGCACAGCTGCCATATTTGTTTACATGTTCGTAGCCCCTGCCTTTTATGGAAAGCAGGGTTTTGATAATTTTTGAACACCTTTCCTATGGAAATCAATTGGAATCATAAAAGTAAAGGCAATTTAACAAATATTGTCCACATTTTCCCTATATTATCATTATTTCAGTGTTTTAGATAGTTTTTAATGCTACTTTTATTATAAAATTGTATTTTTGTACTGTTTAATATTGTCTGCAAAATGGTAAATCTTCTACCAAACTTGGAGTACTTGTACATGGTGTAGAGGTTACAGGTCAGGTACAAAGAGCAAGCACAAACTCCCAGGGTTTTTCCACTTTAATGAATAAATCATACACAAATAGAAGTATTGGTCGAGCACTGGGCTGGTCGAGCACAGGTACTGTGACTCTATTGCCACTATTGCATAGTTTCTCACAATTTGAATATTAAAAATCAATAATAAAATATGAAATGTCCGGTGGTACAACTTCGAAGACTTTGATCACAGTTATTTAAAATCTGTAATTCGCGGAAACATATTACAATTTGTGTGGAACGATTTTTCACATGTATGTAAAAAAAATTATATTTTCTTGCAATAAAATATACTTCTGTTTGCTTTAAATAGAATATCTCTTTAGTTTTAACATTTTTAATAAGTAATTTGACACAATCAAATTTACAAAAATTTTACCGGGCGCTCTTTGTGATGGGACGCTTGACTCGAAAAAAATATTCGGCCTCTAACCGATTCGGCCGTAATAATTACAAGAAACTTTATTTTAAGTCGGTTTACAAATTACAAGAAATATTAGCTAATAAGCTAATTTTCCGACAATAATAGAGACATAAAACATATTTACTAACATATAACTGAGATCTGAAAAGTAAATACATTTAAAACGATTTACAGTCAAATCGGCCCAAGTCAGATCGGCCCCAAGTTAAATCGGCGCCAGAATAGTCAAATCGGCCTCAAGTTAGATCGGCCTCAAGTTAGATCGGCCCCATTTTTTTAAATTTTCTTTATTCATTTTTCATTTTCTTGTCTTTTTTTTGGTGATTTTTTTACACTAAAATAAGAAAAAAAAAATACCCCTCCGCCATTTAAACTAGACTTTCTCATTTATGGACCAATATAATTCGTGATTATAAAATAATACTTTTCAGTTTTGTTGTCAATAAGAAAAAGACGTAAAAAAGTATTCTTAATAACACGTGTCATTAGAATGCTTAATGCTGGTATGTCGATGAATGAGGTTGGTAGGGTTGTTGGCAGATATAGCTAGCCGTTCCATTCGAAATCATAGGCAACATTTCCAAACATCAGGGCATACTGAAGATTTACCAGTAGTGGACGTCCATGCGTCACCATGCACGTACGTCTGGTTAAGACCGCTACATCATGAACATCGAGGCTGTTTTAAACATTTTATTTAGGTTTATTATTATTATTACCTGATACCTTATTTTATATATGCAAAAAAGTTTATTTTTTTTTGCTGTTTTCTGAAATTCTAAAAACGTTAACGTTCGCGAACTGTTGACTTGTCAATAGTTGTGACTGTTTCCCTTGCATGCTCAGACATGTACTAATGGAAAACCCTGCACATTGTTTTTAACCGCAAACGCATTTTCAAGAGTGATTCATATAAGGTTGTCCTTCTTTGGTAAAAAATATATCAAACAGAAAATCAAAGGAAATATAGTCATTTGGAACGCTGAGTTTTTACAATATGAGTCAGACATGTCGACAGATATTACTGTATATAAATATTTTGAACTGATATTAATAATATTTTAGATTGTAAATATCAATGACTAAAAGGAAGAAAAAGGTGTACCTTGAAAAAAGGGGAATATCTGTTTTATGTTATAGTTACATAATAGTTTGTTATATAAACATGGTTCCGTTACAATGTGTCACCTCTGTGCACAATGCCTAAAATATGCATTGGTTTCCTTAAAACCTTAAAAGGAATAAGATATATATGTGATACACGCACTAACATTATTTCTTGGTACATACATTGTATAGGAGAAACACATTATGATGACAGCGGTAAATATTTCTCAGAACGGAGAGGAACTTACCCGGCAACTTAAATCACATCTACTTCCGGTTACAGTGTTTATTTGTGTAGAAGCATGTGTTGGTTTCTTTGGAAACATTGCAATTTTGGTAGTTTATTCAAAACACTACAAGCAAGTGAATTTCAAGAATTTTGTATTGGCTCTGGCTTTTGTAGATCTTGTAAGCTGTTGCACAACGCTTCCCGGTGAAGTATTTTCTCATCAGAACTGGTATGACTACAAGTACACGTGGGTTTGTAAAGTGAAATCTTATTTCAACGCTTACACAGCCTTGGCGTCAGCGTCTATTTTACTCATTCTCGCGATTGACAGATACAGAAAAGTTTGTAATCCGTGTGCGTGGCAAATACCTTTTCAAGTGGCTTTCAAGCTTTGCGTGTGTTGCTTGGTGATATCTGCAATTGTATCTACTCCATTGCTTTTATTTTGGGGTACTCAGACGTATTTGTATGACATCAAAGGGGAAAACGTGACGGTATCAGTTTGCGAGAAATCGGAAGACTATGCGGAGACAATGTATCCACTTTTATTTATAACTGGGGCGTTTCTAGTGCCGATCAATATAATGATAGTGGTTATTATGACACTGAATTTTACGATAGCATGGCGATTATTTGGTGGAAGCATACGCACCGAAAAACATGCAGTTTCAGAGAAAAAAACTTCTAAAAGGACAATACAAATGCAAGAACTATCTACAGATATTTTAAGCACAGAATTCACCAACGACTTAAAAGGCGATCCTGAAAAATCGGCAACAATCTCTACCATCAAGACACCTTCAGAACAGAAAAATCGTAATTCACCCAGGAAAAGGAGAAGACGACGACCAGAGATTGGCGGATCGTCTAAGTTTCGACGGAAACATAAAACAATGATCATGTTAATTTTGACGTCAATATTTGCTGTCACGATGGCAACATACACTGTATTCATATGTTTTGTCGCAAAACCAAATGGCATTGTGAAAGAAATGTCCGATAGCACTAAGCCAGTTTTCTTCTTTTTCTGGCGATTATACTTCGTGAATTCCGTCGTTAATCCGATATTGTATGGATTCATGGATCCCGGTTTCCGTTCTGGGTTCATGTACTATATGCAAAGAGATGCAAAGAGGCAAGCCATCTGCCACAAGCTTGTCACAAAGCGATACACACTAAGCTTTATATAGAAATGGTGGAACATAACATTACAGAACTCTTTTTAATGTCATTATTTAGGTTACGGTGACATCGCTTTGTGTTGTAAAGTAGGGCAAATAAAAGTGTCTATGTCTTCGTTTTTTCACGGCGTCTCAACGCCGTGATATTGTGATGGGTAGTTTTCGGTAGCATGGGCAAAAGTCACGTGACCAAATGCCTTTCGATTTCTACAGCCGACATTTTATTGTTTTTACGTAATCATTCTACAGCCCATTTCCGTGAAAAGTTACATAGAAACAGTTTTTTTTTCAAAACCATATAAAATCTAAACAGTATTTTTATCAACACACGAAATATCAGCGTTTTATATTAACACATTTCCGGACATCCTTTCGACATGCTTGAGAAATTCGCCTTGAACGGATTATGTATGGTGGCTGATTAACGCCATCCAAATATTTTCGCGTCTTCGCCTCAAAATGCGAAAATGCGAAAACACGAAGGGACGACATAATTTGACTAATGTGTTCTCATGTCGGATCTATGTCTCTCTCGGAGTGAATCTTTTCACGTGTAAAATGTCTTTGAACATTACATTCCTAAGTTTCTATATTTGCAATTAAGAACTTAAATTGTCTTCTTTTTTAGCTCACCAGAGCCGAAGGCTCAGGGTGAGCTATTAGTATCAAAGGGGGATACTCCGGCGTCCGTCGTCATGCGTCAACAATCATCTTCTTCTCTGAAACTGCTGGGCAGATTTAACTAAAATTTGGTCTGTAGCATCCTTGTGATAGTCACACTTAAATTTGCTCATGTCATTTCAATTGGCCCCTTTTAGGAATCAGCAGAGCTAAAAATAGAAAAACCTTTAAACATCTTCTACTACAGAACTAATGGATGGATGATCACCAAACTTTGTCTGTAGCATCCTTAGGTAGTCTTTTATCAAGTTTGCTCATATTAATTTGATTGGCACTAGGGCTAAAAATAGAAAAACCTTTAGACATCTTCTTCTACAGAACCAATTGATGGATGATCACCAAACTTTGTCTGTAGCATTCTTGGGTAGTCTTTTATCAAGTTTGCTCATATTAATTTGATTGACCCCTTGTAGGGGCTGCTATAGCTAAAAATAGAAATACCTTTAAACGTCTTCTTCTACAGAACTAATTGATGGATGATCACCAAACTTTGTCTGTAGCATTCTTGGGTAGTCTTTAATCAAGTTTGCTCATATTAGTTTGATTGGTCCTGTTAAAGCTAAAGCTTAAATGCACTAGCATTTCTTTAAATTAAAGTTTAAAGATATTCTAAGCTCTAATTTTAATATAAAAAAATATTGACAATGGATACACAGTCTCCTTATAAATATAAATATGAAATATACGTGTTTTGACTTCACACAAAGTAGATATGTTATGTTTTAAACTCTTAACACTATTCGTGGTCACAGTATAAATATAATGATAGTGTCATTACAAAATTTTTTCTTTTTTTTTTATAGAAAAGACCATCTTTACATTGCCTGTAATAGCATATGCAGTTTCCTGTACATAGTATATTCATTCTTTTATCCAAATAAGACATTTTCAGCAAGAATTTCATAAATTTCATTGGCTTGGGTCATGACCTGTTTATGATGTGTAAATATATTTCAGCTCTGGAATTCGGACTACTGCATCATTGTAAGGTCAGTTGTAGGTCATTAACCAGGAAAAAAATAGGCCTAAAGAAACATAAAATTTGTTTCTCCTGTACTTTACTATCAAAGATGAGTTTATCTGCTCAATTCTCTTATTGAATTTTGTAAAAAATTGTAATTTTTTCATTTTTTGTTGTTGAATTAACAAGGGACAACGGGTTTAATTTCTGTTTCTGAATTGAATTTTGATATGAACTGGCTTACTTTTGATATATTTGATATCGCTTTACCTACTTTTTTTGTCTTTTATGTACAGACTTGAAATTTGGACTTTGGGTGTAATTTGTGTAATTTTTGATGTTGAATTCAATTTTGATTCCAGCTGACCTACTTTAGGTATTACTGACATCATTTGACCTACTGTCTTGTATTTTGACATTCAGATTTTAAATGTTGACCAGGTTTGTAAATTCTGATGCCGAAATGAATTTTGATATCAACTGACCTACTTTTGATATTTTTGATATAATTTGACTTTCATTCTTGTGTTCTTGACATACAGACTTGAAATTTGGACTAGGGGTGTAATTTCTGATGCTGAATTGAATCTTGATATTAACTGGCCTACTTTTCATATTTTTTACAATGTTTGACCTATTGTCTTTTTTTGAGGTACAGTTATGTTACCATACAGAATGTATAAAAAAATTGTCCCAAACTGTGAACTTCAAACAACTACACCTTACATGTTTTGCATGTGACATTTTGTGTTTTCATTCAAAAAAAGTTTTAAAAAAAATTGTCCAATCAAAATTAATCCTGCTCTAGTGGTCAGTTGTTCTGCATTTATTCTACATAGTCTCATAGGAACACACTTGCAACATACACATTTTAACAAATCCTTTCCAAAATATTAGGGCAAAATATTACAATTTTTATAGTGAATAATGAAATGATGGGTTAGTTGAGTCATCTAGGGCCATCTTAGTGGTCCTATTGTTTATTATGAAGAAAAAAAGCTAAAACAATCAGTGTTGTGAAAGTATATTACTAAAGGGGCAAGTTAAAGTTGATCGAGCTGAACTGCCGAAAGAGCTGGACTTGCCTTTCAGCAAGTTCTTTTGAAAAATAATTTCCAACACTGAAAAACAGTTGTTTCTGGTGAGCGACTCAGGGCCATCATGGCCCTCTTGTTTAATAATTTCATTTTTCTTGCGCAATTCTCTAAAATGAGACTTGGTTTTTCTATATGCGTTTCACAATAAACATTCACCATACCAGGTTGTAAAATAACTTAATTTGGTCCTTAAATCAGTTTTTACCACAACATCAAACTTCATTCAGAATTCATGTCACGTTATTGTGAGCAAAATTCTGAGTTTCCTTTAGATATGAACAAGAAAATGTTTATTATCCCCCGCCGAAAAGACGGATATAGAATTAGTCTCCATCCGTCCGTCTGTCCTTCCGTCCGTCACTCTACATTTTTGTCCGAAGCATATCTCAAAAAGTGTCAATTTGAAACTTCATAGGTGGAGGTATCAACTTGAAACTTCATTTGTGGATTAATCATATTTAGGAAAAGTGCAGTGCACAAGAATGATAACTCTACGCTGCATATTTTTTTATTGTTGCCCTTTGTTATTCTTCAAACTCAATTTTTGTCCACACCAAAAAGCCTTTGAGATATCAACATGAAACTTCATGTGGATAGATCTCACTCAGGAGGTGTGCAATGCAAGAGTGATAACTGTACCATTTCTAAATTTTGAGTTATTGCTCTTTGTTATTTTTCATACTTAATTTTTCACCTGAGTGGAGCATAAATTAACTAAAAAAACAAACTTTGAGATGTCAATGTAATCTTCATAGGTAGATAGATCTTTTTGAGGATGAATGTTTTGCGAAAGAATGATAACTCTAACCTTTATAATTTTTGAGTTATTGACATTTGTTATTTTCTTACTTTTTGTCCGGAGAATATCTAAAAAAGTGGTAGAGGTAACAACTTGAAACTTCATAGGTGGATAGCTCTTTTTGATGAGAAGTGCAGCACACTAGAATGATAACTAACCGTGCATTATTTTTCAGTTATTGCCCTTTGTTAGTTTTCATACTTAATTTTGTCCAGGGTATAACTACAAAAGCCTTTGAGATATCTACATGAACCTTCAAAGGTGGACAGATCTCACTCAGGAGATATGAAGTGCAAAAGAGTGATAACTCTACCCTTCATAATTTTTAGTTATTGCCCTTTGTTATTTTTCATACTAATTTTTTCACCTCAGTGGAGCATATCTCTGAAAAAGTCTTTGAAATGTCAACATGAAACTTCATAGGTGGATAGATCTTTTGAGGAGGAATGTTGTGCGCAAGAATAATAAACTCTATCCTTTATAATGTTTGAGTTATTGCCATTTGTTATTTTTCAAACTTTTTGTCCGGAGCTTATCTAAAAAAATGTTAGAGGTAACAACTTGAAACTTCATAGGTGGATAGATCTTATTGGGGAGCATTGCAGCACACTAGAATGATAACATACCGTGCATTGTTTTTTCAGTTATTGCACTTTGTTATTTTTCATACTTTATTTTTGTCCAGGGTATAACTACAAAAGCATTTGAGATTTCAACATGAAACTTCATAGGTGGATAGATCTTACTCAGGAGGTATGCAGTGCAGAAGAGTGATAACTCTACCCTTCATAATTTGAGTTATTGCCCTTTGTTATTTTCCATACTAAATTTTTCACCTGAGTGGAGCATATCTCTGAAAAAGTATTTGAAATGTCAACATGAAACTTTATAGGTGGATAGATCTTATTGGGGAGGAATGTTGTGCGCAAGAATAATACCCATTATATTTTGTTAGTTATTGCCATTTGTTATTTTTCATACTTTTTGTCCGGAGCTTATCTCAATTATTATTAATTGAGCCTTGATTTTAAACTAAATGTGTCTGTATTTCTTACCATCCTTTACTGGTTTTAGATTATCATTATTGTTTAATAGGTTAACTAAATTAATGTTGTTCATTATGTCTTAATTATATATATATGATTATGTTTTATCGGATTTATATAAAGCACTCTTGAACATTTATTATTGATGAAAAGAGTGCTATTGAAATGTGGTATATAATAATAATAATAATAATAATAATAATAATAATAATAATAATCATCATCATCTCAAAAAGGTGTTAGAGGTATCAACTTGAAACTTATTATGTGGATAGATCTCATTGAGGAGGAGTGCAGCACACAAGACATTTAACCTACCGTGCATTATTTTTCAGTTATTGCCCTTTGTTATTTTTCATACTTAATTTTGTCCAGAGCATAACTACAAAGGCCTTTGAGATATCAACATGAACATTCATAGGTGG